TAGATGGAATGGATTTCATAAGCACTTAAGAAGTTAATAATAAGTGCTTAGTAGAGTTTAACTTATTCTTTTTGTATAATATAATATATCAAATTATAATGGCAGTTAACATAAATATATATTATTGTAACAGTGCGGGCAATTGAATGGTCGTAACGACACCCCAAAATATATATTTAAAAAGCTTACTAAATATTGCTGTATAAGTACCTGTTAACTACTCTATAACTGCTTATAAATGAATTTGAAACTGCTTTTGAATTGCTCTATTTAGATTCCTGGATACGACGCCGTCTCTCTATAAGATCTAACTCTAATTTCTCATTCTCGAGTTGTTACAATCGGATATCTTCTTTAAGCTTTCGAAGCTCAAGCTCCTGGCATCTTTGCTCTAAAGTTAGAGTATTTGCTGATGCAACACGATAAAGATTGGAGGTAGATCTCCTTGAGCTAGTAATAAGTAAGCACTTAATAGCTGCTTGTTAAGTGCTTATAAACTTACTTATTATTACTGTTCTGTAATGACAACCGGGAAGATGATCTTGACCTTGCATTTCTTTCGGATAGTTGCTCTTGTTGTTCAGCTGTTTAACTATTAAAAGAATGTAATGAAGCTGGTCTTTAACGTTTGCGACTTCCTGATATTAATCAGTATTTGTAGAGAAACCTATAAAAATGTAACTTAGAATCAATTAAAAAACTTACTTTCCCGACTCATATGACGAAGATAATTGGCTTCCATATTTGAAGTTCGATATAAATGATAGACATTGAACTGTTTAAAATGATCATATTGGAGAATATCATCTTTATCCAGTTTAAAAGAGCTAGATAATATTAACAAAATATTTCATAAGCAGTTAATAAGTGCTAGAGAAGTGTTTAACAAGCAGTTAAAACATACTTTTTAACTGCTTCAACTAAAGTCAAATACTTTTCAGATACATATGACTTTTGATGAGACTGTTCAACAGCATTTGTATAATTGCACAAAAGATTAAAGTAATAAGGCTGAATTTTGGAACAGGCCTGATTCAGCCCTGCTTTAATAATAGAACTCTTTTTCTGTATCGCCCAATTTTGAACGTTTACATCCTCATACTCTAGAAACTAGTTAGTAAGTACTTGAGGAGTGCTTCTTAAGTGCTTAAATACTTATTAATAAGTCCAATAAAGTATTATAGTCTTCCTCTGATTGACTGTCTAATAGACTTATCATACGACTCCAAAGAGCAGTACCTTGGCTTCTTGTTCTAATAGCCTTGAAAATTGACCGTTGAAAATGGACTCTGCAAAATAGAATTATATGTTGCAGTTGCCATGTAACATCCCGGTGCTGGGGATCAATTTCAGAAAGATATTGACCAAGGCCTAAATAGTTAACAAGTGCTTAGGAACTGATTACAAAGTACTTACCAGTATATTGTTTTGGATCCATGTCAACAATTATACCAAAGATTCCAGACCCATAGATTGGATCAAAAAGAATTGGTTTCTGTACTACTTTCTCAACAAGTTCAAAAACTCGTTTAAAAAGTAAATAATAGCCGTCAGTGGAATCTTAACTTGTAAAAACCCGAAATAAGGTAATAACTAGTTATCAAGCAGTTAATTGTTAGTTATAAAACAGTTTTTTAGTATTAAAGTAACACTTACTTTTGCATTGATCTGGCAAGAATGTTGCGAAAAGAACCTCGTTAAGATCCTTTGACCGAATGCGCTTATAGGACATATCTACTTCAAAAGAAGTAAGCTGAGACAAAAGCTGGATTTGCTCTTTAAAACTACAGAGAACCATTGTACCGTAGGAGTCATAATATTGTTCTTAAATGTAATCCTAAACATTTAATAAGCATTTATTTACTGTTAGTTAAGTACTTGAAAAGTACTTACTCTCATGCTTAGGTTAACATTTTGAAGGAAGATAAGATCATTAATATCCTGACTATTAGAATATAAAAGTAACCGCTCCTTCTGGATAATTGTCGATATTTGATCTTTATTATAAAAGCTAGAGTGAATCTCTGCTAGTGTAAAAGCATTATATTGCTGACAGAATGCTTCAAGCTGCGGATTCCGAAGAAATTGGGCTAAGTTGAGATACACTGGTTAGTAAGTACTTTTTAAGTAGTTATCAAGCACTTACCTGTAGTCAAGCTTGGATCTCGAATCTGTTGAATCACGTTCTTTATTCCATTTAAGATTTTCTCTGGAGCCTTGCTCGGTAGTAGTAGTGGGTGTTTATAAATACTCTAAGATGTAAACAGAATATATGGGCACTGATCTAAATCTACTGGAATTAAAACATTGAAAACAATATCACAATATGTATATTTTAATCGCCCTGATCCTTGAGGATGATCTCGATCTTTACATAACTAGAAATCAGTTATCAGGTATCTGATTAGCAGTTGCTAAGCACTTACCACAGTATTGCCGTCGTAAAGATAATGGCTCAAAAATACCACATTCTTCAATTGGTAGTAAAAGCTTTTCGTTAAAAAGTCTCTCCAAGAACTGAAGATCTATAACTGTATGACCTTGAATAGTCCCTTAATAATGTTTAAACAAGAAATTAGATAAACCGTTTATACATCCAATATAAGGTGCATGTTCTCTGTAAATATTCTAAAATAAAAGATAAGTACTTACTTACCGTTTATTAAGTACTAGGAAACTTACCTTGTGAGAATATCTTTTGAATACTGGTTTGCAAGTAAGAAGATGGTCAAGGCAAGCATGATCTTTCTTAAAAAAAGTAATTTTTGATCGATAATAGCTATAACTGCTTAGTAAACGGTTCCTAAGCACTTAATAAGTATTTAAAATTATACCTGTATGCATTTCTCTTGCCCAGATCAGTCTCCAAGATTTGAATGTCTTTTTGAGAGTTTTGAATCTCCTGCCACATAGCCTCATTGACAGAGGTATAATGATAAGATTGTAAAAATAAACTAAGAAATTTACATGCATAGATTCCAGAGCATTTCCAAGTCCATCTCTCAACGCGACATCCAAGAAATGGGCAATAAACTGGTCTTTTCTTGTGTTCAAAGGGCTGTTTCTTCGCATATTAAATCTAGAAATACTTAGTAATCGAGTCCCAAGTAACTAACTACTTGGTAATCAGTCTTTAAGCACTTATTAAACACTTACGTCATGAACAATCTGTTCTAGTTCAGTCTTTGATCGTCCTTTTGAAGCAACAACATATGTGTATCCATGTATATGAGTTGCAGGATACTCCAGTAGATCATCAATATATTTTACTTCTAATGTTTTAAGGCTGGACCTTTTGGCATTGGTAAGTGGAGTCAGTACAGGCATCTCTTCCTAAAATAAGTAATTAGTTATTATTATTTAATTATTTAACAAGTGCTTCAGTATACCTGCGTATCAGAAAACATCTCTGATAGATGGTCAATATCAATAACTGAAAAGTTAGAATCTATTGCTGGATAAGAAAGACAGTGCTTGATAACTGATTATAAACCAATTTATAAGTGGTTAGATTTGGGGGAGAAAACAGTAAAATAAGGAAGAAGACGAAAATGAATTACATATTCTGAGTTCGGTACTTTAAATAGTCGCGCGTCTTAAAATGGCTGCATAGTGGTTTGGCAGTCACGTGAAAAGTGGAATAGTCCACTTGAGCTTATTAAAAAGACCAGCTGGCCTGTGTACACATCTACTCCTGCCGCCTGCGGTTCGACCTCGCTTAGTCATCGCTTAGTAAGCTAGATGTCTAGATAAGTGGCCACACCGGCCACCCAATACACAACACATCCATCGCTTCCACAGACTAACTAGAATAGGCAGGTGCGAGGCCATAAGCGATACCCGGTCCAACACTCAGAAGCTTAGCTCTACCATAGAAGAATCCCGGGAATAAATGATATTAGTGAGATACAACGTGTGTGTATTCACTAAAGATGTCGTAGGATTACCGGGGGTATCGGTGCTAAGCTACATACAGTAATGTAAGCGAGCGAGGTGCTTGAGCAGATATCGTCTTATGACATATCTTCATTCTGTAGGCTGTGACGGTCTACAAAGGAGCTTAGTAAAAGACAAGTTTGTTTATGACTCGTAGTCAAAGAATTTTCCCATAGGGAGGAAAAGGCTATCTAGGAGAGAGAATCCAGGGACTCTACATACTGCCTGGAGCTTGCCTCAGGCAGGAATGCCTGCAGGATCCCTAGGAATGTTCCTGGATGCCTGCCGCAGAGGATCCCTTGATCCTCCGGAACGTTCTCCCGTACAGGAAAGCCCCCTGGCTTCAGGAGGTAACATAGGCCTCATGGGAGAACATTCTATGATTGTATTCCAACGAGGATCATCTTTCATTTTCTTATCTTTTTACCTTGTTAATGAAGCACTTTGGCTTTAAGGGGTCTATGGAACATTCATTCCTTGACTCATCAATAGACATTCAAATCATCCACGAGCACCGACGGTTGCTGTTGTTGAGATGCAACGTGTGTGTAGTATTCAAGAGAGGTGGATTGTGGATACCTATTTAGGAGGCCTCTGTGTGAGGCGCTAATCTATACCAGGCAGTGGAGGTGAAGGTCCTTGGGGCACCTTCTCAAGAGCTGTGACCCAACAAATAACATGCTCGGTGACAAATGAAGAGGGTGATCAACACGGGAAATTCAGATACATATCCTTGACCGGCTCAAACACGGTGTCGAAGAACTTCTTCTGAAAATCCGGGTAGTTAAAGCTGTGGGACCGATCAAATGACAACTTGATACATCGCTCCGCTGCACGTCTATAAGGGCCTCCTTGGAGATCTTCAGTCTCCTCCAGTTTTTGCATCAACAACTCGTTGCGCTCGTACGGGGAAAGGTTTTTTGGGATGGGTTTGTTGATGCCAAGTTCGATAAGAAGTACTCCGAGGGCATAGACAAGTGTTTTCAGAGTTGGTTTTGAACATATTTCCCTGGTCGTATCTTCCGGTGACTCCGGGGGGTAAAGAATAAAGGAGACATACGGGTGCCGCGAAGGCGCCGCCACCTCAAAATTTGGATCGTTTTCATAGAAAATTTGCACTTGATCTTCGGCCCACTGATCACTCAGCCAAAGGCTCCCGCCTAAGTGGAGCACTGCCCAGGCAAGGGAGGCAGCGACGCCAAGACGCTCTTTATTTGTCAAGCGATGAGGTTTTTTGGGTTATACGTATCGCATCTCAGGTACGCTGAACGATACTTCCAGCATACCAATCATGCGTGTGAGATCAGCCTTTATTCTATCCCACTTCTTCGTAGTGAAGCTGAATTTCACACTCCTCCACTCTTGTTGAACCTTCGCAGCGTACTGGGGGCTTTTCTAGATGAAAACAGAAGAGTTAGTATGGTCTCAGTTCCTCATATTGGATTTCAAGGAGCCGTCTAACGTCTGGGTTCGGATATACATCCATTTCATTCAACGTCTCAGTCAAAAGCGTGTTCAAGTTATCGATTAAGTACATATACGCTTGAGTACTGCCTAAATAAATTCTCTCGATGTAATCGATTAACTGGTCCCTTGTGGGTTTCGGACCCAGACCTTTCTTCAGAATACGCTGCAGACGATTGTGCTGGATTATAAGTTCGAACCGGTACTACTGAAGTGACTTGTGGTAGCCCGTGAATTCTTTCAAGGGCTCTTTGTAGTATTTCAGTAGCTCGATAAGTAGAAGCAAAGTCCCCAAAACCAGGCCCGCTACTTCTGCCATAGTTTGATGAAGAGAACTGTAAAGAAGGGTGTAAAGAAGGGTGTAAAGAAGAGTGTAGAGAAGAGTGTAAGAAAGACAGCGAAGATTTATTCAGGCCTGAAAATATTAGCTGAAGTATATGAGACATCTCTACACAAGCGGTCAAGGGGTCACGGGGTCACGGGGTCGCTTGTACGACCAACAAACGGCCATGTCTGTGCCCCAAGCAGTTTCCTGTGTCTTTCATCGTCCATTTCAACTTGAGAAATCAAAATCAACACACTGGCTGTGGACTCCCACCTTATTATTTACATTCACAGCATCTTTTGACCAGGTGAAACGCTGCACTCGGGCTATTCACTGTGTCTTTTGACTTTTTATTGAGTTCCGTGATGGCAAGCCTTCCGGGTTTCTACGATTCATACAACCGATGTCTTCAGGGGTTCGAGACGTTTCTGTCGACTTTGTCCGAGAAGGACTGTCGCGCAGTAAACCTTAAGCAGGTTTACCTCCACGAGATCAGAGACGAGTACGGGAGGTTCGTGATTTGGAGAGACCAGATCAAGGCCCAACTCCCTGCCAGGGCTGAAGGATCCCTGGAAGATACTCTCTGGCACAACAAAGTGCTCAGGGGTTTGGTCTCTGAGCGTATTGAACATCTCGAGACCATCATATCTGAAGGCAGGTAGTCTCGTTGCTGGTTTTACTTTGAAAATGGGAAGGTTTCTGACAATCATCCGGCTGATCTTGTTCTAGCAACGACAATCGCCAAACGAAAACACAACCCCGCCGCTGAAACGGACGGAGATTCTATCTGCGCAGTGTCAGCGCCGACTCGGATTCAGATTCTGAGGACAATGAGCATCAACGACGAAAGCCAAAAATCCGAGGCCTTGTCAAATTTATAGTCTAACACATTCGAGGTCTCTACGAATTCACCTCGCTGCTCCATGGTTCCAGTCTCCCCGACACACCTGCGTGTCAAGACACGGACGAAGATCTTATAGTGGATACAGTGCAGCACTGGCGCAGCTCAGCCAATCACGGGCAGGACACTAGGTTGCAGAACGAGGCCATGACAAGCGATTCGGTGGATGATATCCAGTGGTTTTGTAAACGACTTGCAAGAGCAAGCTCAATACGAAAGGACCAGCTTCGACATTGGGTTAGCCATCCGTTGAGTCATCTGTTGGATATTTCCGACCCAATAAGAGATTTGGGACGAGACCCTGTTGGTCCGAAGTGGTGGGAATCACGCATCGTACCCAGTTTCCCCTCGAATCCTCCACCCGCAGCCAAGGAACATGTCATGTCCCCATGTTCTTTTTGTGGAAGAGAATACATCAAAGTGGACCAAAAGTCATGGGAGTAAGTCAAGCCCGTGTGTTTCCAATCTTTCAATTGGACCCTTAGTGACTGGGCAACTTCACAGACTCCATGTAACCCGCGATGTCAGCCCTTACGTCTGTACCTTCGAACATTGCCAGACTCCGGAGAAGCTATACAGTTGTCGCAGTGATTGGATCTACCATGAACAACAGGTTCATCGCCTTGAGTATGTCTGCCAGGGTTGCAATGACATAGTCTCTACCAGAGAAGAGATGATAAGGCATCTCCAAGAGCAGTGTGCCCCGTCCATAACCCCAAGCTAGCTGAGCGCTACTCTGTACTTCTTTGCTCGCCCCGTCGATGAACCTGGCGACGCGAAGGAATCCTGTCTCATCTGTAGACAGGAGTTCCTCTTGCGGGATTTACGTGATCATCTCGCAGCTCACATGGAGTATATTGCAGTACTAGCCCTTGCAGATTCGGATCATCATGCCGGAGTCCTACTATCAAAGACCTGGATGGGTATGAACCCATATATTGAGCCCACGGACAGCAGCTTGGCCATACTGAATCTTCTGTCACCTCGACGGGACGCCACACCAGTCCGTCCGTTATCCAGGGGGATTCTTTCCCCTTTGCCCAGTACTAGCGGTATCTATAAAGACAGTGTACAGGCGCTGGAGCCCCAGAGAACTGAGAATCTCTCGGAAATCTTGGTAAACGGGGTGGGCACCATCAAACCGATTTTTGATGCAGGGATTCTTGGCTCTTTCTTTAGAAAGAAGAGCACTATATCCATTATCGACAAGATGATATTTCTATCGCTTGCAAATTCGAGCTGCCTTTGTCTTCGCGGGAATGTGATTTCTATCGTCTCGCCTCCCCAGGTTACCGCAGTGGGTTAACCCCATGCATCCGAACACTCTCCATTGGTTTCGCATGCATTAAGTACTTTGGGGGTATAGAGACCCGCGAGTTTGTTCAAAACGAATCTACAGCCGGAGGAAAGTCAGATGGAGAACCAGAAAAATTCTTTGTGTCGCTAAGCTCAACATCTCACATGCCCTTCGGACCAGGTCTGATCAATCCCCATCTTCCCCGTCGGACTGCACAATTTTTCGAAAGAATTCGATTCACAGGAGCCACAACGGCTAGTACTCAGTCAAATAAGACTTACAACCTAGCAGTTGGGCTTTACGCAGACATTGCAGAAAGGGGTGATTCCAAGTGGGTGATGGTTGCTCGAAAGACTTTCGACCCGATTGTCGTTCGGGCTCTTTCTCCTGAAACCTACCGTGACTCTAGGGAATTTTGAATGAACAATGATTTCTTCTTTTCTTTCTTTTCTTTTGCCTTTCCTTTGTTGTTTATTATTGCTTTCTGTTTCTTCAGTAATTAAGCTGCATTCAGCGGGGTTTCAAAAAGCAAACAGGAAAAAGAAAGCAAGTGAAAAAAGACGGGACAAAGGCAAACAAAGGAACGAAGTCTTTCATTATTATCCAAATAGTTCCAATAGCTGGATAGCTCGAATATCACCCAGTTTATCATTATGCCAAACGATTAAATTCACAGAAGAAGAATAGAGCGAGCCTAACCACCAGAATTAAATTGTCTATTATTCCACTATTCATACATCTTCCATCCATCAAGATTATCTGTAGCAGCATCAAAAACGATCAAAAAGAATCAAAAACCAAGAACACAGGTAAAAAATACGCCTTCATCATTAGCCACCTATACTCCATACAGTACATGCGGGACCTTTAGAGTAGGGTGCCTGAGGCAGTCAGGCAGTCAGGCATCCAGGCATCCACCGTCCCGACACCTTCTCTGCCCCTCCATTCTACGCCCAGAGTCCTCGATTGTCGGTTGGAGCCTGTCCAAGTATCCACTTGTATTGCATTCGCCAATCGACGAACATCTCGGAACTTGAGTCTCCTGCCAACCCACATTCCCTATCATCCATCGCCCGCTCCTTATGGAATCCGATCCAATCAATCAATACCCACCCCGATCACTCTTCACCTCGATCCTCGTCTGGATGCGAATATCCCCATCATCCTTCACCAGATTCCGGATCTCGTCGTCCTCGAACCCGCTCCCGCGCGGCGACACCACCGTACTCGTCATCACGCCGTTCATCGACGTGAGCTGCGTTGCTTCGCCCTGGGCAGCCTCGGGGTCGGTGCCGGTGCCGTTCCGTCCGCTCGAGAGGTTCAGGTACGGCCGGTGTCTGTGGTGGGATCGTTTGAAACTGTGAGCCGGCCCTGTTCCAGAGCGCGCTTCGAGGGTGGAGTTGCCGCGGTCAGAGGGGTGGAGGATGCGGTCGCGGAGCCAGCGTGGGAGTTTCGAGAATAGAGGGCGCATGCCGATGAGGCAGGCTGCGCTGAAATACATTCCGCATTCGACGGCGGTCCAGGAGAAGGATTCCGTAGCCCCTGTTTTGAAATGGTTTCGTGGGTTAGATTTGGGGATCAGGCTGTGGGTGAGGTGAAGGTATATGTATGTGTATGTAGGTAGGTGGGGAGGAGACTTACAGGTAGCGTCTGTCTTGAACATTTCAGAGTCGCGGAAGAAAACCCCGGTTCGCATGCAGGAGGCGAAAAGACCACTGGGGATCGGGAAGATGATCAGTCCATGTCTCCATTTCTCGGAGGGTCGGAGGGTAGGTATACGAACATGCTTCCCATGAAAAAGACCATCGCAATACCAAGCTTCCTTCCCGCCGAGGCCTTCAAGCCCCACACCGTCGGAATGGGCAGAACAAGAATCATCAGATCGCCCACGACGTTAGGAATATTGCTCACTTCGTACCAAAGGATCTGGTCAAAGCATTTTCCGCCGCCCGGAAGCGTCTTATCCCACGTATATGCCAGTGGGACGCACTCAAGCTGGGCAGCGATGATGGTAGACAGCATATTAGCAATCAGAAAAGCGATCGCGAACCAGCAGATGCCGCGATAGAGCTTGCTGGTAAAGATGCGCAGGTAGAGCGCCACAACCGAGATACGAGACAGGCAATTCGAAGGCACGTAAAACCAATCAAGAATATAGAGAAGCTTCGCAAAAGTGACCATCATTTTGGGGTCTTCGGCCATGACCGAGGCGGTATGTCGACCGAGGCCGCCGTAGATGACATCGCCTGTCATTCATGTCAGCGTAATAGAGGTCGAGAGAGAAAGAGGACGAAGCCATACAGTATAGACAGACGATTAACCCCATTAAACAGATGTATGAGGGCACGAGCAAGAACTCGTCCCAACCTCGGACAGCCTTGGTGAGACTGCGTGCGTATAGTCGCATGGCCAACAGAATGGTGGTCAACACCAGAATAAAACTGGAGGCCACAATGACTTGACTGCTTCGGTCCTCCTCCAGGTACCCCGGAGGATAGTGAGGCTCCGCAGTCGAATCCGACATGGCGAGATGAAGGTGATGACAATGGTCACCAGGGAATGACAATGCGCTGACAAGTTGAAGGGGGGGGAGATCCAGAGCAAAAGCCTAACTTCATCCTGCGCGTCAGGCTGACCGTCGGCTGACCGTCGGCTGTCCGGGTCAAAGATGACCATCTAAGCCAGGGATCATCTCAGGCTTGCAACTTGGGGTCCGGGCAGAGTCACACCAGCTGCATGTCAGAAACTGGAGCCACTTTGGCGCTAACCAACACTTACAGTATTCTGCATGGTCCGATTATAGCGCCATTCAGGTTTTGTTTGCTCAACTTACCGTGAGATTAATGGATTTTTGGGATTATTCTACTCAGTACACACCCCTGTTACCACCATGTCCATACCCGTTTGTTTGGTCACCCAACTTCCCATCACCTTCCACGCTCGCTCTGGTTGGGTCAGCTCGATCTCAAATCGATGGAAGAACTCCGCCGCCACTTTGACGATTTGAATCATGGCAATATGCTGCCCAATACAGGTATGCGTGCCGGCGCCGAACTAAATACATCGGGACGGTTCCTGGTCAGCTTCATGCAGTCGAGAATCAAAGCATCCGATGATCACAAACAAGAAAAGACTTACCGTAAACAATAGCTTCTTCATCTCAATTCTCTCCTGTGCAGTTGCCTCGATCCACCGCTCCGGTCTATAGACATCGACATCGGCACCGAAGACCCGATCGCGATGGAGCACCCAGGCGTTCACTCCCACCGTAGTGTTGGCCGGAAGGTGGTACCCATCAATTGTAACCCCCTCTTTGGGGACTTTGCGCTCGAGAATCGTGCCCGTGTTGGGGTGAATCCGGAATGTCTCGTGGAGCACGGCGTCCCTGATAGACGGGCCTGCGTTAGCGGTAACAATCCCAATAGCCTGAGAAACAAGGAACTCACAGATATGGCAGCGACGATGCCTTCGCATAGGGCAACTGAGCATCTTCATGGTCCGACAGACCTTCTTCTCTACGTGCGGTCGCGATCTCCTCGCGCAGGATCTTCACGACGCGCGGGTTCTGCGCAAGATAGTACCAAATGGCGCGCAGGGTGATGGCGAGGACGTCATGGCCAGCCATCCTGTAGTCTCGATTAATCAGTCTTTATGCTAGGCTCTCGTTGCAAGAAAGACAAGCAGGAAGCGCAGGAAATGCAAGGAGGCCATACAGGTTAATGTAGATAGCGGCGTGGATTTCACGCAAAGAGACTTTCTCGGGGTGCGACTCTCGGAAGGTCAGGAATTTATTCAACATGTCTGTCTTTTTCTCCGAGGACTTTTGCCGCTCTTCCAACTTTTCGTTCGCAAACTATGGTAGATCAGTATTCTGTCCTTGCAAACCCCGAAGCCCAGAAGTGTAGTAGCTCACCAGAAGAAGAGGCTCGCTATTTTTGGTCAGCAGAATAGACGATAGCATTCGGAATATCGAATGCAGGATCGGGGATTGGGTGAACTAAACCGGGTCGGCGTCAGTTTGACAGGAGAACGCTATAAAAGCCAAAGCGATCAAGACAGAATACTACGCACCAATCCAACAGCCACGAACACCCGGTCAGCCGCCTCAATCCAACCGTTCATATCGCGCCCGTTCTCCAGAAAGCCGATGGTCTGCGACACATTCACCTGACTTAGAGAGTCGTAGGCATAGAAATGCACCCATGACGACATATCTAAGGACTTGCCTTGTTCCTCTTTCATGCGTCGCAGGAACAGCGCTACGCAATCGGCGATCTGCGGCTCAAATTCCTTCACGGCGGACTTGGTGTACAGTCCGCCAATGTTCTTGCGCAGAGTGGCATGGTATTGAGCGTCCCGGATGGAAAAAAGGTTCTCCAGCGGACCGTTCCGGAAGCTAGGCGCGCCCACTTTGTAAAAATCAGTCTAGATAGTGGTCAGATGAGAGGACGAAGGATTGTGCAGAGCTGACGAAGGATTGTGCAGAGCTGACGAAGGATCGTGGAGGACTGATAAAGAGCTGACGGGGATCCGGTACCTTGGGGAACGCGCTTCGAGATGCGTGAACCTGCGAAAAGGCCTCGGGGCTGGACACGGAAACATGATGCGGACCGATACGAACAACGGGTCCGTAGCGCTGATGTGCCGCCACATTGTCTAGATGCATATTCTGTCGGTAAATGGAGATAACCTTCCAGATGTTACTAAAGCTGGCCAAGAAAGGGCCCGGGATGGGACTGAGCGCATTGTAGCGAGTCCGAAGCAGCTGAAGCAGCAACAGCGCAACCGCGCAGAGGATTGTAGCGACTATGAACATTGTGGTCTGTGTAGGATTAAACCTGTTTTGATCAAGGACTGTGGTAGTTGAACGGAACGCAGCATTATTATAATAAATACTCTGTCCACACGTTCTTTGGCACCGTCATGGGGGCTGAGTTATTATTCCACAGTCTTACTTCGTGCCAACGAACGGCTCCCTGTCGATATGAGCTGATTTGCCCCGGTGAGAAGCCTTTGGCGTCATCATTCACCATCAAGCCGCCTATACTGTGCATTCAAATGAAACGGGGCCGTTGAAACGAGCTGGAGCGGCTTAGCTGCCTGTTTTTGATGCATCCGTCACCAGGCGAGGTCTAGAAGTACAACCATAAGGGATGTCGAGATTATAAAAGCCCCGATGGCTTCTGACTTGTCGACAGTTCTTTAGCCACAGATCAGACCATATCTCATAGATCTATTCTGGGTACACTCCTTCTCTCTATCTCCCAGGCCTTTCTTTCAGATCAGGCTGCAGATAATCTGCAGACATGGCTTCTACCCTTCTACATTCGTGCTTTTCAGCACTTCATTCTTCTTTTCTCAACCCTCTATCCCTGCTGCTTTTTTCCACCATCACGCAGAGGCCTCAACCCAAGGTGTATCCCTTACAGTCTCCTGCCTTCCAACGAGTCACGGCCGAGCTGCAGCTTGACTCTCACAGCGCATACTGGTGGTATACGTCCGGACTGCTCGTCAGCGCCTTGCTTGAAGAGGCCGGCTATTCATCTGCTGCCCAGTATCGCATCCTGGTCTTCTTCGGTCGCACGATCGCACCATATCTAGGGCCTATCTACCTTCCTACTCCGCAATGGCACAGTTTCATGACCGACGATCATCACCCCATCGAGCTCAGCTGGGACTGGCACACAGGCCACCACCAACCTCCTACCATACGCTTTTCCATCGAACCTGTAGGCATCCATGCCGGCACCCCGGCTGATCCTGAGAACCAACATGCCGACCTCTGCTTTCGCAAGGCGCTGGCCGCAGCTCTACCCCTGCCAGAAACCCACATGGCCTGGTTCCGACACTTTGACAATTTCCTGACGCCCAAGACCCCAACGGGCACGAGGCTGATGGAAGGCCACCCATCCAAGATCTTCTACGCCTTCGACCTTTCGGCGAACGCGGCCGTTACCAGCAAGGCCTACTTCTTCCCGGGGTTCCAGGCGCGCGCGACCTCCCAGACTAATCTCGAGGTAATCAGCGCTGCCATCGCCAGCGCCCCCGGCTGTACTTCCCTAGCGGCCCTCCAGACCTTTCAAGAATTCGCGCGCGACCCGCGGACCCCACCGCTGGAGATGGACATGCTGGCCATCGACAATGACCCGCCGGCTCAGTCGCGGCTGAAAATCTACTTTCGCAACCGCGCCACGAGCTTCGCCTCCGTCCGTCAAATGATGACTCTGGGCGGCCGGCAGTCAGGCACGCAGGACGATGACATGACCCGCGGGCTCCAGAACCTGCGGAGCCTCTGGGACGCTCTGTTCGATCAGGCTGGCGCGCCAGACACCCAGTCCCTCGGCAGCACAGGCCATCGTACCACCGGACTCCTCTACAACGTGGAATTCCGCCCCGGACAATCAGCGCTGAAAGTCAAAATCTATATCCCTGTTCGTCATTACGCCCGCAGCGACGAACACATCATGAAGACTGTTCATGATTACATGGTCGCCCAAGGAGGCGGGGGTCCTTTACGACGGGATTACGAAACCGTGATGCGGAAGATGGTGTAAGTTTTCCTGTCCTTTCCTTGTCCTTGTAACAATCCCTGATCCCTGTCCTGGTCATCCTTGGCCTTTTCCCTCTCCCCTTCCTTGCTTCATCCTCACAAACCACCCCACCCCAAATCCAAGTTTAACAAATACACTAACTCGCCCTTCAGCCACGCAGACGCCCTGCACGGACGAGGTCTGCACACGTACATTGGATGTTCAATCCAACCCGGGGGGGACCTACGAGTAGTCTCCTATATCAACGGCCAAGGGCCAAAACTACGGTCGAGAGTGGCAACGGCAGACACTAAAATCTGACAGCCGGGGGGGTGCTTCTTGCAGAAGAAATCTGACAGTTGGTTGGTTGGCAGGTGGGGATGTAGGTACCTACATCTATTTATATACCTAACCTGATTGTGCTGTACATAATACATGTGGGAAACGGCCCCCATGGCCATGATGGAGGGATAGATTGATTGCAGTTATTGTACATACGGAGTTGCGGTTTAGGGTTTTTATTGATTCATTTCTTTTTCTATGCGGTTTTCCAGGTGAATTGGGGGCTTGATCTCTAGGAGGGTAGGGTAGGACTGAATAATCTGGAATTCGAAACATGCATCATAGAATGCAAGGATGTGCCATATTCCAAAATAATGCCAGATAAGCTAATCAAATCAAATCAAAAATAAAACCTCTGACAGACTGACAAGGAACCACCTTTCTCATCGGGGCGGTCTACTACCTGAATTATAAGAAAAGTGGAGTTATTAGGGAAATATTTTTTTTTACTACTTTTTAGAGCGTGTTTAATATAAATAGTTCTTTAGAAGAAGTGGCAGGACAGTTTTCTACCGATAAAGTAGATATACCGCCTACCTAAGTACCTAATTATGGGGCACGTGGGGCCTTCTCATCCTCCACCTCATCCTTCCCGAACAAACAGCGGACTGAACCGTCAACCGACTGATCCAGAACGACCCACCCGGAGTTACCGCAAAACGGACTGCAGCAGTCTGAGCTGACAGCCCACCTGACAGGGTTACAGGGTTATAGTTACACATACAAGGATAAAGATACCTAGTAGGGTTACACTCGGAGTAGGTCAAGACTCAACGGCCCCCAAGAAATGATTGTGTCTTGCTGCGCCATAGGTATTTCGCGCAGTGAATGCCAAGTTAGTGGGTGTATATCCTTGATTTTTTGATGCTGGTCTTACTCTTACTAGTTATCACTAATGTATGTAACACTAACCATTCACTGACCTAAAATTAAATAACCAACTCAACCAGTCAGAATCAGAGTACGCTGTACCTGACTACCAATTGCCAGCCACTCCACCCCCAGCCTTAGCCTGCAAATCTGTAAATCCTCCGACGCTGACGATCGTTCAACGAACACTATTCGGTAGTAATTATTCACTAATCATGCAGTGAGACTTTACAGTGTAGTTAGTTAGTGCAGAGTAAAAGTATCGATAAGCCGCGCCGCCCCCATTCTATTTACCCAGTACGGACAACTATATGCTATATTGTACCATTGTACTGTACATGTGTCGGAGAATGTCTCGGCCCCCACCTCCCTTGCTTTGATCACCCAATATGCAATTCACATTGCACTGTCTCTGCAGTCTGCAGGTAGCCTGATTTGGTTCGGGGTTGAAGTGGGAATTTTTTGGTCGTCGCGATTCTCATGATCATATCAGGCTACGAGTCTAGGCTTGCGTTGGGATTGGATTGTCCTCGGTCACATACTGAGACTGAGTAGAGGTCGATAGGATAGGATAGGATAGGATAGGTATTATTATACTCTAGTTCGATTTTAATTTTGTTTATTTTGTTTATTTTGTTTATTTTGTTTTACCGTAGAATTCGTGTCAGTTTAGGAACATGATATGATAAGATTTCAAGTAATCAAGCCTTCTCCTTTCCAAGATTCTCCAAAAACTGCCCCGCCGCATCCACCACCGCCGTCTCGAACGAGCGGAACTGAAAGCCCAGCACCCGCTCCGTCTCGCTGGAATCATACGGCGCCGGCAACGTGGGGATCGAGCCCCGCGAAAACAGCCCCTCAGCCGTAGCCTTGGGGTAGGCCTTCGCGACGAAGTCGTACGCCAGGGCATAGTCGGCGGGGTTGCAGGCACCAAAGGCCCGCGGGGAGGCTTCGGTCGGCGCGTACTCTAGCGCCTGGAGATGCAGGGCGGCGAGGTCCTTGATGTGCACGAAGCCCTTGTGGACGGGGTTCGGGACCTCGTTGCCCGTGACGCTGGCGATGAGGATGCCGTTGGAGCTGTTGTGGAGGAAGGTGTCGTTGTCGCCGGGGTGCAGGTCATTGCGTCCGAAGATGTAGCCTGGGATGACGTGGGCGACGGAGAAGGGAGGGGTGTGCTGGGCGACAAAGGCGTCGGTGTTGTTGATCTCGTTGATCTTGCCGAAGATGTAGGCCTCGAAGACGTTGTTCAGCGTCTCGGGTTCCGGGAGGGGCACGCGCGAGGCGGCCGTGACGGTGACGTTGGGGTCGGGCATGGGGGCCATGTTGGCGACGATGGAGGAGGTGATGATAATGCGGTTGATGCTGGGGAAGCGCAGCGCGGAGATCAAGAGGTTGGAGATGCCCTTGACCGTGGGCTGATAGACGTCGGTGAGGGGGTCGGCGCCCGGCATGGGCAGCGGGGACCCGACGTGGATGATGGAGGTGATGTCCTGGAGGGCCTCGTCGAAGGCGCCCTCGACGGTGATGTCGGGGACGATGACGGAGGTGAGTCGCGAGCCAGGGTTCAGCGCCCGGACGACGGGGTTGGAGAGCACCTGTTGCGCCTTCTCGGCGGAGCGCGCCGTGATGCGGACCTGGTAGCCATTGCGCAGGGCGTCGAGCAGGACATGCGAGCCGACGTAGCCGGTAGCACCGGTCAGGAGGAGAAGAGGTGCCATGGCGGGTGTTGGAGGTGGCCAAAAAGAAAGAATGAGATTCAGGCGAGAAGTATGGAATGGGGTCCAAGGCCGTTGAACGGGAGGATTAATATACGTAGTTCGAAACTCCGAATTAGTAATGCCTCACCTGGGCGGAGTGAGAAATTAGCGCCTGGGGCTGAAAAGCGGGACTCTCCGCCCCTTTTCGATCGGGATCTGTCATGCATCGTGTGCATCGTGCACAGTGCACATACCCTATCAATCCTTCATGGAATCATGGCACCGCCTCCCGAGGCTTGCATAAGTACCGCCCGTCCTTGTCCGTGGCGTGTCAAATCTTCGGCATCATCCATCGAATTCTCACAATGGATCCATCTCGCGAAGAAGCCATTCACCACGACCGCCAGGTGAAGATCATTTGCATCGGTGCTGGTGCCTCGGGACTCTGTCTCGCATACAAGCTGCAGCGATCCTTTACCAACTATTCCCTCACAGTATGCTTCCCCCCCCAATTCGTGATCCAGAATGCTCATGAACCTTTTTTTGGCCCTATAGATCTACGAAAAGAACCCCGACGTGTCCGGCACATGGTATGAAAACCGCTACCCCGGCTGTGCCTGCGACGTGCCCTCGCACAACTACGTCTACTCGTTCGAGCCCAAGGCCGACTGGTCCTCCGTGTACGCCGGCTCGCGCGAGATCCGCAGCTACTTCGACGGTTTTGCAAAGAAGTACAATCTAGCCCCGTACATTCGTCTCTCGCATCTCGTCACACACACTCAGTGGGACGCCGAGAAGGGCCAATGGAACGTGCAAACCAAGGACCTTGCGTCCGGCGAGACTGTCTCCGACTGGTGCCATATCCTCGTGCATGCCACCGGGTACCTGAACAACCCGGCCTGGCCGGATGTGCCGGGGTTGGACATCTACAAGGGCACTAAGTTGCACAGCGCGGACTACGACGACAGTGTGTCTCTGGCGGACCGCGATGTGCTTCTCATCGGGGGTGGGTCGTCCGCGGTGCAGATCCTTCCCGCAATCCAGCCGATCGCGAAGAGCGTGAAGATCTTCATCCGGTCGCCGGTGTGGGTCTTGCCGGATATTAGCGCCGAGGCGGGCGCGTTCTCGAAGGAACAGATTGAACAGTTCGTGAAGGATCCGGCGAGCGTGACGAAGTTGAGGCAGGAAAATGAGCGCACGATGAATAGTATCTTCAGTATGGTTGTCTGTGCGAACGGATCTGGTTAATGGGAATGCTAACGAGCAAAATTAGCGGTCTATCTCAAAAACACGATCCTGCAACAACAATGCAAGAGCCTTCTGGAATCAGAAATGAGGAAGCTCTTCAAAGACAAGGAGCTAGAAGAGAAACTCATTCCCGACTTTGCCGTGGGTTGTAAACGAGTTGTCCCCTCTGGGTTCCGATATCTGAAGGTATGATATACTCCCTCTCATTCCCATCAGCTCCCTCTCTTGTCTCCAACAGGCACTAATAGTGCCTTAAACAGACCCTCCAAAAAGAAAACGTCACCATCGTCCACGGCAGCGTCACCTCATTCACCGAATCCGGCTGCACCAGCACCAGCAACACCAACGACGAAGAGCAGCAGCAGCAGCAGCACACAGGCGACGTAATCATCTGCGCCACAGGCTTCAACACCTCCTACGTCCCACGCTATCCCGTCCTGGGCCCCTCCTCTCGCAACCTGCAGACCGAACAAGAGACCTCCATCTCCGGCTACATGGGAGTCGGCATCCCAGAGTACCCCAACACCTTCACGATGCTAGGACCGTGGACGCCCGTATCCAACGGTCCCACGCTGATCGCCATCGAAGCCCAAGCGGACTACATCTGCTCCTTCGTGGACCGGTACCAAACGGAGCCGATCCACAGCATGGCGCCCAAGAAGCGCGCGGGCGAAGACTTCAAATCCCACGTCGCCTCCTTCATGGACAAAGCCGTATGGACAGATAGGTGCCGCAACTCGCACAATGGCCACAAGATTGGAGGACGAATCCCGACGACGTGGCCGGGCAGTACGTTGCATTATCTAGAGGCGCTGAGGGAGCCGAGGGCTGATGATTGGGAGATCGAGTACTCCGGGAACCGGTTCTCGTGGCTGGGCATAGGAGTCTCGCAGACGGAGTGGGATCCGACGGCGGATTTGGGGTATTATATTCGGGAGAAGGACGATGGGGCTTGGGGAAGTCGGAGGAAACGTACCCTGCAGATGGCGAAGACGGGGAGTTTGCCGCCGAGACAGTTGCATCGGCAGGCGAAGTTGGCGGCCGCCGTGGGTCAGAGGAAGGGGTCTGCGGAGCCGACAGCAAAGGTCGAATCCACGGTGGAGGTAGCGGAGGTTGATGGAGAGGAGGGCAGTCCAAGAAAGAAGCCACGGAGTGTTGAGGCTGTGGTGCCTGTGTAGAATTATTTCAGGTGACAATACGTGCATAAACTTCGTCAAGTCCTTTTTGAACCAGTAGAAGCCTACTAGCACTGCCATTATGCCCGTTCATTAAGTTTGCTCAAACCCAAAGATTTGGTTTGCTACTGGGAGGTTTGAAAGCTCACGCCAGCCATGATCCTTACTACTATATATTAATTTAGTCAAGATATCAATCAAAGCCTTCAAGACCACCTTCAAGGAACCCTTACAGACTAAAATCTTTACAGTTTTGACATAATATCTGGTCAGCTAAAATAAGCCGAAGATCTTCATAATACTATTTGCCTATCGCCTATCCACAAAATAAACCGATTTATACTGCCAAATCCCGTTAAGAGTTCCATGCCGAGGAAACAAAGAATTGCAAGAACAAATGTGAAACCAATCATCGCCGCAAGTCCATATCCGAGAATTAACCCCCAAACGACGACATCTTTGAACAGGCCAACTATAAAAGAAGTCAAGATGAGCATCCCCATGATCAACGGAGCAATGAGCTGATAAGGTAGAATAATCCGCCACGTCTTTTTGATTGCTGGTTTTATCAAGAACTTCGTGCCATGTTCTTTGACAAGATCGAAGAGAATCAATAACACCACCACAGTAACTGCAAACGCCATGAAGGGGACAACGACGCCCAGAAAGTCGTATAGAAGAACCCCAAGGCTGTTGAAGCGAGATTGCAAATTAAGAATACCGGCAGCAAGTGACATGGGAAGGAAAATCGTGGCAAGGAGAGTTAAACGTTCCACAATCCTCGTCTGGTCCATATTTCAAGCCAAATCAAGGAACTTCAAATTATCATCCATATCATTGTTTGGTCCTGTGAGGCGGTTCCTGACATCCTTGCAGTATCCTTGAATCATTGCCTCTAGCCTGTGAACTTCCGCCCTGGAGTCTGGGGACTGGGGTTTCGGTAGTTGCTTAACCACACTAACTAGCGATTCGAGCGTGTCGGTCAAATCATTGCCATGAGGACCCATCGTCGCAATTTTAAGGAGCGAGGGTCGAAATCCCTTCTCCAGATTGATGCGTGTTTCTGTTCAAACTCCTGGAGTGTTTGAATGAGCAGGTTTATATTTGCATGTTGGTATTGAAGCAGAAATAGCTGCTTCCAGTTTTCTCTGGATCGTACTCGACTATATGTATCATCGAGCTCCGAGAACGTCTTGATGAGATTGTCCGTAGAAGTGATGGCCGGTGAGTCCCTTTGCTCTATGCTCTCAGCAGGCCTTTTAGTATTTCGAAGACTCATTGTTTTACATGATATAATGGCTGTTCATAGATGTTACTTAACTGAATGATGCCAGTAATTACCAATTTGGTTTTTACAGGAGAAGGGATTGGGAATGGAGACTTGCCAGTAAGTTGCCCGGGGACAGCCTCATGAAATCTTAGTTTTCGCATTTAGGATTTCCAAGTCGAGTCTCTGTCAACATCTCTAGCATATTGACCCTTGCCGAAGGATTCCCAGACGTCATCAGACCGGAAAGCATTCGAACTATCGAATTCGATCCCATCAACTAAGTACCAGCTGTTTTGATTGGTCTCGGGTCTCCAGAGCGATGCGGCTGCAGAGAAACCTATGCCATGATTCTCTTTGCCTGAAAATTCCATCCCTCTAAATTGGTGCAGATGCTCCCGGAGACGTTCGAGAATATCATTGTTGGTGCCGACTTCCTCGATATACACACGGATAGATCCCGTCGCTTGTCCCTGCTTTTCTAGCTCTGCGAACACAGTGGATACTTCAGACTCTCCTAGAGAGCGAGCAACGAATTCACACTTGCCCTTCGAAGAAAAGTGTATATCGTCGACGTGGAAATAGGAGCTTTCGGGAAGTTTCCCTGGAGATTCTCTATAAGATAAGGCCATCATATGACCCAACAATAACAACGGATCCATTGTAAAGAACGCCATAGCTAGTGTGAAAAATCATCCAGTTGGTATATTAGCTAGACTAGTAGTAGTACCAGCAACCTGGAGGCTTCGGACTTCTCACCGTCTTTATTTGGGCACTGCCTAGGAGCTGCCAATGACTGCTTGTGATCAAATGTTTGCGTGACCTGTTGAGTGGGTCATCATTGTTAGTGTTCTAGGGGCCACATGCACCGCGGTAGTCAATAATGATGAAAAGTATGAATAAATTATAGTCTGATCAATACTGATGATATTGATTTATTGATGTAGGAAGAAGCGAGGTCTACGTAAGAGGTCTAAGGAGGGGTAAGCAAACGGCGAAATGCCTGGCATATTGCCCCACCCAGGCATCTAAACGCCAACAATCATCGTCTTCTAAGGAGATACTAACAATATCGTCTTGAATCAGTGATATTGTTACCTCCTGAAGCCAGGGAGCTTCCCTGTACGGAGGAACATTCCGGAGGAACGTTCCGGTTAGTTAGTATAGGATCAAGGGATCCTCCCTCCTAGAGAGCCTTTCCTCCCTATAGGAAAATTCCTTGACTACCAGTCATAAACAAATTTGTCTTTTACTAAGCTCCTTTGTAGACCGTCACAGATATTGTGATCGAGTTCCACCTGTTGTGCGGCCCGATCCGCGGATCAAGACAATTTCGAGAAGATTTATGATGGAAAATGTTCTGCCCATATTTCGATCTAAAAACTATGTTTGCCAATCAATATGTCTTAGTTGTTGGTTGTTGTTATTATATTCAGTTGGGTAGAATCGCTCCCGCTCGGAGGGCACATCCGAACAGCAAAAAAAAAAGCCACAAAAAAGAATCGACAACTGCAGGATTCGAACCTGCGACCCCGAAGGGATAAGATATCAATGTTTGAGAAGGTACGAGACCACTCAATTCGAGTCTTACGCCTTAACCACTCGGCCAAATTGCCCGATTGTTGAGAAGCAAGCTATATGCATGATATATATCCATTCACTAACCACTATCATAATCAATCATCATGAAAATGCAGACGTCCATCCCCCCGGCCCCTTCCTCTACTACAAATGCTACATAGCTACACCTTAGATTTCTGCTCGAGATTTTCAAGCTTCAGTGTTAGCAATTCTCAGCGACCTTTTGGGTTCGGGTTTGAACCAACTGTCTACGAATACGTCTTCTTTCTTTTAATCGGTTCGATCCCAACGGAGTATATATTTTTGCCTCAGCTCGAACTCTCGACGGCTGTGAAGTACGTCCTGGGTGCTAGGCAAACCACCACGGTGATCAAGAACAATCCCTAGAATAAGTAAACAATTGATATTTCTAACAATTATCCTCCATCAACTGATGTCGCAAGAAATAGATCGACCTTTAATATTGGCCGACAGCGAAATCCTTGGTATCGGGCGCCTCATGCATTAAACACGACTACAACCACGTCAATGTCCACTTATTATGCTGTTACTAAAACCCGCAGAGATGTTCAACAGGTCTGTTTTCTTATGTCGCAGGCTTCATTATATTCTTGCTTATTTATTCATCCTTGCGTTTTTCATTAAGCTTGTTCAGTATGTACTCTGGGCAATCTGAACTAAACCGCTAGGCAGCACTGAACAGCTATATATCGCAAAAAAAAAAAAAAAAAAAAGGCCAGAGAGAAAAAGAGAGAAATAGATAGATAGAGAGAGAGAGAGAGAGAGAGAATTTTGTGTAGAATGCCTATGGGAGCGGATGACGCAGAAGATTGATTTGAAGAATTCTAGGAAGATTTTACTGGAAATAAAGCGGGCTTCTCTGATTAATTCTCTTGGATTATTCTTTATTAGAGCGTGATATTTGAATGAATGGTTAGCTCATCAGTATACAGTAGCACAGTAGTTACAATACATAGAACATGCTCCTTCTCCCAGTCTCTCTCAAAAAATTACAATACAACCCACAACGAATGAATACTTAGAAAACGGGAACCTTGAAGGCTGAGAACTCATAGGTCCAGCTGTCAATCGACTTCTCGTCATTCACACACTTGAACGCCGAGCTGTTGCCACTCCACAGAGGGCGAGTGGGCCACTGGCACAGCATCTGGGTCTCACCGGCATGATCACCCGACGAGACAGTAGCGTTCAACCGACTCGGCTTGTTGCCGTTCTCCACCCAGTCGATCATCGTCTCCATGTTGTACTGCGGGTACGGTCCGGGCTGCAGGGAGTTCGAGCCACAGTGCGCGGCGCCAGGGATGAGGTAGAACTGGTACCAATCCTCCAGGGCCTTCAAGCTCTCCTGGTCCGAGAGGTGAGGGTACATGATGGCGCGCACGGACTGCCAGTAGTGCACCGACGAGGCGGCGGGGATGCTGGGGTCGGATTCACCGTGGTAGTGAATCATCTTGCCGCCGGAGGACTGGAAGGGTGTAAGATCCGGCAAAGTGGTCTGGAGACTGTCCATGTACCGCACCATACCGGTGGTCATCCAGTCGACGAGCGTGTCGTAGGTCACGCCGTTCAGGTCGCTCAGGTTATCGAGGTCCAGCAGCTGCACGAACTTGGTGACGTATTCACCGCCGGTGGATGGGATGTTGAGCTCCCAGGCGCTGGTGTTGCTGTTGTAGGTGGGAGCCGCGTCGCTGAGATCAGATCCGATTTGCCACGACAGGTAGGCGCGTTGGCCCTTGCTGTCGTGGAGACCATCATAGACAGCCTGGGCGACGGCGACACCTTCGGCGGTCACCGTGCCGTTTTGCTCAGGTTGGTAGCTGGTCGAGCTACCGGGGGCCTGACGCTTGCTGAAGCCGAAGCCCAGCGAGGTGCTGGTCTGCGCGGCGCAATGGTAGGGCTCGCCGATGATAGAGGTGAGGTTGAAGTGGAGTTTGCAGAGGTCGGTACGGGAAATGACGCCGTCGGTACGGCCGTCGAGAGGGTCGCAGGCGGCGATGGTGGCGTTGACGATCTTGTCCAGCTCGCAAGGAGGAGGGTAGTAGTCCATCGTGTGCTCGATGGTGGCCGGGTAGACGTGATGAACTTGTTGCTGCGCGAACCGGAAGGCCGGGGCACCGGCAATCACACCGTCATATTCCTCACCCCAGCGCTGCACCTGGCTCATACCTTCGCGACCGCCGTCCGAGCAGCCTTCATAGTAGGTGTAGACCTTGGAGTCGGTGGAGAGGCCGTAGAAACCGCGCGTGAGGACCTTGCCGAGCTGGGTCATCTCGCCGAGGGCCTGGTAGCCGAACATGTGCGTGGCATCCCAGTTGATGGAGCCGTTGCCGTAGAGCACCACGTCGTCGTAGCTGTTGTCGAAGGCGTCGTAGCCGGCCGAGGTGGCACCGCCGACGGCACCGTAGGAGAGACCGCCGGTTGCGTCGCTAGAAAGCGAGAAACCGCCTCCGCCGGCGACGTAGAAGCGCTTCTTGAAGTCAGAAGGCTTGGGGAAGGCGTACTTGATGACCACTTCGTCGTCTTTTCCGGTGTGGGTGTAGGTGACGGTCACGTTGCAGTAGGTGAAGGTCTCGGTGCTACCCATGTCTGCGGAGGCGTTGTAGACGGCACTTGCGGTGACGGCGGAGGGGATGAGGTCAATGCCCAGCAAGGTGCCGTTAGAAGGAAGGGCGTCCTGCACGTTGGACTTGGTGCAGACATCGGTCAGAGAGGCGGCGTTGGCCGTTGCTGCCAGGGCAGCGACAGCTACGCTGGACTGAGGGCGCATGGTGAAAAGTTAGAAGAAACGAGTGTAGAGAAACGAATAATCTTGCTGATCCAGGAATCCACAATCCAACGGCAATCCGGGCCAATTTATACTTCGACCGGCCTGCCATGATCAGCCCCGTAGACTTTAGGCTTCCGTTTCAACGTCCCAGAATGAACCCGAACGTTGCGTGGCAATGAAGCCAAGAAATTTCTAGTCAGGAATAGACTGATATGCCGCGTCATTCCACGGTCCTCATTATTTGCAACAGCCACTCCAGGGCTAACGCGGCATTAGGGGGTGGAACCGAGGGAAAAGATCTTGATAAGATTGATTGAGGCACGCTGATTGCTGCTGTTTGGGGGTAAGCTTAATTGGTCCCCACAGGCTTTTCGTCAGGATCCAGAGTGTAGAGCCAGAATGTCGCGCTACCTTCCTTGGTGCGGAAGAGATTGACCGTCCGGAGAGGTCCCGTCGCAGGAGTGAACTTAGGGTTTTTTCATATCCATCTCCATCTTCAGCCTGACAGGGCGGGTTCCGGGTCTGTTCACTTGCTCCGTTCGAGGGTCCGCGACTATACAATAACCTCATGGGTCAAGGATCACACACTCAGAACTCAATTGCTCCTTGTCTTATTATCCTTTTTACTCACTTTTAAGAAAAGTCTTCCTGCCGGACAGAATCCGCCAGTTTTTCTTCCGAGAACTGTCCGATGGTGCCTGAGGCTGTAGAACTGAACTAACCACATCCGGAACACAAAACCGAGCTGCCTCGGAGATTCGGGGATAAGCAAAAACCTCGTCAATCCCTTTCTGTTCTTCTCTTCTCTCGTGGTTCTCCAAACAATGTTCAAATCAATCATGTTACCATTGTTAGTATCTGATTAAAAGCATGTCGGAATTAGGGACTCAGGCAAAAATATACAAAAAGCGATCGAATCCCCATTTCCAGTGACCTCGGAGATGATGCTCAGTCACCGCATCGAAATATCTCTAACTGCTCGGAAAAGAGCTCAGCCGAATTCCTATCGAGTATAGTGCAAGGAGTGGGTATTGTGGGAGTGTGGGAGTTTGTGGGAGGTTGGCTCCAGTGGTTACTTCATATGAATCGTCGAGCGGACTAGATTCGGTCAGGAGAAGACATCTTACGCACACGTTTGCCTGGTGCGTTGCAGGTTCTATTCAAGAATTTACCTGCATTACTTCCACTGTCTCGTTAGCTCTCAATAACTGGAGCGGACTCAAGGCATCTCGGTTTTGCTTCTCACTGTTGTTGCGATCTCTATGTTCGAGTGAACTTCCTCGGTGAGATTATCGTTGCATGAAGCTACTCATGTGATATTAAGTATTACCTTGCATCGTTGACTGGGCATTCTATTTGCAATGAACTTGAACTGAAAAATACAGACGCCTTAAGATTAGTCTGATCCTGTTACAAATATTCTCGTACGTAAAGTCATCGAAAAATGTTTCACTAAGCCCGAAATACCACGGAGCTTGACGATAGTAACTTGGACGTTATGATCGGCAACACAGGAATTGGTTCATGTAGCGGTCATTATCATCTCCGGGAAGATATTGAAGGAAAGAGCGGATATGAAATCAAACGCGCAATAAATCAACGCACATGCAATAGTGCTGTCGCTCGTAAGTTCGCCATCAACCATATCCAGAGAGTCACCATCGACTACGGAACAAAAGCTTCGGCCGTTTCTTAGAGCGGACTGCAATGATAGAATCTTTCTACTTCCTGCTAAGCTATCATATTCATGACTGACTCGGAGACTATGTGAGCTCATGAAATCAAGGGAGTAAAGGCAGACTCTCACTAGTTAATGAGATGACTACAATGATAAATTTTGGTTAATGTAGCTCTATGGGATAAGAATACCTATGTGATCAGTCGAAAGTTCATTCGCCTACAAAGTTAACATAAACTTAATGCACAAACCATTTATGCAATGGACCGCACTTTATACAACTTCTAATATGGTGGTCTGGACGAACGCTGATAGTATATGATAGTCTGATTTTCCCAGGCCTTCCTACAAGATGAGTTAATTTAAGTTAATTTAATATAAAGGACCTGCCAAACCTGGACCTACGGTGTATATCCACCAAAGAGAAGTAAAACAAAAAAGTACTACACAGTTGCCCTAACATATCCTCATGCCCTGTAGGCGTAATTGTGCGTGCCACCGGCTCTTATTTAGGTTTCACAACCTGGGTAGGTTATCGCTTTCATGAACCCATTCCTATTTTTCAGATTCCTTTGTCCAAGAAAACCCGGTCTGCATACATCATGGACTGTGGATGTTGTTCGAGAAGCCTAGCTATAAAACAGTGATTAGATGAAATCATAAATAATCCTCTCGGAGAAAAAAGTAGAAAACGGAAATGAAAGCCCGTTAACAAGCCCAGTAAATCATATGATTCACACCGGCAGAAAGACGAAAAATACGAACCAGGGAGCCTTGGCTCTTCTCTCTTGGCAACGGACATTGAGGCGGGGTGCATCAGCACCGGTGGAATTGAGGGCCCCGGTGAAATTGCTGCTATGACCGCACCCCAGTTTTATTTTTATCTTTGGGGCCGGAATATGCTGATCTTTGCCTTCTCTGTTTTCTTTTTTTTTGCGTGCACATTAAATTAACATTCTCTTTTTCTGTTCATAAACGTCCATGTCTCGTTCGGTGCTCGGTTTTCGATATGGCCTTTTCTCGCGGTTCGGGGCTCGGCATTGAGACGATGTTAAAAAGAGGATAATCAGGACAACGCACGGATAATGAAAGAAAGGCTATCTTACACGTTCAAAGATCGACACGAGGGTTACTCAGCTAGGATTGGGGTTGACCTCACACCCCGAATGCCGAGCGACTCTAACTACTGTAGCCATCCAAGGCAGTGTATTACATGCTTCACATTGTCTTAGACTTCGCCCCGACGAGGCAAGTGCGCTCCGGGTATTAAATAGACCGTCGACTCTGGGTGGTGAACTAAATTCTCTGCTCATTTTGATTCTCTATTGTCCTATATAACATTTACGCGAGGAGGTTGGTGAACAAAAATGTATACTCACAACCACCTTCCAGGGCTCCTGCTCCTCTTCCTAGCCCTAACGGGCGCAGCCTCCTCCTCCCAAGCGACCACCGTCGACGCCGACATCGACGTCGCCATCATCGGCGGCGGCCTGTCGGGCCTCAGCGCCGCCAAAGACCTCTCCGCAGCGGGCAAATCCTTCGTGGTGCTCGAAGCGCGTGATCGCGTCGGCGGTCGCGTTTACAACGCCCCCGTACAAGGCGGCGGAATCACCGAAGCCGGGGGTGAATTTGTCGGGCCCACACAGGACCGCGTACTGGCGCTCGCAGACGAGCTCGGACTCGCCCAATTTCCGACCTACAATCTGGGCAATAACACGCTGTATCGCAATGGTACGGCCTCGCATTACGACCCAAGCACCCCCACGGGCCTCCCGCCGGGGATTGGCAACGACGCGCTCCTCCAGGCCGTTGCGGTAATCAGCGAGTTGGATCGCATGGCGGAGAGTATTGATGTCGCGGCGCCATGGAAGCATACGAACGCGACGCGGTGGGACGAGGTCACGTTGCAGACGTTTGCGGATGGGATATTGACGTTGTCGGATGCACGGTTCTTGCTGGAACTGGGAGTCGGGGCGGTCTGGTCGACGAATATGGCGGAGCCGTCGCTGCTCTACATCGCGGCTTACATTGCGGCTGCGGGGAACGAGACCTCCGTGGGGACGTTGGAGAGACTGATTGGCGTGACGGGCGCCGCGCAGGATAGTCGGATCCGCGGTGGGACGCAGCTGCTGGCGACGAGACTGGCGTCGAAATTGGGAGATGAGAAGATCCTGTTGAATTCGCCGGTGCGCGCGGTCCGAAAGACAGAGGAGGGGAAGTATACGGTGCAGTCGGATGCGCATACTGTTACGGCAAAACATGTCGTGGTCGCGATGTCGCCGCCTCTCGCTGCGAGGATCTCCTATGACCCGCTGCTGCCGCCAGGGAGGGATCAACTGACGCAGCGCATGCCGATGGGAGCGCTGGGTAAGGCGATTGCGATCTATGACTCGCCGTGGTGGCGCGAGAAGGGCCTCAATGCGCAGGTTCTGAGCGATTCGGGGGCGGTGCGCTCGACGTTCGATAGTTCGCCGCCTGACGAGAGCTTTGGGGCGATTATGGGATTCATGGAGGCGGACCAGATGAGGCGGTTGGATCGGTTGACGGAGAAGGAGATCCAAGACGAGGTGGTCAAGGACTACGTGCGGTATTTCGGACCGCAGGCGGCGAATGTGAGCTCGTGGGTCATTCAGCGCTGGGACCATGAGGAGTTCTCCAGAGGTGGACCGGTGGCGTATGCGGCGCCAGGAGTGTTGACGAGATACGGCGAGGACTATCTGAGGAAGCCGGTGGGTGGGATTCATTTCGCGGGCACCGAGACAGCGGAGTACTGGACGGGCTATATGGATGGGGCTGTGAGGTCGGGGGAGAGAGTTGCTAAGGAGATCCTGGATGAAGCTTAGATTATGGGTATTCTTGCCCAGTGGTCTATAATGGATGTTAGTAAAGTAAACGAAGAGCTCTGAGCAGGAGACACCTAGGTTTCATTAAATGAGGTCTCTTTCCAGTTTGGTGTTTCTTCAGATATGTCCCAGAAGATCCCTAGCCATCTGTGTATCTTATCACTACCTGCATGTAGGCCGAATACCGTAGGCCATAGGCCTCGCATTTGCCACAATGTTGTTACAGGCTCTGACCCCAACGCCAAGCGACGTATCTGACGTGGTACACAGGATAGGTTTCCCATCCGAAGACCTGCTTCCTCGGACAATTTTAAGTCTGACGGAACTCGGCAGAAAAGAAGAAACAGAGCATTGTTAGTGAGTCAATGAAGTAGAAGGAGAGACGAGAATCAATTTGCGTTGATTGAACCCAGATTAACCAACCTAGTCAGTGGCTTGATCTGAAGCAGGATTCAACCCTATCATATTCATTATTCCTTGTTTTGCTTTGCAATGAAGGTTTTCAATTGGCTGTACACGCAGATCAATTCTTTGTCTTATTTTCTATAGTTCTGTTCTAAATCAATCGGCGATTGCGATTGTGCCACGTCACTAAAACCCGTGGCTGAGTTGGTTTTTTGGTTGATATTAAAAGAAGGAGCTATTTAACATGAGTTGGTACCCAACAAACGCCCTTGGTCTGACGTATCTCATCCCATCCCATCCCATGCCGTACAGTCATAGACGCCTATCTAGAAATTAAATGTCCCTATACACCTACCTGATCTTATAAATCTCATAATCATCGCTCGCGTCAAAATACTCTACATCTCTCGTCTCAGTTTACATAAACAGCCACGACCACATCGACCACAACCAAGTGCGAAAAGCGAGAGGAGAAAAATGAGGAAAAGGACGAATGTTGTGTGTTACATTGGGCATACAAACGGAGGCAAAATGGCTGGGTGAGTCATGGTCGTGGTACAAAATAATGACCTGAGAAGGTCAGGTTGAATCTGAGAAATACTCGTCCAGCAACGGCCGATCCGCTGGCACGGGCATAGACTTCAGCAGATACTCCCGATTTTTCTCAGCAGTCCTGAAAATTTCGTTCAGCTTTTGCCAGACGCTCTGCGACGAACTGCGCAGCTGAGGTTCCAGGACGATCATGTCGCCCATGATCAAGTCCAACAGATCGTGAATGACTGCGGAGCATCTCTCCTGGCTTCTCAGGTGATCAACCCATTCGAAAACCGACGTTCGGATTCCTTGATGGTCAGTCATGTAGAAGCAGTCGGAGCTGAACTCCAGGTTGTCATCGTCGTTGCCTCTCCAGTTGGCAAAGTCTTCGATGGCTTCATAGCCGAGCACGATCCAGGTGACGAACTCGAGGTACATGCATCCCAGACTCCACATATCCCATGCTCGAGATATCCGTCTCCCTCGAAATGCATCGGGCGGAGAATATGTGGAGGGAACGGTAATAGATGCAGGGTTCACGTTGGATCGAGATCCCAGACGATGGACACTGGCCAATCCCATGTCGGCGATTTGCAAGATGCCATCCTCGTCATCATAATCTTGCAGACGCGCAAACCAAAGGATATTGTCGGCCTTTATATCACCATGGCGCCCGAAGAGTGTGCCATCGTTGAACTGATGGATTAAAGAGAGGCCACTGGCGACCCCTGCCATCTGCTTCAAAGACCACAACAGTGTTCGCACGTCGAAAGGGGGCGTCGGTCTCCCTTGCCAGTATTTTCGAAGGCTCCCGTCTGCCCATGGGAACACCAGGTGATATTTGCCTCCTTTTTTATAGGTGAAGAGCAGGTCAATGACATGCACATGGGGATGGTTGGTTCCCAATGCTTCGTGGAACTGTCTCTCGGCCGTGAAGGAAGACTCTTGGGAGGAGTAAAGCCTTTTGACTGCGACCAGTAGTCCTTGGCCCTAAGGAGGAGACCTTGAGTAAGCCACGAACATATAACGTGCAGGCAACGCTCAATTATGCGAGAGTATCCATTCCCAGCTTACTAACCTTGTATGTGGGGTACTCCCAGAAATTGTGGTGGTCGGGATGGATACATGCCTGAAAGACTTCGCCATATCCGCCCTCCGCACTGGTGTCTTCCTGAGGATCCGCCGTGCTCAATGCAATATAAGGGAGGGTCTGAAGCTCGGTAAATTCGTGGTGTGTTTTGACCTCCAGTAGTGGCGCCAGCATGCGGTACTGCTCGTTTTCAAACGTCTTGAGAGATTCGCGGTCCCAACTTTCGAAAGTCTTTATGCGCCGGCGTTGACTGGTCTCCAACGTCAAGGTCTGTTCTCCAACGCTAGACCGTCTAATAAAAGGCAAGTCTTCGTCATCTATTCCCTCTTCCAAGAAGTCACTTATACAACAAGTCTTATCGCGATCGACTAAGATAGCGAATAGTTTTCGAGAATGTTGGAGGATATGTCGGGTTGTTTCCTCTATCCGATCGAGGGCTAAAAGACTGCCTTCTTTGAGGATCGAGCGCACCGTGTCCTCGTCTATAAGTCGCTTGAGAGTTAACGTTGGTATGAATAGTTTGTATCCATCAACGGGACACTCTAGGACTGCTTCTCGCAGACTATTTCGCAGATGCGTCAATGCGGGGTTTAGTTGTTTATAGTCAGGCTCGGTTTGCACGGATCTGGAGCTGGCGGTCGACGCTTCTCGGCACATACTCGGAGGACACAGTCCTTTGCTGTCTCTTATCACCACTGGGGCAGCAATAAAGGGGCGTTCATCCTCAGGGATGTCCTCGGGTTCGGCGACGGGACCTTGGATTCGCTGCTGCGGTTTTCGATGACGGAAGCATACAAACAAGCACTGCAGGGGAAAGAGGACCAGTGATAGGAGCTTCATCGTGTCACGCCTGACCAGGGTAATTATCCGAAGCTGTGGCACGGATTTTGGTTCTCGTGGCGATTTGACGCATGGAAGACGGATTGGTAGTGGGAGGCGGGTAATGATGTACACCGGAGTAGGAGGCCACTCCACACTGGGGGTGGACACTCCCGGTCAATTATGATTAGAAAGAGGAACTATTGAAAAAGCGAAAGAATGATAAAGAAGGAGCAAAGGAGGCAAAAACAGAGGTGGGTGTTGCGTCAGGGTGTCGGAGTCGGAAGAGTAGGCGGACGGATAACGGGGGGAAGCAATGCGAAGAAGGGGACGGGGGGCGAACATCATCGATCGGTGCACTCCACGGACTAGTTAACCACGCAGATTACTAACCACTGGCGAGCCTCCATTAACTACTCGTCTCACAGCCACCGTTGTCGGCCAAAGGACCAATCAAGTGCTAACGGTGGGAGGCAGTGAGAGGCGTGAGACCGGGGGGTTCTTCCTTGAGGTCACGGTGTTTTGCAGTTGCTGCTCTCGCTTTCTCCTCCGCCATGTCTGCGTTGTCGAATGATTCCCGACCCCGGTTGTCTATCATGCCAGATGGAATGAAAGCACATAATATTGCTAACCTAATCACAATGCCACTATCTCCCCACTGCTCAAGGCCAGGGTTCGAGTGGACGGGATGCGGAGGACCAAGTCCGGTCGAGGCTGAGGGCCAGGGCGCAATTTACCCTGTCGTTCACCTGCTTATCTAACTGGAAATTCTCGTATTATAGGGAGGGAGCCAGAATGTTCCTGTCATTTCTGTCTCTGTCACGTTGCAGAGGGAATTCGCTTGAGTCGATCCTCGTTCATTAGGGCTTATTCGGTCAGTGACCCGCTCCCAACGAGTGTTGTCGGTAACCATCCCAGAGACTATGTATATCCAAACCTAAATACTCGCAAAGAGAAACAAAGGAAAGAAAAAAAATGAGCCGAAGAGAAACTTCATTTCTATTAAATGTCATGAATCTGGCTTCTTGGGAGATGGCCAACGATCTGTAAATGAACTCATCAAGCTGAACATGGTGGACTCCTTCCTAATGAGCACCTGCTGGATGCCTCCTTCCAAATCCCCCTCTTCATGCTTCTTCCTTCGCAGACAAAAGTCAACGAGCTGCTTCATTTTCTTTCTTGAATCAATCCATGGCTCGTATCTCACGCAGAACCACCATACCCCGATCGTGATGAAGGTCAAAGGAATGGCACAAACGGCCATGATCCAAACATCTCTCGAAACATTCATGTCTCCTTCATCATTGACCTTGACAAACTCGGTTGAGAAAAAATTCTGACAGAACTCAATCAGCTTTCTTTCGAAAGTAGCAAACAGAGCCCAACGTACCGCTACAATCGTGGTGGGCAAATACACAAGGCCGACGATTGTTAGCATTTTCACTGCCGCAGCATCTTGAACGCTTCGCTTCTGTATCAGACACCATGGTCAGCGGCGTCTTGTTTCAAGGATGTGACCTCACGCACTGTAAGCTCGGTGATGTTATGGCTTTCTTCATGGGATATCTGCGCTAATCGCTTCAACGCTCTGGTTTCCTCATAGCCAAGTAAATCGGATAACTACCGTCTTGAATTAGCACTCCTTTCGATCGGATACTCGGGGGAAGCCTACCAGCTGTTCTGTCGATTGCACTCGAGCTTTCAGAACCTCTGCGCGCTGTAAATACACCCGAGTCTCTGCCGCATACGCTTCAAATTCTTCAACCATATAACAGCACGAGCAAGTATTCGTATCCTGACAACCGATCTCGCAGTATCGCCGGCACCTCTTCTCAAGGCGGGATATGGTGTCGCTCATGGTCTGGAGTATTACAATCAAATCCGTGATGTAGTCCTCAAGCTGCTTCAATCGTTGACGATCGTCGGCGTTGAAGTGAATCTTTTTGCTGTCAATATCCGAGACGAGGACGCGATTCGACTAAGACATTGATTGAGTCAGCCCATCTGACATTCCATACTCTGCATTGTTTCAACGGGAAAAAGGTATCATACCTTTTGCTTGGACTCTTCCTCCAACCAGGCCATATATTCCATCCAGCCTTTCAGACTGTCCATAACGAGCCGTTCGTGAACCGTAAACGCTGGCTTCATGATTTCTTTCTCGGACGAGGCCTCCCGAAAGCACGTTTCAATACAATTTTCCGCTGATCGCGACGGCGCGACCAATATGAACATTGATTTATCTGGGGAATCCCTGTTTGGGTATCGCAATTTGTGGTATACTCCTGTTTGGCGGATGGACCAAGGGCACTCGCCCAGCTCTACCGGACGATTGTTTCTCTCCACGCGCCTTATCACGTATGTCAATTCTGTGCGACCATTCAGCTTCCATGCCATCATATATCTTCGCAGAAATCGAACCTTCATATTTCCCATGCTCGCCGCGAGAGCTCTTTCCCCGAAACGTCGGAAATGCGTATTCATTTTCTTCCGTCTTTCGCCCGAACGTCAGGACGGTTTTCCAGAAATGGGGAAACACATTGTAGGTTTTTAGAAGACGTTCGAACAGCTCGTGGGATATGTTTAGCGTCGTCCACGACCGCAAATGTCGGATTGTATAAATTTGGGCACAAGCATCGGTATCCTCCTGGACTCACAATAATCCATTGATCAGCTTCTGTCGGATCTAAGGCACGGGCTATCTTACCGTCAAGATGTGCAACTGTGACAACTCACTAATGCTCAAATTCTGTTTGATTTGGAGTGACCATTGCTCGGTACTGTTCTTGATCCGATCGAAAGTAGTGACTTCTAGCTGCGGGCGATCGTTTCGCGCTTTGAACAGGTCCTGCGACCGAGACTCGATCTTCTCGGCTAGATGATGATCCATATAGGATGGAGCGGAAAATGGGCCTATAGTGAGATTCTCTGAATTTAGTGTGGCTGATACCATCTAGCATTCGTCGAGGTATGGAGCACATCCTTTTATATTAACATTGTGATATCGCGATCTCCGTCTTGTCGCTTCTACGGCATACAGTCTCCATTGCTTCCCCAGTCTACAGGGCAGAATGCCATCGCCACAGTTGCCTGGTCTTCATCACGTGGAGGGCTCTTGAGGCTCGAGACTGTGTATAGAAGATGACTGCGATGACACAGCGAGGCTTTCTCACAGTGAACGCCGCTACTCCGCCCCAACGACTGGACCCAGGACTCTGAATCATGGAGGGGCAAACCATCTGCGGCTGACGCGTGAGGCTAGAGAGACGTAGCGTCTCGCCGAACTGACAACCCTTGGGTTTCAAAGCCAATCGGACCAAACAAACTCGCCGATAGTGCGGTTGCATTTTTCCTGCTGACGCAACTTGCTGACTCTCACTGGACCGGTCATCTACGGAGTACGCTACTGCCGGACGGGTAACGCAAGGATGCATATACGAGTGCTGAGCAATACCGAAAATGATCAAGTCTATGCCAGGCATGGATATAGTACATGTCAATCAACTCATCCCTGTCCCCATTACTGCCTCTGCCATCACACTAAATGCAAGTTCCCCTCGCACGGCGTGCACTGTACACCGTCGGGTCATTTCCCCAACCGGTTTTTCGCACTCGCCGTGCGGACGTTTAGGACCCAAAGGCCAAAGATTTCATATGAGTGTCATCATTGCCAGAATGATGTTGGAAGTCGAAAAAAAGGAAAGGTCGTCAAGTCATCAGGGTGGATCGCCTGTTATAGGAAGACCCGGCAGCTGTTAATTTGTTCCTGGTCACCTGTCCGTCAGCCCTAAGTCACCTGGGCAAAGAAGTCAGCACAAGGGAGGCGCAGAACGCACTTCGGTTAGACCGGCGGACTTGGCGGTTGTATGATCCGACACATAGATCTTATACGTGTCCAGTCGTAACTATCGAAACCTCATCAGCCAAGGAGGCCTCCTCCGAGGTCGTTCAACCAGTTCAGAAGGACGCATTTACCTCGACGCGGAAATTGTACTGCCCATACTCGTCCCGCAGCAGACTCACAAGCCGTTTGGGATCCATGTATTTCCCCTCGATGACATGATGAGGTCTTCGCACATGAACTCGGGCCCTACTCATAGCAAAAAGGCGACCGTAAAGGTCTGCGTGGCTGGAAGGAAGCTAGAAATACAAGTCGCAAAAATGATATCAAAGGTGAAGAACGAGTAAGAGGGGAGCAAAAAGCTCTCGTGGCATCACTTTCATTCTACTTAAGCAAGCTCTCCACAGGCGCGGGCACGCCTGGGACAAGGGGTTATATATTCGATGGGGTACATTGTCTCTCGCCCCCCAATAATTGGGGAAAAAATTGCCTCAAAGGAAGGTTCGGATGTCCTGTGGAATGCTCATTCCTTGTTCCCTAGCCTGGTATCGCGTCCGTTTGAAAGGCCAATGAGAAAGACCGCAGTGAATACACATGGGCGCGTATCTGCGGCCGAATTTGCCTTCAGACCCATCAGGTATCGCTAGACACCGAATCGAGTTGCGCCTAGGCCGCCGTCAGAATTCATTGACTGTCAGGTCATCGCAGCGTTTGATTGTTTCCCAAAATAACCGCAAATCACCGGTCTTATTTTTCCGACAGGCAAAGATGCATAGCGTCATTTGACATATATCATTCAGCCTTCACCAGCAAAAGCAAGGCAGGGTAGGACGGGGCAGGGAAGGGAGGCTGGCAGGTACAGATAATAATGACCGACCAACTTACCTGTGTCAAGGCTTTGGGTAAAGTTGCATAACAAACACCCATGCGGATCTGTTCATATCAGCAAAAGCAAAAAGGCAGCTTCGTATTAGCAAGGACTGCACTAGAACTTTATAGGAATAGGGCATGTATAGGAACACGGAGTATCCATTGGTGAATCCTGCATGGATTCCGACACAGCCACCACCATATTTCACCTGCCAATAAGAATGGGCCAGGCAACACCGGTGTTGACAGGGGTGTGACGGGAAAAATGTGGGGGAACACAAAAAGAAATGAAAAGGACCTGTGATATGATTCAGAGCAAAGGTGGGCTCAGGCCACAGGGTTATGTGCAGTTGGTTCCAGTTGTTTTGGTTCAATGGTTCAGTAAACCCCAATCAGCCTTCGTCTTGGATAGCCTAGCCTAGCCTACCCATAGTAGCCCTTGGCCCAGGTAGGTCAACTTTTCTAGGCACGGCCAAGACGGGCTGCTGATTGCTGATCTGTTCATCTTCCAAGGCGCCCTTGGCTCTCCGTAGGGCAGGAAGCCTGGGTAGGAGGGTAGAAGGGTAGGGGTAGGGCATGCTAAACTAGCCTGACCACCCCTTGTCTGTCTGACTGGCTCTGACTCCCTTCTAAGCCCTTCGTGGTTACCCGAGTCTGCCTTGTCTGTCTGACTGCGACTGGCTGACTGGCTGACCAACACATGACAGTGATTGTGCTGATCGGGCTTATCATCCCACGTTCGTCATAAGGAAGAAAAAGTAATAAAGAAAGAAAGAAAAAGGTACTTTGTACTCACACTCACAGAGTACCCTCCATTCGGGTACAGTTTTCTCAGCAGTGCCATTAGGCTTTCTTCTCGGATGTAGCGCATGACGATGGTCTGGTCGGCCATATTTTCTGGCTTTGTTTTGTTTTGCTGTGCCTTGTGATAAGAGTGGGTTGACTGTCAGTCATTCAGTCAGAGACAATTAGGCTTCATTTACGTAGAGATAAGGCATAGTACATACGCCGTATGTCTGTCAGCCTTCAAGAAGGAAGCGACCGAGAAAAGCAAAAAGAAACAAAGACGTAGACAGATAGGAGGCCTCGGGTTCACGAAAATCGTTCTCAAGCACAAGTCTCAAAACAGTGATCTCGCTGCATGATATTGCAAGCGAGTTCAATCTGCCTGGAGCAGTAGTAAATTTTCATACAGGATGAGTTCAAGATAGGCAAGGCCCCTAATATAAGTAAATATCCTACTGCTTCGCGACACTATAGAGCCGCATGTATGTATGTATGTATGCATGTATCAGTATCTAAAGTAGTGCAGCGAGCAATCAATCAAGCAAGCGCATCAAAATCCTTCCTTTGCATGGTATGGGAGCCAAAGTGAACAGCGTGTTTACGAATAGAATTTTGCCCGCGACTAACTACCAGAGGACTAAGGTTACTACCGATGGTGCCCAAGACAAAGCACAGCAATTTCAGCAGTTGATAGATTCACGAGAAGGAGGGAGGCATACATAGGTAAACCACCTATAGTAGGGCAAGAGCAAATGGAATGGAACGGATGGACGGACGGACGGGACGGGACGGGAGAGAAGGACTTGATTAGTGGTTACGCTGCCCTACTTTACACCGTACAGTGAGTAAGGTAACTAGCTTTGGTGACGTGGTTAATTGATTGATTAGCTTTCCGGCTCTCATCTTGGTGGATTGCTTGTAGCAGTAGCACATACCTTACCACCTACCTATCATTTAGTTAAGGATCGGGTTAGTTGGGTTTTGGTTGGTTCTGTTTTAGGTGTGAAGGGATAGGGAAACGAGATGAAACCTCGTGTTTAGGCTGACGTTATTGGCTATCGATAGACAGAGGGGCAATTGAGAAAGGGATATGCATGTCGGCTGATTTATGTAGGGTTTGTAATGGAATATTAATACTACGCAGGTATTGGACTTTTTATCGAACTGGTCGCTTGGTACTAGTAGATTTATGGGACTGCATTCAGGGTATGTTTGGACATCACGGCCGTATTTCACATGCTAGGAGTTATTGGGATGGGATGTGCTATCCATAAGAAGTGCTTGGGGGTAAGTTACAGGATAACTACCAGTATTGGCTCACCGTCCATATTTGGGTTGCGTGAGATAGGTTCCTGTATTGGCCTTCGTCAAAATGTCGGACTGCCGAAATTAAGACAAACTTTGACAATATCGAAATTTTCATGGTCAAAGAATATTCGTCGAGAAGATTTCCCGCGACTTTTGCGGCTAATAAAGCGGATCAAGTACCAGTATAATTCAAGTTATCAATAAATATATTAAGTCCTATCAAGAGAACATGGACAAACATTCCCCTAATCTTGTCGCATTAACTCACTGCTCATTCTTATATCCCCCAAACATATCTGACACGAATTGTGTCAATTCGCTAGCAGCGTGCTGATGCATCCCACTGATTATCTGTTGTTCTGGCAGCCAAGAGCAACGGTACCTCCCTATATAATATCATTAGCATCATGAATAATTATTTATCCCAGGAGAAGAAAACTCACCAAGATGTTGACCTGATCGCAGCACTGAGCCGGCCGGGCGCAGGAAGCATCGTAAGGGTGGCCTGTGTACAGGTATCTCTTTGTTAGCCACGTTGGTTCTGGCTCAACAAGTCATGCCAGACGAAAATGAAGAACATACAAAGAAGACCAATCGAGCCCTCAATGTTAGAAACGCTAACACCGACGGGCTGCAAGACAGTATCTAAGAGGGGATCGACAGGAGTGGTCAGGCTGGGACAGCATAAGGTAGGCGAGATGCAGTCGCCAGGAGCTCTCTTGTTGTTGCTGTGCTCGTCGACACCTTGGAGTTTGCCGGAGGCGACAATCTCCCTCACTCTGTCTTGCAGTTCCTCTTCGCTCGGGACGGAAGGGTACGCAGAGACCATGGCGCCGCTGGCGACGAGGAAGGTGATGACGGCGGTGGTCTTCATTGTGGGAGATGGAGATTTTGATTATGAGATCCTGGTCAAAAGAAAGAGGTTCGGGAGAATAGAAAGACAATGCTGATTGAGCTCTTTCCAATTGAGACGAATCCAGACAGATTTGTGCCCCTCTATATACCCTCAAGGACAGCTGACATGTGACCGAACGGGATTTCTCTCCTCTGGTCTTCTCTTCGTCATGGGATCGGTTATCCCAATGACATCCCACGGCGCGTTATCCCGACCCTGACATACTCTGAATGAGAGGACCTCCAGCCTACGGGATTCGGTAAGACATTGACAAGAAACTCCCGTCCATATCGAGAGGGATGATCAGGTCCAGACCGAGGTAATGATCCGTACACTATGCTTTGATTCCTAGATAAGGAAGAGTGAGCTTCCATGGAACCAATAGGCGAGAGGGTGGGTAAAAAGTAGGCTAGTACATCATTATCTCACATGAAGCATCAAGCAATGAGGCCCTCATTATCGAATTCTAATCCAAAGACATCGAGCTGGGCAATGGAGCCGATCTGCACGCAGGAACCGTGTCGATCGGGGAGATTGTTAGGCTGGTGGGTCGATTCCTGACTGGCTGCTTGTGATTACCGAAGGGCCAGAGCAAAGAGCGGCATTTTTCAGGGTGTTCTAGTCCAGGTACGGAGAGAAGGAGAAAGAAGGAGGATAGAGTGGTAAGTGGTAGACGAGGGAAACATGGAAGCGATCGACCCGCCAAGCGCCGGTCTTCCGCCTGTCAAGCGCCCGCAACTTATCAGTGGGACGGTGGCATCCAATCATGTCGTTCCCTGCGCGGATGATCGACACCAGGGCGAACAGGAGTAAGGAATACCATATTTGGGGTGGACAGATAGGAACAGATGGGCTATATAGATCATAGGGATTGAGCCTGTTCTACAGTGACTGCATTATTGTATGTAAAATACGGCATTTGCTTCTGGAGAATTTTCTCACATTCAAAAGTTCAATTCTATCGTTCAAATCAAAGTATTGTCGACACTCCAGGGTGTGTAGAGTACCTTCCAATTTAGGCCAGATATTGCATGTTCAAAAACTCAATTGCAAAAAGGATATCTGTCTGTTGGTCATTGAGTTAAAAGAAAGAAAGAAAGAAAGAAAAAGCAATAATGATTCCCTGATAAAGTGCCACTGCGTCACATATTAGTCACTACCAACCCCCGATATCGCGGTACGCCATGTGTCTCGCACATGGGATTTTGAACTACTCATTTCCAGTAATTTGGAATTTGGGTCTTCGAAATCAGGAGCATTATTGATTCTTTGGTGTACTTCGATCAAAATGTATCTGCGCCTATTGGGATGCAGCGATAACACATACCACCTCACATGTCGCCTAGGATGGTTGATGTTCCTGGTCACCGATATCTACTAGACTGGAAGCTAGAGTAAGTATCATCTATGTTGATAATTCAATTTGTAGAGTCTGTCAGGATATCAGTGACGATTTCATGCCAATGCATGCATATCTGACATAAGCAGGATTAATACACGACACAATTATTATGCACTACATGTGGCGGTGCATATGTGGCCGAGTGCCAAGCCCCGGCACCAGCCACAACTCGCGACACAAAAAACTGCCCGCAAGAATAATCCACCGCGATTATCGTCCGTCCGATCCTGATCTCCATCCCATTCCCACCCCCATCCTTTTGGAGATTGAGCAAAACCACTCATCTCCTCTTCCTTCAGTCCATTTCGTCTCGTTATGGCTCCTTTCTCTTCTATTGCCGACATTGTCGCGGCCCTTCCGGCCGACGACACCTGGGGCCCCGCGACTGCCCCCGACAACATGTTGGATGGTGTCCCCTATGCTCCTTTCTCCAAGGGTGACAAGCTGGGTCGCATGGCCGATTGGACTGCTGAGTCCAAGGATCCTCAGAGGGCCGGTCGCCAGGCCTACAACCGTAACTACAGAGGTATGTTCAGTCGTGATCGAATCGTTGCAGCAGGTGGCTAACGAAATCTTGAAACAAAAACAGATCAGCAAGTCTACGGTGCCGGTACCTCCAGCCTCTTCAACGTCCAGGTCGCCGAGGACGAGTCCTCCTTCTCCGTTGTCGACAACACCCGTACCTCTACCAAGCGCACTTTTGGCCGTGGTGGTGGTACTGTCTTCCGTGGTCGCGGCCAGCGTGGCGGGGCTCAGCGCGGTGGTCGCGCTGGCTTCCAGCGTGTGGGCGCCGGCCGTGGTGGTCAGGGTGGTGACCGCTACTATGACAACCGGGGCGGTCGCGGCAACCGTGGTGGCCGTCGCTTCGGATGGAGGGACTACGACAAGCCCCAGCGCACTCGTGAGCCCTCGGTCAACGTTCGCCCCGAGTGGAGCATGCTGGAGGAGGTGGACTTCTCCCGTCTGTCCAAGCTGAACCTCGAGACCCCCGAGGGCGAGGACCTCGACTCGTACGGTTTCCTCCACTACTACGACCGGTCATACGACAAGGCGCCCGTCAAGAACGCCGAGCGCCGCCTGCAGTCGCTCGACCGGGCCGCCTACAACGTCACGACCTCGCAAGATCCCGTCATCCAGGAGCTCTCCGACAAGAACGAGGCTACCGTCTTCGCCAGCTCGGACATCCTGTCTATGCTCATGTGCGCTACCCGCAGTGTCTACTCCTGGGACCTGGTCATCGTGCATCAGGGCAACAAGATCTACTTCGACAAGCGTGATGGCGCCACTCTCGACCTGGTGACTGTCAACGAGAACGCCATCGACGCGCCGCTCGAGGTGCCCGACTCCTCCAACAAGCAGGAGGCGATCAACACCCCCAGCGCCCTGGCTATGGAGGCCACTTTCATCAACCACAACTTCGCCCTGCAGACCGTGGCCGAGTCCGAGGACGCCAAGGTGACCTTCAACCACCCCAACCCCTTCTACAACGCCGCCGAGGAGACCGAGCCCCTCGCCTCCAAGGCCTACAAGTACCGCCGCTTCGATCTATCGCTCGAGCGCGACGAGGAGCCTCTCAACATGATCGTCCGTACCGAGGTCGACGCCGTCATGAAGAACCCTACCCCCGGCGGTGAGGACCAGCAGCTGGTCGTCAAGGCCCTGAACGAGTTCGACAGCAAGGCCCAGGGCTCCGGCGGTGCCCTTGACTGGCGCAGCAAGTTGTGGTCGCAACGCGGTGCCGTTGTCGCCACCGAGATGAAGAACAACAGCTGCAAACTGGCTCGCTGGACCACCCAGGCCATCCTGGCCAAGGCCGACGGCATGAAGCTCGGTTTCGTGTCGCGTGCTAACGCCCGCTCTGCTGCCGCTCACGTCATCCTGGGTGTCGTGAACTACAAGCCCCGCGACCTGGCCTCGCAGATGAACCTGAACCTGGGTAACGGATGGGGTATCGTGCGCACGATCGTCGACCGCATCCGTGCCCTGGACGCCGAGGAGGACTCCGAGAAGGTCAAGAAGTACGTCCTCATCAAGGACCCCAACCGCTCGGTCATCCGCCTGTACAGCGTGCCCGCCACCACTTTCGAGGAGGACGAGGAGGCCGAGGCTGCTGAGGAGGCGGCGAAGGCCGAGGAGTCCGAGGAGTAAACGGATTGAACGAGGGGAGGATGTTCTCTGATGTCGTAATGTCATGTGGAATTTCTTTTTTTTTTTTCACTCGTGTGCATACGTTCAAAAGTTGCTTAGAATATGAGCATGCCTGATGTTTTTAGTATTATCTCTTCCAGTCTCACATTGCCTATTACTATAATCAAGTAGACCGTTTGCTCTGTAGTTTTTATCTTCTAAAGTGTCTAGACTAGCTGTAATCTGTTCACCGTCTAAATCACTCGCAAGAACTTGATCCGTGGTCTCATGTGTTTCAGTTATACATGATTACCCTTGAGACATGGATTGAACTCCGCTAAATAACATCACCGCCGTCCGTCTTAGAGCACGTATGGCGATGGATAGATGTCTGAATCGTCCCCAGAGTAAAACAAACCTCAATCTATAAATAGCACATCACTCCCTCACCTATAGAAGTTCCGTGACCATTAGAGCAACAGCAAAGGCATCCAAATCCAATATTATTAAGAACACTAATTCCCAACCCTCATTCCAGCTCATGGTTCATGAAACAACATCGCCCGAAGATCCCCGATGATTTAAACTAGTTCATTTACATCAAACACGAGGACATGGACACCCCGAATTCCACTCACCAGTGTAGTCCAATCTAGAACTCGAAGTGCCGAACGCTCTACGTCATAACCGGCAGATAACAACCAGATAGAGAAATTCCTCGTGAAGAAGATCATTTTCTTATAGTACCTATCTGTAAGCCACATACCTCGGCATATCTACCCAAGGGGTAAGTGGTGGTTCGTAGCGGTGGCCTGGATTCTGCGGTCAGAGTAACCCGAGGAAGGAGAAGACGAGAAAGAAGAGGGACGTGCAGACAATGATTCGGATCGATAGATTAACTGAATCGCTATAGTTCGGGGCAAAGTCCGACTTACTCTTAGACACTAGAGTACCCTATAGTTAATTTATTATTATGGGTCAGGGAGTGGACTCGTCCTCGGGGTTTGATCATTTGCCTTTTGGGGCTACCCACTGGCTTGAATCAGACTTGTTTTCTCGCGTTCACTGTCGATTATTGTACCCTTGAGTGATTGACAGGATCGTCTTTAGTTGGGGCATTAGTGTTTGTATGAATTAGATATATAGGTTGACTTGACTTGGAGGTTTTCTTGTATATGATGTCTTGTTCTAATTACCTCACTACCATAGTATCTTATGGAATAGTATAGAATCCACCCTGGAACATATTCTCGGCGTGAATTGTATTCCAGGAAAAGTAAATAGATCTCAACGCTCATTTCCATCATGCCATGCCCTACAAAAATCCTCAAAAATGTGACCATGTTACATGTCGCCCGCCAAGGGACCACCACCGCTTGGCTTGCATCCTTCATCTTGAAACTATGACATGACTCGGCCACTGTCTATTCTTGTCTCTGCTTGTCTGTCGAAGCCTCATCTGTCCAGCTTCTGCTCTCTACACCCTCTACCTATCCATTTATCAATCAACCCATACAAAATAGAATATCCTACAAATCCCGACTCAACAACACACCGCATCCTCGGCCCAGCAAACCAAGTGCATCAAACCAACACGGACACCCCTCCGACCTCGAACATTTAATATACATTCCCCGTAAAACACCTCAGATCCAACAGAAGATCGACAGCCAAGAACCGCCGTTGAACTTATTTTGCAATCCCGTTGGGTTCCCGCGCACGCTCTCCTCAGCGGAGAAGACATCCTTCGCGTTTCGATGAGTCCTCACGGATTCCTCATATTCGTTATTTGCCCTGCGCTGGATACCTAATGTCTTGGCTGCTCGGATGAAACAATCCACCTCTTACTTCTCAGGCCTAGTATCATACATCGACGGGTTCTGTTTCGCTCGTCGGCGCTCTCCGACTAGGTCTTTCTTGGCCCTCCGTCAGTTCCCAGCAGTACTGGGTCTCGAGGACTGTTGTAGTGAGGGGATTACGGAATAGACCTGACTTTTTTGCGGGGAATACATACAGGAATGAAAACCAAACGAACTCATTTCGGCATTGAGTGGGTATCGCTCCCTTTCTGACCGATCCGGTCTTGTACGGAGCAGAAAGGGCCAGATTGACCGAGGTATACGGCACTTCTTTTGCTCTTTGCTGATCTGAATAGGCAGTGATCGGTGTTTAGTATGGGAATTTGAGTTCCGAGGATCGATGAGCTTAGTAAAGCTCTATAGTTGTCGTCAAGATGGTTGGGTCTAGGGCTTCTCGGTCCCTTGATCCAAGGATGGAAGGTTTTGCAAATGCCGTTATGACAAACGACTCAAGTACCGAGAGAGAAAGTTTATAAAGAGTTATTGAAGAGACGGTTGGATTTGTCTCTCATCTCGTTTTCCATCGCAGCACGGGCACAATACAGCGAACGCAGCAGACAGCTAACTGAGCAAGCATTTCCATTTCCTCAACCCCATCCAAACAACCTCCTTTCTCTTCAAATTCCAGTAAGAAGAAATCAAAATCCAGCAAAAATGAAGCTCCAACTCCTCTCCGCTGCTCTGGCCAGTCTGGGCGCCGCGAGCCCTATGGCTCTGGAAGAGCGTCAATGTATGTGCATCCCTTCCCATCTTCCAACCACACCACAGATAGACAGCAAAAAGAGTACTCACAAAGTATCCAGTCAACTCCGGCAACGAACTCCGCAGCGGCGACTGCCAGCCCGTCACCTTCATCTTCGCCCGTGCCTCCACGGAAGTCGGACTCCTAGGCGCCTCCACCGGTCCATCTGTCTGCAGCAAGCTGAAGGCGGCGCACAGCGACGGCGTCGCGTGCCAGGGCGTGGGCCCCAAGTACCGCGCCACGCTAGGCGATAATGCCTTGCCCAAGGGAACCTCGCAGGTGGCCATCGACGAAGCCAAGGAGCTGTTCGAGCTTGCGGCCGAGAAATGTCCCGATACGCAGATTGTGGCGGGAGGATACAGGTATGGATACATCACCCGTTCATCCATCGATCTTCATTTTTCCACTCCCGCTAACAGATAAATGTGAACACAGTCAAGGAACAGCCGTCATGCACGGCGCGATCCCCGAGCTCTCCGACGCCCTGAAAGACCAGATCAAAGGCGTCGTGCTCTTCGGCGATACCCGCAACAAGCAGGATAACGAGCAGATCCCTGACTTCCCCAAGGACAAGATCAAGATCTACTGTGCCACGGGCGACCTGGTCTGCGAGGGCACGCTGATCGTGGCGCCGCCGCATTTCTCGTACATCGGGGACACGACCGATGCGACGGAATTCTTGAATGGGAAGCTGGAGTAGAGAGGCTCGTAGGTTTCCATGTACTTCTCTCTGTACTTGGTTATCTTGCTTCTTGAGTTGGGTAGGGATGGAGAATGGTGGGGAGAAAGAATGGATGAAATTGATGGAATCTGGAGAAGCGAAAAGGGAAGGAGTAATGCAGGATATTGCTGCTTCCTTGATGCAGTCACTCATTCATTCGGATTGAAGTCTATATATATAGGCAGTCAGTTTTGCATGCATTATGATTTCGCCGGCATCTCTCTCTCTCTTCCTTCTCTCTCATAAATCTAATCTTTAGAGATCATAAAAATATTCATCAAACCAACCATAAACACCATATAAACATTGTGAATTGTGAATTGTGTTTGTTACCCTGATAAATCCAACCTCCCACATTATGCAGTAACTAATTATGCACAGCATAAAAGCCGCTGAGTCATCGCAGGCACCCTCCCCATGGAATTCCCTCCATTCAACATCGCGATCTCCCTTATCAACAACCATCAAACAAAACACAATAATCCATCAAGCATAAATATACACCATGAACCCCCTCCCCATCCACAAACCAAAGCCCAGACCCGCCGCATCCTGCGCCCCCTGCAGAAACCGAAAAGTAAAGGTACGTTATCGCTTACCGTCCTGAGCCCCCCCCCCTCACTTCATCCATGTGCACATCCACACTAAACGGCGCTAATTAAGAGGGGGGGAAAAGTGTGATCGGCTCTCTCCCTGCGAGGCATGCATCGCGCGCGGCATCGTGCATGAATGCAAGTACTCGTCTACGGACGAGGACCGGGAGGCGATTGCGCAGGCGGAGGTGATAGCGACGCTGCGGGCGCGGGCGCGAAGGCTACGGAATGAGCTGGCGGAGGCGGAGGCGGAGGGGCATGAGATTATGGAGTTGAGGGAGGGGATGATGGCGTTTAGTTCGAGTCAGGTTGCGGATTCTGGTTCTAGTCAAGGGACGACAGGGTCGAGCTCAGGGGCGGCGGCGAGGAAGGCGGAGAATCAGGCGATGGAGATCCTGTATTCGACGATTCGATTGGGGTCGGAGGATTTGGTGGGGAGGATTGTGAGTGGCGTGAGAGAAGGGAGGGAGTTGGTGGATGTGGTGAAGATGGTGCAGGTTTAGAGATATTTCAAGGCGATGGATGTGTAGTAGGATGGTTTGTGTGTTAAAGTCAAAATGATATATGCCAGATGCCAAATGCCAAACGTTAATGCGTACAGTGTCGATGGGATGGATCCATGTCAAGATCAATCGAATCAAACGAAATCAAATCATCCGCTCTTCTCCATGCCTGAACCCCCAGAGGAACCAGAGCCAATGCCCGCTACAGTTTATATACATGTCCAACACAGCCCATCCTAATTCAGATCCAAAACACCACCAACTCCGTCCGACCGTCCGTCCCGTCGAGATCATGAATATAACATATCGTCGTGGACTTGTGAAACTCCCAAGTCCACCCTGGCGCCTACCACGCTGCTCAAGCAATCTTTCAGTTCAAAGTCCTCCACCACGGCCCCGAACCCGTAACACCGCACTTTCGTGTTGAGCGTCTCCATGATAATCTTGATGTCATCGCGTGTCAAGGAGCGATAGAGCTCGTGGCTCTTGAGACACTGCAGCGCCATAATCGGCGTGATCTGCCCCTCAGTAACAAGCTGTCGGCTGAGGTTCAACAAGGTGGAGAGGTTGGCGTGAGGTAGGTCGTAGGTCTGGTGAGGATATGTCTGTTCGGGCGTCGTGTTGGAGATGTAGCTAGGAGGTGGACAGGTCGCCATTAGAGCGTGTCCGGAGAACGGCATGTCTTCATCATCGGCCTCCGTGACCGATCGTCGACACAGATAATCGGTATGCTCGCGACATGGTCCTTCCAATCTGCTCACAATTAGACTTCGATTTCCGACGTGGGAGGGGATGGCTTACTTTAGGATAAAGTCAACCTGCAATTGAGGATCCGATTCAAAAATTCCATTGGGGTGTGCCGGTTGCCGGCTGGCCGGAGCTATCCGATCCAGAGTGGCCAGCGCGTCGCATGGCGCGTTGTAATGTGAGTGATTTTGCGGCGTCAATTCCTGCGTGGGCGAGACATCCACATGCGATACTCCGTTCATACCAGGACTAACGCTCGACGAGACCGAAACGGTAGTCGGGGGAGTGACCGTGGCAGGAGGGGTAGTATACAAGTTGCTGCCAGGCTGTGCAACGTTGGGCGGCTGCGAGCTGACGCTGCTACTGGCAAAGGGACTCGTCAACGGTTGCTGGTGATGTTGCTGGAATGTCGGGCTGGCGCGTTCGGCTTTGCGTCGTTCGACCTCGGCCTCGAAGTTGATGCCCTGGCTGGCGAGGATGTCTTTCAGAATCTTATTTTCCTCCGACAAGGATCGCACCATCTCCCGATGTTGATGAACCGTTAAATTGGCCGCCGAGAGATCCTGCGTGTAGGCTTCTCGTAGCCGCGACACCTCCGTCTCCAATGATCGCATGTACTGTTCCTTTCGTTCGCGATGCGTTCTGTTTCACCCGTCACTTGGTCAGGACATTGACCTGCACAGCCAGCATATTCTTTTCGACATACCTTTGCGCCTGGCGATTCAACTCTTGCCGTCTAGTAAGGGCAGGTCGGCTGTCGGGCTTCGGGCCTCGTCGTTTCGCCGGTTGACCATCTATTCGCCGTTATTATATTTCACGCGGATAGTCCAGCAAGTGATTGCTAACCTCGAGTAACTTTCTTCTGTCCGCCACCACCGCCAGAAAAGAATTTCAACCAATCTGTTCCAGAAGAAGTTTTGCCTTTAGGTTTTTTTTAAAAAAAAATGTTAGCAGTTTGTCCAAGAAATGCAAGCAAGAAGCAGCGATGTGGCAATAAGAAAACAAATGAAAGCAATTGCTGAAGCAGGTAGACATTGGCCCATGCCACCAGGCGCAGGGCACCAATGTTTGTCGTTCATAGTCGGCGCAAGGCGCGTTGTTTCCTTTCGAGAGCCAATTGCGCCACAACCCGACGAAACTTCGATAAAGCTCCCCACCGTTTGTAGCACAGTTCCAAGGGCCGATCGTTCCGACGGGAGTCCAGGCCCATAGTAAAAGTATTGAATACAGCGATGCGACAATTTCCGACAAACAGAAAAGAAAGAAACAAGCGCCCGCAACTTACCAGGAGAATCTTGTTGCATACTATCCCGATAGATTGTGCCTTGATCCACCGGCATGATCCCGTCATTCATGGCTTCCATGGTTGGTTGCTGGCAGTTGTCTGCAAGGCGAGGATGGATGGAAGGAAAGGTAGGGAAGATGCGACCGGCGCGATTACAGGTCCAAGATAGGAGAGGCGACGGGGGAAGCAGGGAGGGAAAACGGTAACGATGGATACGAGCCGGACCGGCGCTGACGACAGACGAAGATCTGGATGGGTCCGGCAGGGAAAGATGATGGTGGCGAAAGGCTCATATGAGAGCAGGCGACAGAAAGCTTCCTGCAACAGTTGTCAGCCTTAACATGAAATTACGAAAGTAGAGTGGATATATTCCCGCTTTGTCCAAGCTTCCTCACCGTTTAAATTAATAAAAAAAAGAAAGATACGATATACTTTTGGGTTGACTTTTGATTTTTGATTTTTGATTTTTTTTTGAGGGTTTATTAACACGCACGGCAGGCAGATCGGATGCGTGTTCCCCCCGATGCGCGCCCGAAGGGGAATTGAGTTGGACACCACACGAGGGGGGAGGAGGGAGTAAAAGGGAAGGAGGGAGAGAGGTCGAATATCCAAGACCCAGGTACAATGGAAAAACAACGAGGCTCGAGGAAGAGACGGGATTGATAGATCCAAACCGGGGATGACGGGGGATAAAAGAGGCCAAAAGGAAAGGTCGAAAGATGAGGGATCCAGGGCGTGTGGGAGGAGAGCGTCCGAAACGGAGGAAAAGAGTGGAACGACGAAGAGGTCGGAGGTTAAAGTGGGACACGGCGACAAGACATTCGACAAGACCAGAGATGATGCTAAGCAGATGGACCTGGAGACCCTGTCAAAGCGACCTCGTCTTGTTACATCCACCATGCAAGTCGGATCTGGCGATTAATTGGCTCGCGTCCCCGTTCTTCACGGGCCCCAGGTGGCCTTGGTCTTTGCGCAATCAAGATGGATTAATGAAATGAATTAACGACGGGCTGGAATGGAGTCGTTCCGCAGATGCCACTAGAGTCCGTTAGTTCGAGTGACGGGTCCTTGACAGGAATGAACACGGTCGATGCGGTTACAGTAGTACTGGGGGGAAGTCTGGAAGATAGAATAATCATAATCATCTTCTTCTTCTCTCGCCCAAGAGCTAAGATCAGCAAAAAGAAAGGAATTTACCTGTGGCCTTAGTCCTAGCCTCGATGCACTCAGATCTGACCTCGGCTGAGAGAACAACCGAAATGGATTCCATCCGTCAATAGGAATCCACCCTCATCTCCCCTTTTTCCATCCGATCGCCAATAATTCATTGGCAGGCCGGGTCCGTAGGAAAAAGCAAGAATGCACCCACCCGGGCCATCTGTATGGGTGTGTGGAAGGTTGAAACTGGCCTGCGATCGACCAGACAAAGTTTGATTTTTCGCCTCGCGCTGTCTGATTTGGTTTTTCTTTTCTTTTCTTTTCTTTCAATTATTTTTATTCTGTAGTGATTCAATCCTGCTGATTACGGCGATGATGATAATCCCTTCCTCGAAAAAGAATCATCATGGCAATAGTTCGGTCTAGCTCCTTAGGACGATTCTCCGAAGGAACTCCGTTCGTTGGCCCTTACTGTGGTTCCCGGAATCTAGCTTCCAGGCCCAGATTCCAGATCAGAGAGCTCCTACGGAGAAAGTACTGGAGGGGAAAAGTTGTACCAGGATGGTCTGGTCGGCTTTCCTGAACTTGACTGGGCAGCCGGGGACCATCCAACACAACCCGAGGGCGCTCAACACGGTCGATATCTCATATGTAAAGCAGGTTGGACCGTAGGGAACCTTGTCTTTGTGTAACGTCTAGCGTCCAGGGTCTTGATTCTAAAGTCCTAGTTGGATTCGGGACACCAACGGTTGTACGTATGCGGACGGGTTGACATTTGGACTGATCTCTTTTCCTTCTGTCTTCCTTTCCTTTTCCCTTTTCTCTGTTTCACTTAATGAAAGGACAGAAAGAAAAATCCTGTTCATTTCTCCTTCACGAGTCTCCGATTGACGAGTCCCACTGACCACTGAGAGTTCGGCCTTTTATCCTGGACCGGGATGGTGCTCGTAGAGAGACTGGAGACCTGGATTGCGATCCCCAACGCTTTTACCCACCGAGCTAGCCAGCCTGCAACCTGTCGTAACACTAAATCGGTATGCACACGCAGTAGTACCGCACCGCACGGCGCCAATCTGCCGAACTTTCAGGTACGAGGGCGATGGTAGGGGCCTAAGGGGGAGAAATCGCAAATGCCACTCGGGGAGCTCCCATGACCATGTCGTTGGATTGTTCGGGGTTCAACGATCCCCGGGATGGGCAGGGGGGCAGAATCAAATAACATAGTCTGGTTTTAAATTGGTTTTTTTCTGCGAGAAGCGTTCAGACTTAATCCGTACTCTGGTGTCATCAACATTGGCATCGACCGATAAAATTTCACTCATCTGGTCTGTCATTTTGTTCCCGCTCCTTTGTTCTATGAGGATCCTCATTTCAATAAGGAAGAAAAAAATAAAATAAAATAAATTGGAACTAAAGTTTCCATTGTTGTCTAGTATACTTAGCCTGGGAGATAATGGCTGGGTCCCCCAAACGTAAAATGTACCCATGTGTTTTGTGACAGAACACCCAGCCACTTTCAGGAACTTGGCCAAATCGATGTCATGAGAGAGAGAGAGAGAGGAAGGACGGACAGACGGAGGGAAGAAAGAAAGGAAAGACGAACGCCTAGGAGGATCCGCTTCCCAAAGAAGAAGGCACCTCCATCGAGTCCGATCTGCGGCCTAAGGCCAGCCAGCCAGCTCGATCGGGACGCCTCCCCACTTCCATGACTCGCCTTTTCGCTCGCTTTTTGTCTTCTCCTCTTCTCTCTCGCTCTCATCGACTGGTCGACCACGATGAGGCGAGGATTCCAACATTACTGACTCAAGCTAGCGGCTTGCATAACCACCTCGATCAGAACGCCCTTCTTGTGTTTTAGTTCCTGCCTCCCTCCCCGCCATGCCATGGAAACATCGGAAATCCTCGTCCACGTCTCCGCTCCCAGCACCGCCGCGGACGATGCCCGCTATCGTGCTCAGGTCCAGGCCATCCTCGGCTTCCAGCCTGTCTCGTGCCAAGTAACTACTCTCAGTTCGGTCGAGAGCTCCTGTGATCGAACTCAGGAGCAAGATCAGAGTCAATGTCCAGATCGAGACCAAGGTCAAGGTTACGATTGCCCGCTTCCCAATGACGTCTGTCATCGTGATGCCGATACTCATGCTTCCCAATCCGCCGGCCCACCTCTCCCTTGCACGTCCGATTCTGCCTCCGATCTCGATCTCCACGTGATCCCTCATAATAATAATGCCATCCCTTCGCCAGCGTTCGCTACGGCGACAGCCCTCGCCGTTGACGATCCGCCATCTCGTGGTGGCGCCGCGCAGGATTCGCTAGGTAGTCCGGTCAGTGTGATACCAGACTCTCAGCCCGAGGGATTGGTGTCGGGCAATGCCACGGGTTTTGAATCTTCGAGTCAGTATCAGACACCGCCGCCGGATCCCTCGTCGCCTCCCCCGTCAAAGCGATGTCGAATAGAGTCAGGTCCGACTCCAGATGAACACTCAAAGGTCCCCACGGATAAACAATTTACTTCCACAGAACGCAAAAGAAAGCAAGAACAGGAGCTGGAATTGAAAGAAAAATACCATCCACACCAGAGCGATCATGAAACCCGTCCTCCCCATTCTACTCCCGCTCCCATACCTACATCCAAACCCAAACTTCCGGCTAAAGGCAAAGACAGCAACAAAGCATCTCTACCTCCCCCTCCCACCCTCGAAGTCACAATTGCTCCTCCCATGCAAATCAAACCCCCTCCACCTCCAATCTCCAACAAGAAGTTCACCACACACATCACACCCACCCTATCGATGCTCTTCAACCGTCTCCATTCCCCGCGAATCTACACACCCATCCAGCAGTCCCGCCCCCTGGATATTCTCGAACGAGGATACTGGTATCTTCGTATTGACATCCTACACCCAGACGCCGACGCGAACAAACCCAAACCCCACCCAAATACCTGGGACCCGTCCCTCTTCAACCGCTTCTGGTCTTTCCTAAGCGAGTTTGTAGGCCAAGAAGGGCGAGCAGGATGGGGTGTGTGGTGTTCCCTCGAAGATGTTTCTGCGACTGTTAGTACGGATCCCGGTTCTGGCTCCCAAACTGATTCAAACTCCACCTCTCAGCACAACCAACACACCCCCCCAGCTCACGAACTAGGTCTGAAAGTATACGCATGGGGCGAGATCGCCGTGCATATATACCTACTTCTCTTTCTGGCGAGCGAGCGCCGCATCCGAAAGATGGGCGCGCAGTGGCGCGACGGCAGCGAAGAGATCGTGATTCGCATGCCGACGTCTACTTCTACTTCCACGTCCGCGTCCACTTCTACTAATAAAGACCTGCCTGGGAACCTAGCCGGCTAGCCTACCGCAGGCGGGCAGTCTATACTCTCGTATATACCTTTCACCTTCACCTTCATATATACCTATCTATATATCATATGAAGCCCTTAAAATCACAACATATATTGCTATTCGAATAACAATGATAACATAACCCACCCATAATCCAACAAGCAACGAGGAAGACGAAATTAGCAAAACAAAAAGAACGCAACGCAAACAAACCCCGCCTCCCTCCCTCCCTTAACGTAATCGGACACCGAACCGCCGGTCCCTCACCGCCGCTTCTTATCAAAACGCTCAATTTTCAACCATTTGATCAAAAACGAGGCAATTCAACAGTATGGAAGGCCTATCTCGAGATAGGAGGTTAGCGCTCGCTACTGAGGCCTTTCAAAAAGGCCAGTTCTCCTCTAAACAGTCCTGCGCGGCCGCTTTTGACGTCAAAATAAGCACTCTAAAAGGTCGCTTGAAAGGAATCAAATCGCGCAACGAAACAGAGGCGAATTGCAGGAAGCTCTCTATTAATGACGAATTGGTATTGAAGCGAACGATCCTCGATATGGACTCTCGTGGATACCCTCTTACTATTGAAAAAGTCCGCCACCTCGCAGAGATCCTCCTTGCCGCGAAATTGAAGCCTTCCGCTCCGGATAACGCCTTTATAAGCTATCGCTGGGTCAACCGATTCATCAACCGCCATGAAGCTGAATTACAGTCAAAATACACGAGGCGATACGATTACCAAAGAGCGAAACGCGAGGACCCCAAGATTATAAAACGCTGGTTCGACTTGGTGCAAAATACCGTACAAAAATATGGGATTCTTGAACAGGATACTTATGATATGGATGAGACGGGTTTTCAAATGGGGGTTGCCTCTACTGCAAAGGTTGTATGCGGCGCAGAATCACGAGAAAGCAATGCAAGATCAGTGCAACCAGGCAATCGAGAATGGGTCACGGCGATCATCACGATCAGCGCCGCAGGCGTTGTTTTACCTCCACAAATCATCTTCGCAGGTAAAATGCAGCAACAGAAGTGGTATGAAGATATTCCCGATGACTATCGGGTCAGCGTGAGCGAGAATGGATGGACGAATGATAAAGTCGGGTTTGAATGGCTTCAATTTTTCGATAATTTCACTTCTTCAAAAACGGCCGGTCAATATCGCCTTTTACTGCTTGACGGCCACGGGTCCCATTCAACGCTTGAATTCGATCAACTTTGCAAAGAGAAAAACATCATTCCTTTATACATGCCGCCTCATTCTTCTCACAAATTGCAACCGCTTGATGTGGGCTGTTTTTCGCCGCTAAAAGGCTATTACGGCCGGCGAATTAGCGACGCTCTACAGAACGGTATAGAACATATCGATAAAAGCGATTTTATTAATCACTTCAAGCGTATATACAGTAAGGCCTTCTCTGCGAGCAATATAACAAGCAGTTTCGCCTCTACGGGCCTCATCCCGTACGATCCAGATAAAGTGCTTTCAAAACTGAAGCCTTTACGATCTTCAACGCCTCCTCCGCCTTCAACTTCATCGGCCAACCAGTCCATGTATCACGGTAAAACGCCCGTGAATTTATATCAACTAAATCATCAAAAAGCGGAGATTCAATCGTTGCAAGAATCGGGATTATCATCGCTTATTGCGGACCAAGCGCTTGAGAAGGTGTATAAAGGCGCGGAGATGGCCATGCAGAACGCCGCCCTGCTTCAACAAGAAATACGCCAGCTTCGCGCGGTAGAACAGTCTAAAAATGGCAAGCAAAAGGCCTCACGACGATATCTTCAAGAAGGAGGCACTTTGTCCGGTCAAGAGGGGCGAGAAATTGCGAATGAAAAGGCCGCTGAAGAGGCGAGAAAACGAGCTGCTCAAGGGCCTACAACACGCCGGCCACCGCGCTGCAGTAACTGCAATCAGGAGGGTCACAATCGTTTAAAATGTCCTGCCTAATTAGGGAATAGAGTCTGATTCCTTTTTGTATTGCATTTTTCGCATTTTCGCGCGTTGAAATCGCTTCAATTTTGATCAAGTTGTTGAAATCGAGCGTTTTGATGATGAGGGACGGCAGGTGACCGGCGGTTCGGTGTCCGATTACGTTATCTCTTTCCCCCTTCCCCGGATGCAGTGACACAAGGAAATCAAATCAAATCACCAAGAACCCTTGGTTCGTACGAGGTCGCAGCACAATACGCTTTCACCATCCTGGTTCGGTTTCTTCAGGTTTGAAGCCTTCACGGCTGTGAAGAATATGGGGCATGGATTATGACCATGGATCACGGTCGGACAAGAAGGTGAAGATTATGAATCCTAATCCTACCTTGAATTTTATGTGGGAAAGAAATAACCTACGGAGCTGCGTTGGTCGGTGGTCTTGACTTACTAGGAAATAATACAATATTAAACGCAATGGAATAGCTAGCTAGCTAAATAGCCAAATAGATAATGGACTGATAAATGCATTGATGTATTTCAGAAAACACAAAAGTATGGTACACACAAAGAAGGGGGTCGCAAGAGGAAGAGAGGAGGGAAACTTCAAGAAGCACCGCTTGTTTTTATATTTCTGCTTCCTTTTTCTCCTGCTTTTGAGCTTTCATCCTTCAGTTGGAAGAATTCCACGAGATGAGAAGACAATCCGAGAAAGACCTGGTGAGTAAGGTACATGTGACAGGTTGAGAGGATTGCGGTTAAGACGAGCAAAAGAAAAAGAACTCCTGTTCCCAAGTAGGGACCTTCCGCTCTGAAAACATGGTTTTAACTGGCATGTGGAATGGACGAATGAAGAGATGGTGATGAAAGGACCGGACGATCTGGTAGCGCGTATTAAAAGCCAAAAACATAGAATGGAAGACGTGCGATAGATCAAGCTGAAGTTATGATATGATTGAAAACAAAAAAGAAATGACAGAAAGATGGAGATGACCATTGGACGCCACGGGTTGGAAAAGATTTTTTCTCAAAATGCAAGCAACAATCAAAACTGATCGGGCTTTAGTAGTTTAATTCACCACTGCCAGCACCGCCCACCGCATCAAGATCCTCGTAGCTCTTGAGACTGCGGCCTTGGACGGCTTCGCGGGGTCCCATGCCCTGAGGACCGGCACCGGCACCCATGGCATCAGGGAAGCCCCCAGCACCAGCAAATGCGGCAGCTGCCGGGTGTCCGGGAGGGATATATGGCGCCCCCGAGTTGGCCGGAAGGCGACCGCCAGATCCATACATGTTTGACATGCCACGAACAGGGCTCAGTCGACCACTTCCAGCGCCAGAATTGCCATATCGATTGTTGCCGCCGCGGCGATCATAAGGCCCGGAGCGATTGTTGAAGCGACCACCTCGACGCATCACGCCGGGCTGATGTAACCCAGGATGATCACCACCAACCATACCACCGCCCCAGGAACCTGCCGGGTTGTTTACGCCCATGAATCCAGGCAAGGATGCTGCCCCAGCCATAGGGGGGAAGCCAGCGGGAACGTTGCCGTTCGGTCCCATGTAGGCGGGCATCGACGACGACAGACTAAAACCACGAGGAGTGCCGGCTTGGTTCTGGCCAGAGCTGAGAGGGAAATGGCCGTTGCTATTGGCATCAGACCGCGAGGGGGCAATCCGAGCAGGGTCGAGGACATATGCGTTTACCAAAGACAGCTTTGTTTCAAACCACGTTAGCCTTCTTCTCGTTCTTCTCTCGGTTGGCAAAGGGGGAGATAAACTGTCACTCACATCGCTTCGGATAGACTCATACCACTCCGTGTGGCGCTTCTCGATATGCTTGCGCCAGAAATATTCGGCCTTGAACAACTTGGTACACTCGGGAACCTTGCAGCGATACTTGGATTCGTCCTCCTGCTTCATGAATTTCGACAATTCCTCCTCAAGTGCATCGTCCACTGGCTTACCACCCAGCTTTCTAATGTCCACATTTTCGGGCTCGAGTATCTGCAGGAGCTTATCCTCGAAAGTTTTGACCCAATTGAACGCACGCTGGAGCTGCTGTTCCGATTTGGAAGCAAATCGTTGCGGTCGCTTTTCCTCCGCCGGCGCTGGCTGCTCCTCGCCCTCCTCGCTGGGCTCCTTTTTCTTCACCGGGAACGGCTGTCCTAAAGCGCTAGCTCTGGCGACAGCTTTCGACTGCGAGCTAAGACCAGCACGCGGCCGGCGAAGGTGGCCACCAGGACACTTCCGCGCGAGTTCATGGACCGAGTCGCTTTCGAATACACAGAAGAAGCAAAAATTGTAGACTCTGCGGACATATTCCACAAGCAAGTCCAGCTTCTTCTTCTTAGCCAAGAGCTCCTCGTCATCGGTCTCATCATCCTCCCATCCTTCCTGCTCCTCCCCTTCTTCGGCTTCCCCCTCGTCCATATCATCCGTGTCAAAGTCAGGTTTTCTCTTCTTGACACTGACGGGGCCGGTAACAGGCGGCTGCAGCCAGCCCTTACCACGCAACTCTTCCACTCGCTCTTCAATCTTGACATACCCATCCACACCGCCCATTTCAGAATCCAGTTTCGCCACGAGTCGTCTAGCCAGTTCCAAGTCGCGCTCGATACGTTCTGGGGTGGAGAACAAATCCCACAGCGCCTTCTTGCGTGGCTGTGCGGGCGGAACATGGACCCCAACGTGGCATACGAAGTCCCCGTGAACCGGATCATGAATGGTTTTGTCGTTGACTGCCTCGAGGGCCTTCTCTGCGGCGGAAGTGCTAGAGCTGCCATTTGCATAGTCATCTTGCTCGATTTCTTCGCCCTCCTCCTCTCTACCATCCCCTCTCTCGACAACGGCATTTTCCGCCGCGGGGTGCAACATGATCCACCCCATACGGTGGTATTTCTTGGATGGGTTTGGATCACTGAGACTCAGCCACTTGAAGCCACCATCTTGTTCCCCCAGGTGTTCCTTGCAAAACTCCTCGATCTTCTCCCGGCTGACGTTCGGGGCAAGGGTCTTGATAAGCAATGCGGGTTGGGACAAGGCTTCGTCACGCAGTTCACCTCCTCGGGCCGGTAGCAAGTCCAAGACACTTAACGTCTCTCCCACTGCGGTCGTTTCACCTTCCTCTTTCTCAACGACACCGCCCGCACCATCGCTCTCACTCTTGTAGATCCCTTCGAGGGTGAAATCATCAAACAATCCGCCGTCAATGTCACTTTCCCACTGTTGATAAGCGCCCACGCGGAAGTCCATCACACGGCGACGCAGGGGATCCCGAACCTCGGGAACATAACGCTCCTTGAACCATTCTTCGTTTCGATGATGTTGGACGAACGTCCTTGCCATCTTAATCTGAAGGTCCACCTTGTACGAGTCATATGCAGCCTGGATCTGCGCCCGCTCGCGGTCACGGTCTTCCCGCGCCTCGCGCTCTCCCTTCACACGGTCCGACGGGCGGCGTCCGCCATGCTTGGCACGTTCTTTTTCCTCCTTGATGGATTGTTCGGCGCGCCACCATTCGGCAAACCAATTGAATCCCACCTGAAAATCTAGGCTGAGAGGGTTCGGCAGGGGGTTTGTCGGAATCGGTCGCTTTCCAGAGTCCTGTCCAGGGACATATCGATCAATGTTTGCGACGGTGGGAGAAGGAGCCCGGCGACGATCTTCACGCTCCCTCATGGTATGTTCGCGAGCCGTGGCATAATAATCATCTCGGGAAGTTCGTCGATCTGTAGGTTCATAGCGATCGATCATTGCTGGCGAGCGAGAACGACCACGTCCACGGCGACGATCCTGAGACACTGTAGAAAGATACGATTAGTAAATGGTCCTTTCACTTTCTCTTTCACCAATTCCAAGGTGTTAAGCTTGGAAAGGTCTTACCGGGAGACCGACGTCGGTAGGAATCCACCGGTGCCCTGTTCGCGTACGGGTCTCCATCCCGGCTCCTGCCGGGAGATCCATACGCATCGTAGGAATCCATATCGAATGGCTGGGCCTTCAACGACGATAACAATGACGTGTCCGGGCTTGGCTCACGTTCAACGACTGTCCAAGTCGAAGAAAAAATCGCCGGAGTGAGACGACGGCCGATGAAAGAGCAGGAGATGGCGGTAAACACCGGCAAAGGTGGGCTAAAAAGCGACATCAACAAAATTAGAGAATGTCTTTTCACTTGACTTGTTCATCTGAGTAGGGTGCCTGGCAGGTTGGATTTTGACGCAGTGTGCAAGGAACGGGATGTGATGAGGAAAAAGACGAAAACGAGGCTGAAACCCGCGCGACGGGTGCTCTTAAAGAGGGCATATTCGCGATTTGAGAGACAAAGATAGAGCCCGAAAACGAGATGGAGACGCGCTCTTGAAGGAGCCGAAAGAAATATAAAAAGAAAATAAGGGGAGAAAAGACAAGATGATCGGGCAAAGCACCGAAGGTCTCGAAGGCCAATTAGGGCGCGACGAAATGACCGACTACTCCCTGGAAGAGATCGAGAACGGAAGCATGAAAGCAGGGTATCAAAAAAAAAAAAAGAAGAGAGGTGATGGGAAAGGTGATTTGATTGCTTCCTTTGATGTTTTCCCTCTCATGCAATGAGAAGAGCAAGAGAAGATGAGGCAGGGGGAAGGGGGTAGCGAGCAAGATGGGGAAAGTGATAGAGACAAAGGGAGGTCGGTGGTGAGTGTAACAGAAGAAACACGACAATGGGGATAAAAGAGAATAGTAAACGGAGGAAGGCGACCTACAAGAAGCCTTATAGAAAAGGATGAATCAATCGGATGAGACCAATCCCTGATCACAGACCCAGTCCAATGATAAGTTTGGAGGGAACGAGACAGCCGGGCGATGCAGTTGGAGAAGGGGAAAGCGAAAGTCGAGACGGGGAAGAGCGACGGCGACAGCGCGCTGACATAAGCAGATGCAATGACTAATCCGGGGTTATTTTTGGCACTTGCGCCAAAGCGGAAACTTGCTGGTGTGGATTCGCTCCGGAGTCGAGACTTACGGAGTATCTACGAGGATTAGCAATGCATGCAAGGTCATTTAGTTCTACACGGTATGAGAACCAAGCCCACATTAGCCAGTTCCCACAGGGCGACCGAGCAACGTCCAAGTATATGTCCTGATATTTGTACACGACTAGTGGGGGAATCATCCTAATAAAAAAAAAAAGATGCTGGAAAGGAAACAGTACAGAGACACCACGAACAGTGCACAGACAATCAAATGACAAGAGATTGACCGCACAAACCAAAGACTAACTCAACAAGGGTAAATCTCGGATCAAACCCCAGGTTCGGCAGCTTGAATCGGGGGAAACAACTACCGCCGTCGGCCTTATATCAGTTTCAAGAACTTCGGGTCCAAGAGCAACAATGCTGCAGACAATCAAAAAAGGGAAAGGACATAACTGCAGATATCTAATCCAAAGAGATCAAGACTCCATGTAGATCAAAACCTAGTCCCACGCACGCGTTGCACTGCCTTACAGTGAGTCCCCCGCTGGTTCATATCATGCCTCCGTTAATATCTGCATTGTCATTTTTCCTTGAGGGGTTATTTCGTTTTTACCAGCGATGGGTTCCGCTGAAACCCCAACCAAAAAAGGGGGTCAAGGAAGAAAGAGAAGATAAAAAAGAGAAAGAAAATTCCGTATAGCATGATGCCTAAATGCGAAAGCGAACAATGCACTGTCGATGTAAAAGCTGCTCCGACGAAAGCGGAAGTAGGTTGGGTCAGTGTGATCAATCGTAGAATTGAACGGTGCCCATGCCAAAAACAATCATGTGAATAGTCGAGATGACGGCCGTGTGGGAAGCTTCAAAGGCACGCCAAAAAGCTGATCGGAATATAGGCCGTTGATCCAAGATGTCATCACAAGCTATGGCACGTTTGCAGTTCATTCGATGTATTGACCCCGGGACCAGAGGATTGGAGTTTGATAAGAATAAGAGAAGAATAAAAGAAAATATCAATATGCATAAAGAAACATCAGAACAAGAGAAAAAAACAAAACGGGGAAATCATTTCATACACACATTCCTGGTAGACAGAACATCATCGAGTCAAGGGATATATGATCAAACTTCGTACCAGCATAAATATCAACAACCATGAAACCAGAAGACGTAACAATAAGACGAAAGGAGGGGGGGGGGGAAGGAAATAATAAAGTCAGAACCACGGGTAAGTAGTCACACATCGCTCGCTACAGGGAGAGAAAAAGAAATTAAGAGACACAAAAGCCAGGCATCCATCCATAAAAGACCATGAGAAATAAATACGAAGAAACAGATGTCGGGAGCGGAATCGACGTGAAAAGGAGAACGTGACGGGTCGTGGTCGTAAAGTTATCACTCAACCTTCTTCATCCGACGCGTCGGCGGACTCATTTTCACTTTCTTCGGCACTGCTATTTTTAGGCCCGGCGGTCTTCGCTTTTTTGGCCGAGCTGACATTGTCCTCGTTGACCTCACTTGACTTCCGTTTCTGGGCCGACGGAGTACTCCCGCCGGCATGCTTCATCACGGGGCTGTCGTTCTCCTGCCCGGGAGCTCCGGAGCCCTGTTTCTTTTCCATGGCGGCGACTTCCTCCGCGGTCAGAAATCGGCCACCGGGACCCCGCGGTCGCCGCATGGCGTGGTTGTGACGGGATTCGTGCAAGTACGGCTTGCGGCCCTTCGAGGTCAGTCGGAGTTGCTCTTCCAATTTTTGACGGGCCACGCGACGTTTGAGGATGCGGTGGAACTGCTTCGCGTTGACGTAGAGCGGGGATTCTTCCTGGGGACCGGCGACCATCTCCGGAGAAGGTTGACTTTGCTGCACCGGCGGTTGATGAGGGGGGGCCATAGGCGGGCCCACGGAAGGGCGGCCAACGTGGTTGAGAACGGGCTGGGCGCTCTGAACGTGCGGGCTGCCGACGTGGCTCATCCGCCGCGGCTGCATCTGAGGGTTCTGGGGCATGGGCACTTGAGAGGCCATGGAAGGCATTTGTCCTGGTAATTGCGGCGGTGAGCGAGGGTTCCGATCATTCTTCACGGGCACTCCTGCCATGCGCGGCGAGCCCCGCGGACCCTGGGGGATTTGGCCGGCCATGGAGTCTTGGTGAAGCGGATAGAACTGACCCGAAGCCGCGGCGGTGGCCATGGCGGCCGCCTGAGTTGGAGAGATGCCGTATGTCTGCGGCATCGCCGTTGTTACCCCGTACGACTGAGGGAAATTCATTTGCTGATGTACCGAGCCCGGGGCATTTTGCGTCTGCTGGTAATGCGATTGGGAGGGAACAATTGGCGAAGCCTGGTGTGTCGGGTGGGCGGGTTGCATGTGCGCTTGAGGGTTGGTAGGAGAAGCCATCGACCCCACGGTAGAACCGGCGTTCTGCGGCGCGGTCTGGTAAGGGCCGGCAATGTGAGAGGGGGCATGGGGATTTTGGCCGTGAGGCTGTTGATATTGGGGCGGATACTCCATCATGGGAGGTTCGCGACGGCGCTTCCCGTCACGCGTCCAATATCCTTTGTGATTGGGTCGATCGGACTGTCAGGAACCAAGAGGCCTGAACCAATAGTAATGGCAAAGGGGAGTAATTGGCGGAAGAGAGACCACTGGTTTTGGAGATTGGGAACGGCGCTGGTAAATGATAGGATATGGAAGCGCTGTTGCACTTCTGGGGGTGAGGGGGGGGATATCACGGTCGCGCACGAAAGAGGGACAGCCGCACTTAGTAGCGACAGGCTGCGGTTGATGATTCGATAAGTTAAATGCGAAGGTCTGCAGGCTCTCCCTATAGCGTCAGCACGGAGCGCAGCGCCGACCGGTCACTGGATTCTGGGTGGGGTCGCATGGAGACAAAAACAAAGGCACTTGCACCAGGGCGCTTACCGCTATGTTTTTCGGCTTTGGGGATGATACACGGGCTTTTCCACGGTCCGCGACAAGAGAGAAATCGTCCAAAGATGAACGCTTGTTTGCCGAAATGACTTCGAACAGCTTTCTCCGGAGATTCTGGCTCTTTTTGTGGAAACCTTTTTTTTTTACGTTCAACTCCGAGTGTAACGTGGTTGGGCTCTGATGCAGCGAGCCAGGGTGCCCTCGACAAGATGTCGCACTTGATGCGTTGTCAGACAAAAACCGATCTTCTTGATAACAAAGTTGGCCATTGCCGGCATGCGCCGAAACGGTTCAAAAATCGCTTCCTTCCAAAATGAAGGACGATAACAAATCAAGAATAAAAAAATAAATAGAAAATAAAGACAAACACGGGGAGGGACGGGCAGTGACTACGGCAAGTATTTTTGGGAAAGAAGAAAAATCAACTGGCACCTTACCTGCACGGATAATGTTCAGACCCTTCAGGGTATTCGGGCTGCCAGGCCACGTCTGTTTGAGGCGGGGACGATGCAGGAAATAGCGATATGAGGCGGTGCTAACAGCGCGTCCGGCCTGCTCCTTCGGGTCCAGATGGGTGAGGATATCCCGGTCCGCGGTTCCCAGGGCTACTATGCGACTTGGGAGGGGACTGATGTCAGAATGCGCCTAGCAAGGGCTTGCGCCGTGAAGTCGACTACAGAAAACCATCAGCATATCCCTTCTCCGCCAATCATAAGTTCTGCATGCTGATTTGTGCGCTGTCATAATGGGGGGGTAGGTAGACTCTGTCAGAGGGATGGTGGGGGGAAGGGGGGGGGAAGGAGTGATATTGTGGCGGTTTAGTCTATTCAGGGCTGAAGGATGTATGCGTTGGCAAGCGGGAATCATGATGCAGCCGGCTACATACCTTGACGAGATACAACGACGCCTTCAGAGCGAGATACAGGAGGTACCGACGCTGGTGCTGCGCGCTGCAGGGGAGAGAGACTTGACCGGAAGAGGAGAGAGGTCCAGATTTACTCTCAACCAAGACCGTCTTCAATGTACAACGACAAAGACAACCCGCGCGTCTAAAGATAGGAAGATGTTAGAGAAGTGCATGCAAAGGGCCATGAATCAAGGTTGACGCGTCGTGATTGGGCGAGTTGGGGGCGGGGGGCTCGGGGAATTGAAGGTAAAACGCGACAAATAACGGCATGCATAACAAGGTGGATATGTCATCAAACTCTCACGAGGCGTTGTAACGGAGCCGGGGAAGAAGGACACGGAAAGCGCATAAAGAAAATGAGTGAAACATGGAGTCTATCTGCAGCGCCGGGAGGACATGCAAACGGTCGATTGGATTGAGGGGGGGGGGATGTTTTGATTCGAGGTGGGTAAATAGGCAGAGGACTTTCCCCAATCGCGTGGTTCCGGTACATACAAACAACAAGGACACACGCTAAGGTTCTGATAAGATCGGGGGCGGGCGTGGAGGGTAAAAACCAGGTTAATTACCTGATCCAACGAGAGAGCAGAAGGCTTCCGCCGTTCACGAGACTGAGAGACTGGAATCAATCCAAACAATGCAAAGGGGAAGAAGCCAATTCTCGACGCGAAAAGGTGTGGGCTGCCGCTGATGTCAGTCACGCCGTCGGCCCGGGTTGATCCGTGCGATCCAGCGCGAGAGATCGAAGCAAGTCCGCCAAATCGCACCCGTCGATTAATTGAGCTTCAACGGAGTGGAGCGATTCAAGCGCAGAAGGGTCATCGTTCGCAATGCGACCAGATGCCAAAGCAACGTGATTTGTGGAGGGAACTGGGGGACAGACAGGAACAGTCGATTTGCGACTGAGCGAGGGTTGGAAGCCAACAAGAACGTGCACCGGGACACCAAAGTGATGTGATTGGGACGAGAGACAGGTATTGGGGGGGCGTTGGGTACAAACAGTGTATACAATCATACAATCATACAGCGTACTCGAATCATAAAACCGGAGATAATAATAAAAAAAAAAAGACAAGGAGGCAAGGGACGAAGGAGGGATGGGGGGAGAATCCACGTACCTCGGACAGTGATTCGACCACAACCGTGGAAATTTGGCAGGAAGAAGGATGGGGAGTGATCAATCACGAGGAGAGAAACGGATGGGGGGAGGGGGGAGTGTCGGTGGTGGGAGTGAATAATCAAATCAAAATGCAAGTCGCAGGCGCAAATCAGACAAGAAACTGGAGAAAATCGAGAAAATCAAATAAGAATTAAATAAATCTCAGGTAAATAATGTCAATGGACAACCACCAGCGAGGCGAGCCAATGAGTTCTGTGCGGCCAGGTCAGAGCGAGGTCGGTGACTGGAGGGCACGCAAGGACTGGAGAGGCGGGACAACCAACGAGAAGGAGCAGAGAGAGAAAGCCGCAGCGAAAAGAAGAGCGGGCGATGGGGCATTTGTACCGTAGAGGAGCTGACTGGCCCGACTGCTTCGTCTAGCGGTCGAGGCGGCGAGCAGAGCAGACCAACCGATGTCCACGCCGTACGGTTCCGTAATTTCCCCCAGGCCCTGCCCCACTTGGCTGAGGTCTTTTGCCTGTGAGCCTTTGGCCGGTGCGGGCGGGCTGTGGTTTCTTTGTATCGATAGTACAATACAGAGTATTGAGAACTAAGGTAGGGAAATGCGCTTGGGTCCCTCCGCCGGGGAGATGGAAATGAGGATTCTCTCGGTGCAGCAGCGTACTGCCTAATCCTCAATTAAATCAAAAATATTAATTCATAATATATCATAATTAAAACCTAAGTTAGCACTACCTAAACTGACTTGTTCATTTCCTGGGATCTTTTGGTTTTTTCTCGACGGTCCGGCCTTCCCGAATTTGGGGGACGCTCGTCATGTGCTTCTCCCCCGGTGGCATCGACCAGCCACCCTCGTTTGGTTTCCACGCGTGCTTAGTCCGCGTTGGATTCTTGATTTCCTTCTCATGTCGATTTCTATTTTGATATTTGCCTTCGGGCTGCCGCCTCGGTCTGATTTAACCGCCAGGCTGGGTGACAGATGGATTACGGAGTAGATTCATCTCCCAAAGGTTTGAGGGATTCAATCACCATGACGTCGAGCCTGACGGGGACAATGGCAGCTCGGCCGACTTGGTCGCAGACGCTCGGCCTCGGTTACATACCCTCTTTAGGCAATAATTCTTCGGGCAGCCCAACAATACAAAATAATGATGGCTTTATCACTCGGCAATTCTGGTGCACCTCCGGTTACGTACAATTCCATTAGGAATGGCGGTTACGAGGTTAAGCGCGCAGGGTTCACCGTCACAGTTCTTTTTATTCTTTGATTCTGTCACTGGAATGACACCCATCCTGTTCATGGATTCAGTCAAACGCAAAACAAACTTCCCTGCCATCGCATACCGAGTAAACTCAGTTGCCTTGAGAATACGTGGATGAAATTGCAAACAGCAACCCCAACCGGAGCCCCGTCCGTATCCGGTATGCCAAGTACTACGGAAACCAAAATCTGCAAGGACCTGGATACGGGGAGAGGACATGGATTCACGCATCGTAATATTTCACTTGCTGTTATTCTCACGGATATAATTCCGATTCTGATGCTGAGAGGGTTGGTTTGATTGTCCATCTGGCCAGGGAACGAAAGAGTATAAACCAAAGAAACTCCGCCCAGTACCACGAGCGTACTCCGTATACAGTACCCCCCGTACCATCATCATCCAGCACGATGGCTGACACAGATTGGTCGCCGATCTGTCCCACACCACGTGTAGAAGCTTGACCGCTTGGTCGTAGGATTGATTCGACCAGCCCACGCTGAAGATTTAACTAATTTGTATCACGAAGCTGGGTGGATATGATGGGAAATACTCACTGGTCCTGCACTGTATAGAATGCTCTTTAGCCTGTCTCAGCCTGGCCTTTAGCCCCATACGGAGCATTGCACCTCGCACTGTGCAAACGACCTCGTTTACGCAGGAGGATTTCAGATAATACCGAGTTACAGAGAGAATACTCGTACGGTAAGATGACTTGAATGGGAAGCTTTGGCCACCTGACGTCAAGTGATTTGGTGCCCCACCCACACCGCTGTTCGGCGTTTGCCTGGGCTGAAGGCACTTCTTTGTATACCAGAATTCGTACAGCAAGAGGGCTTGGGACGACGGAGCAGGTTCTTGGAAATACAGGCAGGCAGGCACCTTGCAGATGCAGGTTCTGGGATGGGCCTAATGTAGCACAGTTTTCTGTCAACAATGTCACATCCTACACATCAAACGACCTTCTCATGACGAGTCCAAACTAGGAAGCGAGGCATGAAGTCTCTCATGTATCCGAAGCAGGGAATGTGGTTCTAAATTCAGCGGACGTATCATTTGTTATTCTGCTTTGTCTTTTCACCGCCTTGGATTTGATTCTCGTCTCTCTGATTACACGCTGTGCTGGAGTTCATATGTAAGCAACTTCATGTTAACTAGAGTATGAGTACAGTCTCTTGAATAATATCCCGTAGTTTCTCGGGGGGGTGGGGGGGGGGGGTAAGATGAAACTTCGTCATGATAAGACTCGGTCTTGTGTCATCCTAATGACTTATTCGTTTGATCCCTAAGCGGTGTGTCCCAGAAGTTCAAACCCCATGTTCCCTACGCACAAGCTGGTCTACTTCGCTAAGCCGGGAAGAGCGATATATATCTCCATGTCGGGAACTACAGCATAATTTTATTATTTGCCACGAGGTCCTCATACAGAAAGAATATGATATTTGTCAATATTAAATACAAATATCCCATTCTAACCAATTTTGTAAATCAATCCTCGTCAAACATTGTGGATGAGTGCTGACATAAGTCCTTGATATGTCCCACGATGCACTAAGACAACATTAAATCAGATGTTGATGGCATTTTACATTTTGCTAGGTCTCGGGTCGGAATACCCTTTCGTAGTTATTATCGTCAATTTATATTTCTTTCATCTTAAATATATCTTTCTAATTGTTCATGATTTCTAGGACATACCGTGCCTGTGTCTGCAGTACGCAATAAGCCTTTGAATGCTGAAACCCATCTAGATCAAACCTAATAACTATTGAACATTGGCTGACTTTTCTCGTTCGGCCTCCCTTCAACAATTGGCAATAGCTCCATAATTCTGGAGCGCTGGAAGCACACCACTCTGGCCTTTGATAATCCTCAAGTCAGCACAATATGCCTGGTATACCTACGTTGTCAGTTTGCTTAAGGACCGGTTCTGATTACTAGTGCGCCAGAAGTACACCGGCACTGCCCACCATGCTTATATATGGATCGAGAAGCCTGACCCGGTTACACGCAATTCTAATGGAGCCGGTGGCTCATGCAAGATATCCAAATCATGTGATCAAGGCATGCTTCTGGCCATGAGGTGGGTGCAACTGGAACCGACAGATTGTGCGGAGTACGGCGTGCTGCTGAGAAGATAAAGAGAAGGAAGTGCCCTTGTTGCGCAGAGTCCACGGCTATCTCGAAGTGTCACTGGTTGGATGTATTGTATTCCCAACATGATATCTATTGCCTATCTGAATATTATTGTGCCTAATTTTTTTTTTCTTTTGATAGGGATGTTTCACTTGATAGGGATGTTTCAAGCATCATTAACCTCCAGAACTTATCCGGGGAGTTCGCAAGATTGATGTTCTCATCGATGATCTGCCCGACAAGAGTACCTGCATATCGTGTACAGATCACAGTGACCCGTCCTAGAGGGAGCCGAAGGGTGACGAACGAATGGTCGCGACGGGACGAGACGAGAAGTGGACTGAACCTGGGGACGCTTAGCTAAGCGCATCCTTCGGTCTCATGTGGCTTTTCCCGTGCCTGCGAGGGTCGGCCGGGCCTGGAGTCGATCGCCTGCTGCATTATTTTATAATTTTCTCCCATCTTCCCCCCTTCGATCCTCATCTGCCTCGAGCAGCTCGATAACTAAGCAAATAGCGCGTCTCGTCTGGTGGTACCTTGCATGGTCCCCCGTTATTCTCGTTCAACCTGACCTCGCTCCCACCCCTGAACGCGCCCGGGATCCTACTCCCCAACACAAGTCCGTATACATGACGTCTTTGTTGATACTCACCACCGACTCTCAATCCCCTCGAGGCTACTCCGAAAAGACCAAATCCCTACCCTTGAACCTGCTGTAACAGGGTCTCCGGGAAGCATTCACTCCGCGACGCTGTAGGGCGGCGCTCTCCGAGGCGTTCGCAACTTCCGTGTTTTCTGGACCGATTAAACCCCCGCGGCCGCTTGCGCTCCTTTGAGCCGTCCCCTTTGGAATTCGAAACTCGTGCCGGTGGAGGCGGGTGAACGGCCCTCAAGTGTATGGGGTATAGGCCATCATGGCTCCTGGAGGTGGAGGAAATATTAAGGTGGTGGTGAGAGTTCGGCCTTTCAACAGTCGAGGTGAGTTCGTAGTGCTCTTCTTTCCCCCTCCCCTTCCTTCACCCCCCTTTTCGGCTCCTAGCTAACGCAAGCAATTTTGTTTCCAGAAATCGAACGAGGCGCAAAATGTATTGTGCATATGAAAGATACCCAGACCGTCATCACGCCGCCACCCGGTGCTGTCGATAAATCACGAAAAAACGCTGGTGGAAAGCAGGCCGTGGAAGGACCCAAAACGTTCGCGTTCGATAGGTCATATTGGTCTTTTGACAAACATGCCTCTAATTTCGCGAGCCAAGATAACCTATTCGATGATCTGGGTACGCCACTTCTGGACAATGCCTTCGGAGGCTACAACAATTGTATCTTTGCCTACGGTCAGACCGGTTCGGGAAAGTCGTATTCCATGATGGGTTATGGCAAGGAATACGGTGTCATTCCGAGAATTTGCCAGTCGATGTTCGAGCGCATCACTGCGATCCAGCAAGACAAAAACCTGGGCTGCACGGTGGAAGTGTCGTATCTGGAAATCTACAACGAGAGGGTTCGCGATCTGCTGAACCCCTCGAATAAGGGCAACTTGAAAGTCCGTGAGCACCCGTCAACCGGCCCTTATGTCGAGGATTTGGCCAAACTGGTGGTGCGCTCGTTCGAGGAAATCGAGAATTTGATGGACGAAGGAAACAAGGCCAGAACTGTCGCCGCTACCAACATGAACGAGACTTCTAGTCGATCTCATGCGGTCTTCACCCTAACTCTCACCCAGAAGCGGCATGATGCGGAGACGTCGATGGACTCGGAGAAGGTTTCAAGAATCAGTCTGGTCGATCTTGCAGGATCCGAAAGAGCGAACTCGACCGGAGCGACCGGAGCCCGATTGAAAGAGGGTGCGGAGATTAACCGTTCGCTTTCAACACTGGGTCGTGTCATTGCTGCTCTTGCGGATGTGGCTGCTGGCAAGAAGAAAAATGCGTCGATGGTACCCTACCGTGACTCGATTCTTACCTGGTTGCTGAAAGATTCCCTTGGAGGTAATTCCATGACGGCAATGATTGCTGCAATCTCACCAGCAGACATCAACTTCGAAGAGACTCTCGGTACTTTACGATATGCCGACTCCGCGAAACGTATCAAGAACCATGCAGTCGTGAACGAAGATCCTAATGCACGGATGATCAGAGAACTAAAGGAAGAGCTGGCGCAACTGAGGTCTAAGCTTGGACCGGTAGTGGGTGCCGTGGGTGCGGGCGGAGCGGCGGCGGCGGCAGCAGGCGGAGTATCTTTTGTTGAAGAATACCCCCCGGACACTCCGTTGGAGAAGCAGATGGTTTCTATTCAACAGGACGATGGCTCCGTTACCAAGGTCAGCAAGGCTGAGATTGTGGAGCAGCTCAATCAAAGCGAGAAGCTGTACAAAGACTTGAACCAAACTTGGGAAGAGAAGTTGGTGAAAACGGAGCAGATCCACAAAGAACGAGAGGCGGCTCTGGAAGAACTGGGAATTAGTATTGAGAAGGGTTTCATCGGACTTAGCACGCCCAAGAAGATGCCGCATTTGGTCAACCTGAGTGATGACCCGCTGCTCGCCGAGTGTCTTGTTTACAACATCAAACCGGGAACGACTATGGTTGGAAACATGGAACAGGGAAACCACGTGGAGATACGGTTGAACGGTTCGAAGATTCTCGCCAACCATTGTACGTTTGACAATGTGGATAATATCGTCAATGTTGTGCCGAGTGAAGGTGCCGCCGTCATGGTCAACGGGTTACGCATAGATAAGCCAACACGCCTCAAAAGCGGCTTTCGGATAATCCTGGGCGATTTCCATATCTTCCGATTCAATCACCCCCAAGAAGCTCGGGCCGAGCGAGTAGAGCAGAGTCTGCTGCGTCACTCGGTTACTACAAGTCAGCTAGGGTCTCCGGCACCAAACAAAACGCACGATCGCAGCTTGAGCAAGACCGGCTCGGAGATCGATGGGGACTCCAGTAGGGCCGATTCGCCAATGCCTTCGCAGCCCGGTCGCGAGTCTGATTGGCTTAACGCTCGCCGAGAAGCCGTCAGTGCTGTGCTGGGGCCTGATCACATTTCCCACATGCCTGATGATGAGCTGGATGCCCTGTTTGAAGACGTGCAAAAAGTTAGAAACACTCGCCGGGGACTTGCCGAGAACGAGGAGGACTCCGATTCGCTCAGCTCGTTTCCTGTCCGAGACAAATACATGTCCAACGGTACTATCGATAACTTTTCGTTGGATACTGCTATCACCATGCCGGGAACTCCTCGCCAACAAGACGACGAGGAGGGTCAAGATGGAGGGGATACGACGCTGCAATCTGTACGCCAGGATATGCAGCGCCAGCTGGACCGACAGAAGGAGGAGTACCAGGATAAGTTAAGAAACGCGGAGGTTTCATCTAGCCAGGGTACAGACGACATCCGCTCCGAAAAGACTCGCATGGAAGTAGCTCTGCGAACGGCCAAAGAAGAATTTGAGGAACAATTGAGAAAACAAAAGGAGGAATTCGAGTCTCACATGAAAGATATGGGCCAACCGGTGCCCAAGATTTACGAGAACGGCTTTGAAAAATTGGATCCAAAAGAGATAGAAATTGCGCACTCGGTCTTCAGCCATTGGACGCAACAGAATTACGTCCGCATGGCAGAGAACGTACTCCAGCATGCATCGTTGCTGAAGGAGGCTCAGGTGATGAGCCAGATAATGGATAAGAACGTCGTTTTCCAATTTGCGGTCGTCGACCATGGACACAACATGGCGTCTTCGTACGATCTGGTCTTGAATGGCATCTCTGGTGATGAAGATGTTGTGCTTGACGAGGCCAAGAAACCCTGCATCGCAGTGCGCGTAATCGATTTCAAGCAGTGCGTGATCCACCTCTGGTCTCTCGAGAAGCTCCAGCGCCGTCTTCAATCTATGCGCCAACTGCACCAGTATATCGACCGGCCAGACTATATTCAACACTTTAAACTCGAGAATCCTTTCTCGGAGCCCTGCTCCCCACAGTATTCGCTGGTGGGTGACGCTGATATCCCACTGACGGCGGTCTTTGAGACACGAGTGCAAGACTTCTCCGTTGAAATCACTTCGCCCTACACACAAAATGTGATCGGCATCATTAGACTGTCCTTGGAACCATCCTCTGCTCAGGCGCCATCGTCTACTCTGAAGTTCAATGTTGTCATGCGTGATATGGTTGGCTTTGCCGAATGGGAAGGTACGGAGGTCCACGCTCAACTCTTCGTGCCAGGAATATCCGAGGAGGGAGGTGCCACTACTACTCAGATGATTAGTGGGTTTGATGAATCTCCTGTCCGCTTCGAAAGCGTTCACAGTATGAGCCTACCGCTGTCCAGCCCGCGAAGTGCGGCCCTGAAGGTTTGCGTGTACGCGCGAGTGACACCCATGCACATGGACAAGCTTCTCAGCTGGGACGATATGCGCGACTCGGCAGAACCAGCACCCCAGATACGCAAAACCCCTCGCATCGCGGAGTCTGAATTTTTCTCAGAAGAACGACACGATGTTTTCGCGCGAATGCAAATCCTGGAGCTGGCCGAAACCGGAGAGTACCTTCCTGTCGAGGTGGTTCAGAGCAGCAGTCTTGATGTGGGCACGTATCAACTCCACCAGGGACTTCAACGTCGGGTCTTGGTAACCCTGACCTATAGCTCCACCGAGAGTCTTCCTTGGGACAACCTCAACCACATACGAGCAGGCTCAGTGCGTCTGCTAGACCCATGGGGCAAGATCCCAGACCAGGACCTTCAGACGCCGGATGTTCCGTTGAAGTTCGTTCAGGAACCGATGGTGAAAGACAATGCGGATGGAACATCCAACGTTACGTTGATCGCCCAATGGGACTCTAGTCTGCATGGCTCTCTACTCCTAGACCGAGTCACAGCCGACAAGTATCGCGTGCAGGTAACGGTTCGGTGGGATCTCATTTCATCGCGCTTGCAGGATCCTGTGTCCTTTGACGTAGACTTGACGCTCCAGATCCAAAGTCGAACCTATGTGCGCCCACAGTCCATGTTCAAGCAGTTTTTCAATTCTACTCGAATTGTACATTCCACGGTTCGCATGTTCTCCTTGGCTGTTCGACCCGTTTCTGCCAAACGCGCTGCGGACCTTTGGCGTATGAACACTCAGAATGATTACGTGAAGGGCGAGGAGCTCTTGACAACGTGGTCGCCACGCAAAGTGTCACTGGTGCGTGATTACATCGCAGCCCGTAAGCGACGTCGACGAGTCGCCGAATTGAATGCTGCCAAAGGAGCCCTCAGCGCGAGTAGTCTGGTGGCATCCCCTCCACGGAGCGGCCGATCAACCCCCCTTCGCAGCCAGGAGAACTCAGAGCGAAAAGCCAAGTTGCTTCGGAAATACGTGGAACTTTGGACCACGAAGACCGATCCTATCGAGGCGATCCTTGTTCGGAGCAACACGGAGCCTCCTGACGGGGGCGCAGCGTTTGCCTCGCGGACCCAGCCATCCTCGGGCGATGATTCCAGCTCTATCTCTGACGAAGCATCGCTAAAGCCGCGCTTCATTGCAACCATCCAGACTCTTCCAAAGAATGCATCTTCTTCGAAGAATGGATATCTCTTGACGCCTGACGATACCAGCACCCACTGGGTCCGACGCTTTGTAGAACTTCGCCGGCCATACCTTCACGTGTACTCTGTTCCCGACGGGGATGAAATCAATGCCATCAATTTGCGACATTCACGCGTGGATCACGCCCCTGATTTTGCACGCCTTCTTGATGGCCCAGGAGTGCGAGGCGATAATGGCTCGTCGCCCAAGGGACGGCCGAATGTATTTGCGGTGTATGGATCGCAGAACACCTTCCTCTTTGCCGCTCGTACCGAAGCCCAGAAGGTTGAATGGATCCTGAAGATCGACGAAAGTTACTTCAGCCACGGGGGTAAGGCACCGATCAACGGGTCTGGATGAAGTGCGCCACCACTTTTATTCTCTCGATTATTATTGGAACGACTTTTGCCGACGTTACGCAAGCGATGCATTGAACACACGATATTACTTTCCTGCTTTATTGGTTGCATTTGAATGGTTCGGCTTTCACTTTTACCCTTATTCTTTCTCTCGCATGGTCATGGGCAGGCGAGGTCCACCTTACGCTCTCTCGCGTTTCTCATCAGATCGAATTGTTTTTGCGCCTCACACCCAGGCCTGGAGTCTGTCTATCTTTTGTTGATCACCGTTTCCCTTCGTTTTGATATAATTTTGTGATTGATTGGTTTAGAGATACCCCCTGAATATACCTGCCCCTTAGTACACATGCGATCTCCCTGTATATAGTTGAAGTTACCCTCCCCTATCTGCAAGACATAGACGTGATCGGTCGGCAAGCGATGATATACGAGGCCCTCTGTGCCCGCAGGCGGCGGTGGCCATTGTTTGTTGATTTTTTTTTTTTTTCTTTTTCCAAAGTGAAAGCTGAATACACTCTGAGTGAACCATTAGATATTGATTTCATTATTTTAGCCGAAAATCCATGGATTTTACAGTCAGTATTACGCATAACGCTATCTAGTTAGTCGTGTATGACGGATGCCCCAGTGGTAACTAATTGATGATCTCATTGAATTGATGCACACCTGTTGCCATGGGAACCACAACAGCCTACGGACTGTCATGCCTAACTGCATGACCTTCAACTGACCTACCACAATCTTATTCTTATCTTAAATTATTTTTATCCCTGGCTAGCAGAATATTCTTACCGATAAAGCTTCTGATCGACATGACAGTTGCTACATGAATGACACATCTGCCCCGAGAACCCAGCAGCGGAGTATACAGACGAAACCTCAATCAACAACAACAACACCATTCAACGCTCACCAGCTCACCATCCTCGGCAGTATAACTACAGTATATATACCTCAATCCCAATGCGCTGGACGCAAACCAACCAGACCCGAACGACATGGCTCCGTTTCGTCGGCATCGGCGCCATTTTGTCCCTGTTGATCGTCGCATTCCTGCTCTTTAGCGACCGCCTCTCCACTTCGGCTACGAAATATATTCTAAGAACGGCCGATAAACCACCGCTGAAATGCCCGTCGGCGCATTTGAATACTACAGAATGGGAATTCCATACTCGGAGAGATGCGAATGATCACGGCCTTTCGGATGAGCAGTGTCGGGCTGCGTTTCCGAAGCTGTTCGTGGAGTTGGACAAGGCTGCTGAGGGGAGGAAGGAGAAGAAAATTAAGTTTCAGGAAGTGAATGAGGTATCCGTGGAGGATGGGATGGTGCGGGCGGTTGTGCAAGATGGGGAGGTAAGATCTTCCTGCGATGGCGATCAGTTGTGGATTGTCGTCTGTGTGAACTCTGCGTGAACTATTGCTAAACCATGACCGCAACAGTTATATATTGTCGATTTCGGCGCCATGCCGGCAACCTTCAGTCGCGGCAAAGCGACCTTGAACTCACTTCACCGCGCGCTGGCTTCGTTCCCCGACAGTCGCAACCTACCCAACGTCGAATTCGTCCTGACGACCGAAGACTACAGCACAGGCGACGGTCCCATCTGGTCCTACTCCAAGAAGGACGAGGACACGAACGTCTGGCTCATGCCGGACTTTGGATACTGGTCGTGGCCGGAGGTCAAGATCGGCTCGTATAAGGACATCCGCGCACGGATCGCGTCCGTGGACGACGGCGACTCATCATCATCATCATCACCGAACATCCAGCACGGGGTTTCCTTCCCGTCGAAGAAGAAACAGCTCGTCTGGCGCGGCAGCGTCGCCACGAACCCGCAGCTGCGCGGGAAACTGCTCAAAGCCGCCCAGGGCAAGAGCTGGGCCAGCATCCGCGTGATCGACTGGGATAACGAGAACGATATCCGGTACAATCTGCTCCCGATGGAAGAGCACTGTCGGTATATGTTCCTGGCGCACGCGGAGGGGCGTAGCTTCTCCGGCCGCGGTAAGTACCTGCTCAATTGCCGGTCTGTGACGATCACGCATCAGCTGGCGTGGAAGGAGGTGCATCATGCGGCGCTCATCGCATCGGGTCCGGAGGCGAACTATGTGCAGGTGCAGAACGATTTCTCGGATCTGGAGCGGAAGGTCGAGTTTCTGATCGATAATCCCGAGACGGCGCAGCGGATCGCAGAGAATGCGGTTAGGACGTTTCGCGATCGGTATTTGACTCCTGCGGCGGAGTCGTGTTACTGGAGGGAGTTGATCAGACGGTATGCGGATTCTTGTGAGTTCGAGCCGGTGCTGTTTGGGATGATGGAGGATGGGAGGAAGGAGGCGCGAGGGACGCCGTTTGAGACGTGGGTTTTGACGGGATGAGAGATTTCATCTTCGTCTAGGGTGTATAGGAGTTGGGGAGTCTGTATGATGTTATGGTTATGATCTACTTTGTATATAAAATGATTCTATGAATATCGGACGAACAATGACGAGTTGGAGGTTTGGCCTGAGTTCCTCAGGCATCCCTCTCAACGTGACTTATCCTCTTCTCTTTTCTCCTGCTCTTCTCCCACTCCCCTTCCCTTCTCGCGTCTCTATCAGCACCAGCGCAATCATCTGTATTGACATCATTGCGCATCTCACATGGAATGTACCGTGATCATGGGCGTCATCTCCCCCTTACTGAAACTGGCAAGAGTCTCAACGTAGGCACTTCGACCCCAATGTCGGTGTCTCCAGATGAACTTTCGAAACACAACCTGAATGAGGCCCGATACTACCCGTTGCTGACCAAGTCATCCCAACCGCAAGGCTATAATCTTACTGTACTGACGAGTGTCGATCTCCAGGACGTAGGTAGGTCATGGTGCCCAAAAAAAGAGACGTGCCGCGACCCGTGGTTCAGGCTCGCCCCCACGGAACCAATGGTGATTGAATTAGAGTGTGCACGAGATGGCTAGTTGACACTAATTTACTAAGTCTCTCTCCCCACACTCGAGCCTTGCTGCTGGGACATAACAATACCGACTCAATAATGAGCTTCGCCGAGCTGAGATTTCAGACGACAGGCCTCGGCAATGGCGTCAGTGTAACCATTTCTGCGGGGAAAACCGCTAGAAGAAAAGTCCGGGGTACTTCGTGCTGGGGAATGGCTCACACGACTCTTCTTTGTTGGATGGTTAAATCGCTCATCTGATGGGAAAGTCCTCGACAAAGAGTCGCTTCTGTCTGTTTCTCCTTCCGCTTTAGACGGAACGCGGAACGGCTCTTATTTGTGACAACTCACCCGCGGAAACCTTCTTTTTGTCGTGTCTTGGCCTGGCTACGAAATATTATTGAGAGACATGACTAGACCGATCTTTTCCCAGATCTTAGGAAAGAGTTTAGGTTGTTTTCCGCGGTTGGACATCGCAAGACAGACAGGCAACAAAGCCCCATGGAGCCCAATCCACCTCACGCAAGGGGTGCAGGTCCGAGACAAAGATTATCTGGCGAGATCTGCACGGCGGATTGACAGGACAGAGGAAAGAGTGGAGCTGCCCAAGGGTATCCTGTCGGTCGGTCGGCTGGATTCGAGGATCGGATCTGCCATACCTGTCGCGAGGCGAGTCGAGTTACTCGAGTCGAGTCAACGCCGGCGTCCGGTGAACCTGTGCGCCTCTTGATTCCTGACATCAGGAACAAACGGTGTTTGTAAGTTGGCCTCGCGACTACGATTGGACGGGATCGTCGACAGCTGGAAGCACAATGTGACATCACCAAGTGACCCCCATTTTAGGGTCAGGGTCGTGAACTTGGTTGGATCCGAACCTGGCCCCGAGCCAAGGAAACACGACGTTTTGCTTCCTGCCATGTGTCCTGCGCCTTATGGATTGTCTGGTATCCGCCTCCCATTGATCCGAGCATTGTTTCTATTTTACGGTAGGAATAAGAAAGTGCACTGGCCTCCAACTACTACTTGTACAGCCTGCGCGACGGGTTGGCTTCTATTTTCCGAAAAGGGGAAATGTGGAGAATTTGGAGTCAAAATTCGAATGGGAAAAAAAAGGGAACAGAAAAAAAGAAAAAGAAAAGATCGGCGATGAGATAAGAAATCACAAGCTTGCATTCCTGCCAAGAAGAGCCAGTCTGCCTTCCGACTTCACGGCTTCCGAAGGCGTCTGACAAGACTTCGTTGGCCCTGAAGTCAGATGTCTAGGGCGATTTTAATTTCGACGGGTATGACCGAATATGACTGACTGGCTGGCTTTTGTGGTTCCTGCTAGCGAAGGGGGATTTGAGGGCTCCCCCTATCAGCAGACGGAAGATCTTCCTTGACACAAGGAAAAAACAAAAACAAGAAAAAAAAAGGTCGTAATACATCCAAGAGGCGAAGGCACAGCATATGCAGTGTGAGAGAATTACAAGAACTCTCAGGGGTGAAATCTGGGCTGTAGAGGTCTGCTCTGCATTGCCCTTGCGTCGCTTATCCATTTTGCTTTTTACCTACTCTCGATGCTCTTGATCCACAAGCTTCGCCATGGAGGATCCAACACCGACGGTTTCGGATCAGGCTGACTCATCCCAGATAGCTTCTAGTTAGTTAGTGAAGTTATTGATGGGAGGATCAGCCGCCATCCAGGGTCATCACGGCGGCTGCCCACAAGGATCGACGCCCAACTAAGAACTAGGAAATGGAAATGAATCCTCGGCAAATCAGCGTCGGCCCGAGCCAAGACCATTCCCGCATCCGGCAATATTCAAACAACCTGGGATTTCGCATGAGCGCCACTTCGCACCGCCCGGCACCGCCGTCGGTAGGTTGATATGGTTTTTGGGTGAACCAGTCACGTCGAGTCATTCACCCATTTTTTAAATCTACTGCAGCAGACCCCAGTGACCGGGTGCAGTGTCGTGATCAACCGGGTGCCTGTCAATTGCCCCGGAACAATTGAAGTATGGACAGCCTTGCGGGACTTGCATGCAGAAGGGTCACTCAAAGCGTCCGGACTCTGCCACGCCAGTCAAGATCTGCTCCCAGTGTCAGGGACTATTCGCCCCAAGTTGCTTTGTGATTTGATCCACTAACCTCCGAAACTATGTCAAATGGCGTTCTGCAACTGATCCCCCACTTTCCGGCTGATTGTTCTTTCCAGGGGCTTGGCGATGTGTCCCATACTTTGGTCCAGCAGACCCAGTCGCCCATCTGGTTGCCTGCCTATCAAATGACTGATGATTTCGTCTACCGGACCAAACCTTCCTAATTACCCTATTCCACTCTGGGGCCAAATGCAGTCGACAAGAAATGGTACGGGGGCCGATCACCTACTTCCTCCGAGAGGAGGGGGTCGTTGTCAAGTATTAAAAGGCTTGACGCATCCTGAAGATTTGCATACCATGCTATAGACATTCCTTTGATCGTTCTCGGCCATTGTCTACGTGCCTCCCAGTCTCTTTTTTTTCACCTGCTGACATTCTTCCTTTTCCATTTTGACGACTTCGGTCTTGTGCTCCGCAGACGTCTAGTCTACTAGCCATGTGGTGTTCTCAACTATCCTCATGGACTCTGGGCCTAGCCCTGGTGACAGGGGCCTTGGCTTCTCCCTTTCAGAAACGAGCAGCAGGAGCTCGCCTAGCCATTGATTCCGACTTCCCTGATCCTAGCTTCGTGGGAGCCCCCGACGGAACTTGGTATGCCTTTGGCACCAATGGAAATGGGAAGCGTATACAGGTCGCTACCTCGCCGGACTTTCAGACATGGACTCTCACAGACAAGGAAGCACTGCCTACTCTTGCGGGGTGGGAGACCGAAATTGATCATTGGGCTCCTGACGTAGTCCAACGGGTATGTCTTCAGCCAAGCAATCTAAAACTCTACCCAACACTAACAAAATGTACAGAAAGATGGAAAGTACGTGATGTACTACTCCGGCGAAGCCAAAGAAATGGTCAGACACCACTGTGTCGGAGTCGCCGTCTCCGAAGGCACTGATCCCGCCGGGCCCTACATCCCCAACCCGGAACCTCTCTCCTGCCGCCTCGACCAAGGCGGCTCAATTGACCCCGCCGGCTTCCTCGACAAGGACGGTAGTCGGTACGTCGTCTTTAAAGTCGACGGCAACAGCATCGGCAACGGCGGCGACTGCAACAACGGCATCGAGCCCTTGAAATCGACCCCCATCCTGATGCAGAAAGTCAAGGAGGACGGCTTCACCCTCGACGGGGAAGCCGTGCAGATCCTGGACCGCGACGACAGCGCTGGACCGTTGGTCGAGGCGCCCAACCTCATCTTACACGATGATACCTACTTCCTTTTCTACTCCACCCACTGTTACACCGACCCCAAGTACGATGTGCGCTATGCGACCTCGAAATCCATCACGGGCCCGTACGTCAAGAACGACCACAAGCTTTTCAAAACCGGCGATTATGGCCTGACTTCCCCCGGGGGAGGCACGGTCTGTGGTTGCGGGGATCGGATCCTGTTCCATGGGTTCTGCGGCGAGGATAAGCGGTGCACATATGCTGCGGATATTTCGATCGACGGGGATCAGGTTACAGCATTATGATTAGATGCTTGAATAGATTGTCTTCTGGATTTTTCTTAATGTGTCATATGATTGAATTTCATTGGCGGGCATGGATTAAGTGCCGTCGTTCTTTATCTTTAATTTTCTTTACGAACATCACATTTGAATATACTCGAATCATCTTTCTATATATCAAGCGCCTTCTTGAAAGCCCCCTTTCTTGCAGGTTATATCTTGTGTTAGCACTGATATTATGACTCTGGCATAAACATTATGGTTGTCAGAGCGTCTACGTCTCAGGGACAGAAAGTTCAGTTTGGGATGGAATATAGTTCAATAATCAGATGATGAGATTGATGCTTTCTACATGGAGGAGAGAAGGGTATCTAATTCTATTGTATGTCTCTCCCTCTATCGAGTCTCGGGGAAACAGCTAAACACCTGATGCAGCCAGGGGACTCTCCTTCTCCTTGCGCTTCGACCGGGTGCTTTCCACCCATGCCTCAACCCCCTTGATGGCGCTCTCAGGATCATCCTTGTGATTCAGAAGATATCCCTGAATCTCAGCAGCGGTGAACTCCGCGGGTGGCACACGCAACGCGAACTCCGCAGCCAGCCCCTGGACCTTTTCGCGCGAAATGCGATGCCATGGGGCCTGAATGACATCGCCGTTTTCCTTCTGCTTCTCCTTCTCCAACACCATGGCTCTTCCCCTAGGTAGTCGCACGTCGCCCTCGAGGGACGAATAAATGGCCGCGAAGAGCTCCCTGATATCTTCGGTCTCGGCGTATCCGAACTCCACGGACATATCCACACGCCCGGGACGAAGCAGCGCCGCGTCCAACTTATCCGGGTGATTGGTCGTCATGACGAGAATGCGGCCTTCGCTCGCCGCCACGCCGTCGATGACATTCAGCAGTCCGGATAGCGACACGCCCGGCTTCGCAGCGGTGTCCTCTGACGACGGACCAGACTTCTCCTTCTCCTTCTGCTCCCCTCCCTTCTCTCCTCCATCCCCCAAAGTCCTCTCCCTCACCACCCCGGCGCAATCCACATCCTCCAGGAGCACAATGCACCGCCTCGGCAGCTCATGAAACAGACTCATCAAGTCATCCTCGCCGAAGCTCTTCGAGCTCAGATTCAGCAGATACAGACTCAACCCGAGCATGCCGGACGCGGCGAAGCACAAACTCGTCTTCCCCGTCCCCGGCGGTCCATGCAGCAAATATCCCCTCCGATACGGGATGCCTCGATTCGAATACCAGCGTCTCGTCCGGGGATGCAAATACTCCTTGATATCATCGATGAACGCCTGCTTGCGTTCGGCCGCCAGCACCACCGTCGACAGCGGTCTCGGCGCCCGCGACATACATCTCGTCCAGTCGACATACTCGCCGGGCGATTTCTGCGCCCGATAGATGACCGTCGTATTCAAGTCCCGGGCCACATAGGCCCTCTGGGCCTCCACCAGCAACTCCTTCAGAATGGCCGGATCGCGACCCAAACACGCCAGATAGAGCCGTTCGGGAGCCATACGGGTGTAGAAGCTCGCAGTGTTATTATTCGAATCCTCCTTCACACGCATGAATGCCAACAAGTGCCTCCGGAACCAGAAATAGTGTGTGCCCTCCGCGGGCGTGAACCGCAACCGTTTATACTTATCGCGGTTCTTCGCCTTCGCCCAGTACGCGTCAAACGAGACCAGCACGTTCCCGTCGGCGTCGTACTCATCATCTTCGGACTCGTCATCCTCCGCGTCCGAGTCATGATAATAAGAGCGGGATCCGCCGGTGCGCGTACCGGCGACGAAATGCGTCGTGCGATTCGTGAACGGCTGCTGCGCTAGCCAGAACATCAGGTAACTGTAGATTTCGTCATCGAGACGGATCTCGGCTTTCGAGACGCAGTGCGTTTCGATGAGGTGGCGGATTCGTGAGGAGGTGTATTTTAGGGATGCGAGGAGGACGACACAGGCGAGTACGTAGGGTAGGTATCGCGTTGGGTCGATGTGGAGGTGGTTGATTAGGATGCGGGAGATGAAGGAGTAGCCCGGGATGAAGGCTTCGAGGATGGCGGTGTCAGAGGGAGTGAGGATGGAGGAGGAGGAGTTGGAGGGAAGGTTGGAGGTGAGGTTTGCCATTGAGGAGGTTATCACAAAGGTGAGTATGATAACCAGGAAGGGAAGTATGATATGGAAGAAGAGAATATGGTAAGAATAGACTCAATATCAAGAGTCAATCAATGTGCAAGTAGAGAAAAAGAAAGAAACAGATCCCCCAACACCCTCTATGCCCGAGAAGACTGCAATGAATCCCTGAAGAAGACGCGAACAAGGCACCTCTTTATATGTTCATCTAGCCAAACCAGACACTCAGTCAAGGCAATCGCCAGTCACGTCACAGAAAAAAAAAGTAAGTCAAATCCTACTTCAGCCTCACCTCCCCAGTCACACATACTACTACTGTACAGTATACCTAACGTCCAGGCAGAAACAGGCAAGCAAGCTCCACAACCACCAAGCCACTGCCTAACTGCATCCTGGATGTACAGCATTCACTCTAACCCAACCAATCAATGCATGAATCATCCTTCAATTCCACAGCGATATGACTAACCAGTAATCCGTCCTGCATTCCTTTGCCGCAGTCATCACACATTGTAGGCGCGCAAGGCTGGCATGGGCACAGTGAGTGGGTCGGATTCTAGCCCGTTGACTCACTCACGATCGGCGTCCCGATTGGGGGTATGTCTTGAACGATCGTGACAGTGTAGGTAGAGCCCGAAAGAAGTGCACGGTTCATCTGCGTTGTGGTGCGGGATTTTTTAGTTGCCTTTTTCAGCTGGGATCTGCTGAAGGATGCAGGGTGAGGCTCGGGGGAGAGGGAAAAGAGCATTGATGGAGTGGTGCCTGAGGCTTGTGCTGTTGCTGCCTAGTTACTTAGGGTGTGGGTGCCTGGCCCTGCGTGTTTGTGCCTGAGGCTCGTGGGTTGGTTCGCAGGATGTAAAGGATTTTATAAAATATGATCAAAGATTAGTGATTCAGTTTCTATTGTGAACAGTATCGGAAATGGAAAGGCTGGGAAAAGGACGGATTATAGCTCTACTATGCTTAGATCAGATGCCTGAGGATTTATCATTCATTAGATTGTCTAGGACGGAGTTTAGCCTCTTGGTAATTTGATTCTTCTCTATCTATTCATTTACCTGATTAATGAAAATGACAGACATATTCGACTCTACCACATATTGAACTCCTTCATTGATGTTCCCCTGCGTGTGTTGATGGATGTCGACGGAAAATAATTCCGGATGAGAATAAGCCCATCCTCTCGCAAATGTTCATCATGTCGCCTGGTGGGCATGGGACTCGAGCTAACGTTTCTATTGGTCTCTAACCCCTGACAGCATGTCAATATCAATGATGGCGCAGTCGAAGGTCAAGGCGTAAGGCTGCCACGGCTCCTGGTAGTCTCTCTGCCTTTGTAGGTTGTCACTGTGGGCGCCGTGACCTCTTTGAGTCGCGTTATGGTTGCAGAGGCTCTGCTGGGCCGATGCGCGCTAAAACACGCAGGCTCACCCAACTGTATGGCGATTTCAAGAGAACTTGGATGGGGCTTTGGTAGAGCTATTGAACCTGAAATCATTCCTTTCTTCCTAGTTATCATGACTCGCCAGAGAAACGCCAGACAAGGCCCGCGAGAAAAGGGTGACCCAACTGCTGATGAATTAGTTCATCCAAGCCAAGCTCTGCAGACAACCAAGTGTACCTGGAACCCTGTGTTTGATTTGTATCGTGACAGCTTTGTAACACCCAACATGATTATTCGAAAGAATTTTGATGATCAATATACAAGAGCAAAAAGAAGAAGAAAATGAAATTAAATAAAACCAAATGAACGGAGTAACCTTTAATAAGCCAGCGTGTGAAAAATCGCCAAAACAGAATGGGTATCTTGAAATATTATTGCCGGCCAATCAGCCTCACGAAAATGGCGCACAGGCGCAAGAAAACGAGTCAAATGGAACAGAATATACAGAAAATCACATCCCAGATGATCAATCCGAGGTCCAAAAATTGTCTTTGATCGTCTCATACGTATCGGTCGCCCAATCCTTCGCGTCCTCAAGTTTGCCCCAGAGAGTTCCCCACCAGGTAGGGCCTTTCTCGTCGTCGCTTTCCGGGTTGGATTCCGGCTGCGGTTGTGGTTCTTTGCTGGGCGCGGGCTGTTCAGAGGGAATGGTGACAGGAGTCTTCGTGGGAGTCACAACAGCAGTAGGGCTACTGGCGGGAGGGTCGGGAGGGTTGTCAAGAGGGGGCGAGTTTTCATCCGAATGGGTCCCAACCGGCTTCAGAGGAAGACGCAGAGTACCGTTGTTTGGGTGAGGAGTAATACCAAGGGTATCGCAAATGATATTGTATACATTGACGTTTTCTGCACGAGTTAGAGAATTCACCAAAAATAATAGCATGGCAGTACTCACGGAAAGGCTCTAGACGGCTATTGCGTTCATGAGGGAATGAAGGCCCCCTAGCGATAAAGATGGCTCGCATGAGAGGGTGTTCATGATCGTAGCCATGGATACCTTTGGGATGGTAGTCTTCTCCTTTCTCTAGGGCCAGTGCAGCATCAAAGTCAGGCCGCTCAACAATCGCCCATCCAGTTTTCGGAATGATCCAGAGGGGAGCGATGCGGTCGTTGTTCTTGAAGTGGTAGCGTTCCGGCATGGTCTCTCGAGTGTAGACCTCCACGGCATCGGAATAGTTTGCAGCGACGTTCTCGAGCTGGTCCTGAAGGGTCTTCAGATCCTCTTCCCGCTTAGGGCGTATTCCACGTAGCGGCCACCCATCGATATGATCAACAAGATCCATATCTATCATGTCGTCCAACTGAACCAACCTCTCCGTGGAGGTTGAAGCCATGCCATGGTCAGACACAATCACAACGTTCACGATCTCCGTGAGATTACGGTCTTGGAGGCCCGAGAAAAGGCTTCCAAGCATGTTGTCGACACTGGAAATTGTGCCACGAATCTCCGTACTGTTGGGGCCGTATTTATGACCATGCGCATCCACGTTGGGCACGTAGAACGCAATGAACTGAGGTCGTTCTGGGGTGTCCAGGGATTCATCCTCGGAGCCCGGCATATCAAGGAACTCCAACACACGATTAATCTTTCGCGGCAGAGTCTCAGATCCGTTGTACTCATCCAAGAGACTAGGTTCTACATTTCCGATATGTGCCTCCGAGCCGGGCCACATGTGGATAGCAGTCCTCAATCCTTGATTCTCGGCGGTCATCCACACCGGCTCGGCATTCCACCACTTGGGCTGCATGCTGACGGATGGGTGCGTGTAGTAGAACTCCTCCTGCAGATTCGGGTCCCAAAATGTATTTCCCACGATCCCATGGCTTTCCGGATATAAGCCTGTAACGAGAGTGAAGTGGTTCGGAAAGGTGACACTAGGGAAGCTGGGTAGCATGTACTGCGGCGAAACGCCGTCGGCGATGAAAGAGTTGAGCGTCGGGGTGAGATCGCGGTTGAGGAAGTCGGCTCTAAAGCCATCGAGCGAGATTAGGATAGTGGTGGGTGCGAACAGGGCGGAGCCGTTTGAGAGAAGGGGAGGCGGTCGCGAATGCGACGCACGGAATTTCGTCGAGGCTTTATAGGCACCCAATAGACAAATGAGGAAGAGGACGAAGATAGCGGAGAAAAGTAGCGCAAGCTTGCGCCATGAGACAGGGCGCGTCTGCAGGAGAAGAGCAATCAGCTAAGTCAATAATGAACGACGTCAACACTCATACCTCTTGTGTATATTTTTCTTTGGCAGTTTGTCCCAAGTCGGAAGATGAGGCGGAACTCAGCAGAGAACTCTCATCTTCCCGGTGACCTTCCTCCATCTCATACATCAGTTCCCCGGATTCTGACAACTTGTGGCGCTCCTTGCGTGCATCTCGGCGAGCTTGCCTCCGCTGCTGTCGACGTTCACGCTTTCCGATCTTGACGCCGCTGCTACTGGGACTGAATATACGGCGGAGACCCTGGGCAGGCCCTTTCCTCGTCAAGAGCTTCTCGGTTTCTTCCTCGTCGTCTAAGACTGAGCGATCGTGTTCAGCTAATTCCAACGTGGTACGAGAACGGCTGAGAAATTCATCGTCTTCCGAGTCCGAGTCCTGCTCGGAGGGAGACCGTAACGATTCGGCGTCTTCATCGTAGTCGCCAGGGGATAAAAGGGAGTGACTGTGGCGCTGACGATGTGAAGGCATGGGGGATGATGAATATGATGGACAATAATAATGAATGGAGTAGATTCGAGACAGGGGCGATCCCTCCTGTTCTTCCCTGGGAGATCATCGGGGTCGAGGCCGCTGACTCAGCGAGGCGACTCCTTTCTCCGCTCCTGAACTCGAGTACACAGGTCAGGTGCCACTTAAAAAAGGTCACCATTTAAATACAGTACTACATACCCCGAATTTCAATGTCAGTTTTTACCTCCTAAAAAATTTCCTGCTGCCGAGCGTTCGACTCCAATTCATTCTTCTCGAAGTTGTTACGTCCTGAAGCCAGGGAGCTTCCCTGTACGGAGGAACGTTCCGGTTAGTTAGTATAGGATCAAGGGATCCTCCGCGGTAGGCATCCAGGAACATTCCTAGGTATCCTGCAGGCATTCCTGCCTGGGGTTTTGCCTCAGGCAGTATATAGAGCCCCTGGATCCTCCCTCCTAGAGAGCCTTTCCTCCCTATGGGAAAATTCTGGACTATGAGTCAGAAACAAACTTGTCTTTTACTAAGCTCCTTTGTAGACCGTCACACTGATCGTGAATACGATTAATCGCGTAATGTGAAGCTTTCTGATTAATCTGTAAGTACAGAAAAGATTGACAGAATATAAGGTTATTTAGTTAATCATATTTAACCTTGTATATCAGAGTATCGATCTGCTTATAGACCGTATGTCTTACTCGGCCTCAAACAGTTAGTATATCTCCGGTTGAGGCCTGTATATACTTCTTAAGAAAGGCATGTGAACCCTCTACACGTAAGATTGATGAATTCCCAAAATGAAAGTATTGATTTGTCCAACAGCGAATTACCTTTTCTTTATGGATTAGCCATGTTTCTTTGATATATCGTAAGGCGTAGGGAGATACTAATTGATATTTCTTATTAAAAACTAATAGTCTTGCTTCATATTCGTCCTCTGTTAGTAAATGAACAAGACTCTACCAGCTAGAGAGAAATCTATCCCATTCTTCATTAGTCTTAAAGTACTCTTTTACTTTTGCGGCAATATTCTTATTAATATACCATAGTTAACTAAGTTAGTTAACTACCGTTAGTTAGCAAAAAACCGTGGTGTCCTTAGCGATTCCCAATATAGAGGCGGCCGCATGCCTTCCCTTCCTATTCAATGTAAGGGGGTTGGCGGTAGGAGGAAACTTCTACGAGAGCGGTAGTTAGTAGGATAAGCTAAGTTGCTCTATAAATTTGGTCGGTAGTCGCGTTCCTACCTCGTTATTCTACGCCTGCCACGCATCTCACGCATCGAATAGTACGCATTATCTATCAGCAGAGAGAATACTATCTTCTCGCTATAGCTTTACCGTCATCTATTGCTCCTTCCTCTCCTCTATCCTCCTCAGCAGTAGCCACCACTGCTCCGACCTCTAAGATGCAGACCCAGGAGCTAGCGCAGATTGAGCTCCAGGACCGCTTGAACCTCTATAACATCAAGGCGCTACACTACATGCGAACCCAGCGGCCAAAGAATATATCAAGAGCTTACATTAATAAGCATCAGGAATGGCAGGTAAGTACCGTAAGTTAACCGCATTACTCTCTCTCTCTCTCTCTCTCTCTCTCTCTCTCTCTCTAGCTTCTCTGTATGTTTCTCTGTATGTTTCACATGCGGTTAACTTACCTGACGGCGAACTAGTCACAGAGAAGAAACATGTCTACTTTCTCGATACTGAGGTCCTAAACCGGCCCCTCCGGTCCTGTCAATACACAAAGGATCGCACTCGACTAGATGGGTCAAAGGTTGAACAGACTCTAGGGATCAATTCGATCTCTCAATATATCAATGCTATTGTGGACCTCTAGAAGTTCCAAGGAAGTATTGGGACGAACAGCTTCCTTAACCCCCGTAGATATACTGTTTCGGCCTTTATGACTGGCCGACTACATAAGGAAAGCGAGCGAAAACGCGAGCAGTATCTTGACCGAGCCACAGGCACCCTGCAGGATGGATATTCCAAGGATAAAATTAAGGACTTTGTACGATATTGTTAGCAAAGATGAAGAACAAAAGACCTCAAGTACCGAAAGCCTCAGGCCCAAGAGTCTTATCTTCGTAAGGCTGTAAATTTCCTTTTCAGTCACAATATATTCCTTCGTGAAGAATTACGCCGGCAGTTCCAGTTTCCTGACCTATTCACTATCTCTTTGCCGAACGAAGGACCAACCCCTTGTTGGCCAATTATTATAATTATGAATAACGGAAAGACAAATCAGTTTAGTCGCTTACAATATATGGGGGTAATGCGCTATCAAGATCCACTCCTTTGTACGATAAGCCAGGCAGCTTATTATCTCTTTTATCGCTGGCAGATAGTGAGAGAGTTACTACTGCAGTTTCGGAGCCGACTACAGTGGTATAATTTCCACTTCTTCAAGGGCTTAGACCGAGAGAAGCCCATCCCATACGAGATCCAGCTGAAATGGGCCAACGAGATTTTTAACGCAATCAATCTCTCTACCGATAAGAAGACACATGCTGGCCGAGCCCAGGGGTCAAAACAAGCTGAGCTAGAAGGCGTAAAAGAAAACCAGATCCGCCGTGCTGGTCAATGGAATCAGGATGCTTTAACTAACTGCTATCTAACACATCTACCGCAGAGATTCCTTCGTTCAATGGCTGGTTTCCAGCCTGAGGCAATTGGAAATTACTATCTTCCTCGAGCTAAAATTTAACCTCTGGATTCCCTTGCACGAGCTCTCTGGCCATGGATTGATGAGTGGCTTACCTGGTTTAAGTCTAACGACCCTACAAATGAGCTACCTAGTGAGGCTACTAGCCAGGAAGATCGAGATGATATAGCAGCCCAAGGCTTCTTACAACTACTCAATCAACTACGGATAATCCTCTTTCAGAACTCGGTCCTCCTACAAGCGCAATTCCCTCAACATTCAATGTAGGATGACCCTATTTTTGCCCGAGAAGACTATACTACATTTGCAGAGCAAATACGGCAGTCCCTTCTTTGTACAGAGATCCCCCAAGAGATTCAGCTCCGACAGACATTTCCTATTATTGCCGATCGTCTTAGTATCCTCCAAAAGGATATACACCAGGCCGTTGATTTCCATGGCTACCAGGCCCGTGAACAGCTTAGGAAGATTGCCCGCCAGCTTGAGGATCTCCTTTCTGGCCAGGTCACCTTTGCCGTACGAGCCATAGACACTGGAGCGCGGACACCAGACTCATTCACACCTTCCTCTCAGCTAGCAGCATGTCTGTCTGAGACATCATCTTTGCAGCAGCAGCTACCTAGCCAGCTTCTTCCGCAGGGGATCAACACTCTCTCCCTATCTTTACTTCCCTCCCAGGCTCTCTACTCCCTCTCTCGCACGATCCAGTCTGTGCCGGAAGTCTGGAGAGAGTGGACATGTGGGTTAGGCGCAAATCCATCTATCCAGTCATTAGAGATATCGTACGGTGCTGCCTGGCGGCCTTCCTCTCGCGAAATTTGCCGGCAAAAAGTTATTATCGACGAGATCTATGCTAGGCATGGCAAGGGGCAGTCTCTAGATGCAGCTGTAGAAGAGTTAGAGCTTGTCCGCTGCAGAGGCAAGCTTTCGCATTACCAACTATCTCAGCTTCTATCAAAAGCTCGCTAGTTAGTTTAATTGATTTTTGATTTTCTGCCGGCAGAAAGGGGGAGAGGATTAACAAGGTCATTACAGGAATCTGATCCCCATTCCATGGTTGATGTATTGAGGGCTTGGCGGTTTCGCCATAATAACGCGCGAAATTACGCAGCAAATCTGACCCCCATATATCCACTATGCATTGCCACTACCAAAAGCCGGAAAATAGGGTTATGTGATTTACTAGCGCGGCGGATGACCCCTACGAAGGTGCCATCAGACCTGTAACCTGCCTGAACTCCAGGGAGTACAAAGCCATCATCCTGGAACAACACAAGCATTGCCTATTAGGGGTCGATTCAAGGCACCTTCCAGCGTGAATGTGATCCGAAATATCTTGGTTCTGCATGGAAATTAAATGCCGTGGTCGATATTCGCGCCTTATGATCACGGTGGCGTGGGAATCCTGGCCTTGACACGGAAGAGGCGAATGAACTTTGTCGGAGGATTGGAAGAATTGGTCTTGCACAATGGAATACAATAAGGAATCGTGATGCTATATTTCCCCGACTTGCTTGATATATTGATTTGGGGCCCAGGAAAATCCACCGTCGAAATCCAGGCATCAAGACCAAGTAAGCAAGATACTATCCTCAGGCTCATCGCCCTCTAAACTATCCAATACCTTCTGATCCCTTCGCCTACACGCCGAATATGCGACTTGGTCTCTTGGGCCTTGGGTTCATGGGCAGCGCCATGGCCCGTAACCTCTCCAAGAAGTATCCTCTCATGGTTTGGAATCGAAGTCCCGCCAAATATGCAACGCTCAAGCAAGCCGATGCAGTCTCGTTTGGAGAAACACCTGCACAAGTCGTGGAGAACTCAGACATTATCTTCGTGATGCTCTTCGACGCCGCAGCAACCCAGTCAATCCTTGACGCCGATTTCAAACGAGCTCTTCCCGGAAAAATAATAGTCAACACCGGTTCGGTGTCTGTCGAATTCAGCCAATTTTTCGACAAAGAGATCCGAGACGCCGGTGGACAGTTTCTCGAGATGCCGGTTAGCGGCAGCAAAGTTCCTGCCGAAGAAGGTCAGCTCGTCGGTATGATGGCCGGAGACCCTGATCTGGCAAACACTATCAGGCCTTTTGTTCAACCAATCACGCGATCTGTTGTCTACTGCGGTCCTATCGGCTCTGGACTGAAAGCAAAGTACGCCGTTAATACATCGATGCTCATTCTCACCGTTGGATTGGCTGAGTCGATGAGTCTGGCCAAGGCCCAGGGTCTCGATCTGGCAGCGTTCGGACAAGTCCTAGAGGCGTGCTCTATTGCGTCGCCTTATTCCAACATCAAGATCAGCAAGATGCTTAATCAAGATTGGTCTCCACATGCCGCGCTTAAGGATTGTTACAATAGCACGCAGCTCATTCAGTCTGCCGCTGCTTCAGCCAACGTAAAGTTACCACTTATGGATAAGTGCGAGAAACTATATGCCCGGGCAATGGACGCCAGCCTGGGAGAAGAAGACGTTGTTGCAATTGCCAAACAGATTTGGGATCGCGAAGAATAGTCTGAATGCGCGCTCTCTCTCTCTCTTTTTTCATGTATTTTCTTTTCTTCTCTTCTATTTTCTTTCTTTCTTTCTTTCTTTTTTGTTTCCATCCCTGTTTTTCTTGTATTCCCAGATTGCACATATTACTCTAGATGGCCACAGGAGTCGCGCTGCGGAGTTAATGCGATATACGGGGATCCTTATTGACATGATTGCTGTGGGTACACCAAGAGGGCACAGCCTGGGCAGCCCCGCTGGAAATGAGAATGCAAAGTATTCAAACATTCAGCGGAAGTTGAATCCTGCGAATTTGGCCAGAGGACACCGATTCACAAGACCACAAGGAAGCCAGACATCTTTCCCCGAAGCATCATGGAACCCAAAATTGGGGTCGGAATTTTCGTTCGCAACGCGGATGGCCAGTTCGTCGTGGGCAAGCGCAAGGGAAGCCATGGTGCAGGTGAGTCATGTAGTGCCGAATAGAATGACCTTCGCCATATCTTCATCTTGCACTTTTTCAAACTCGGTATCTTACGTTCATCCTAGGAACATGGGCAGTGCCGGGTGGTCACCTCGAATTTGGCGAGTCCTTTGAGAACTGCGCGGAACGTGAACTCCTCGAAGAGACAGGCATGCAGATTGAAAACCTGCGTTTCTTGACTGCTGTGAACAGTGTCCTCGAGAAGGAACAAAAACACTATGTCACTGTGTTTATGGGGGGTACCGTGGAAGATGGAGTTCAGCCCCAGGTGAGTGAGGCTTATATGGACTTTGTGTTGATTGTCTCGGTTGAAGCACCTGCTAACCTCAAGTGAAGAACTTGGAACCGGAGAAATGCGAGGCTTGGGAATGGATATCGTGGGATCAGCTTCGTGCCCACAGAGACGCGCAGTTGAACTCAGGGCCTGGCTTTGCCGGACGCCAGTTGTTTTTGCCGATATTGAATTTATTTGAACAACGGCCTGACTTCAAAATCTAACAACCAACTTTCTTACGGTAATCAATCATCTTAGCCGCTTGTAATTAGTTCCATCACCAAGTTGCGTGTAAAATAAGTTGTCGATCGGGGTCATTTTCCCACTGGGGTTAGGACGATTCATCAACCAGCCAATTTCCTGCAACTCGTATACATGGCAAAGTAACTCCTCATCTCTACATGCGAGTCTATGGGTACTGCAAATCAGGCCAACATGTGCACCTGTGCCATTCTCGCTGTCTTTGGTGCAAACTAAATGATGATCCAGAAAAGTCTTTGGAGGATATGGCGAAATCACTAACACTTTCTCAAGGCCGAACAAGTGAGGTAATGCATTTTGACTTCGCTGTTTATGCTGGCCTGTCAGCAGTAATAAGAGACTTGGATAAAGAGTACAAGTTCTCTTGTATTCTCAAGTGTCCATCATGGCAAAGGCATAGCTGAACAAGTAACAGACCAGCGATGTGCATGACTTCCTAGTACTCTCTAGGTCACCCCATCCAAGGGGATCTCGACATTCCGGATGCAATGCTTATTCTGGGATCTGAGGTCTGAACACCACAAGACTGTTGTAATAGTGTCAATGGCGCATAGCAGAATAAATGATCGACATTCGGTGGAATGTGTCGCGCACCAATTAAACTCTCCATGGGGATTCGCAGTGTGGCGAATGAATGAAGACGGCGTCCTCTAGCTTCCAGAACTCCGGACGAGGTGGTTTGTTTCCGTGCTCGGACCCGTGGATGCTTTCGTCCTTTCACCGGTTCCGCTCAATACCCATTGTCTCCGGATTATGACTCCGGTCTTTGTTGGACGGTCATGAAGAACTCGGTGCGCAGGAATGGATCGACATGTCTGTCTGTTTCCGGCCTGGAGAACGCCTGCCTATTTGGGAATGCTAGGGCTGAAGACGTCTCATCACGTGATATGGCATTCCCTTTTGCGTTCGCCTCGTCGAGCAGTCCAACTCTGACACTTCATGGCCTTTTTCGCAGAGAACATGGACTTTTCGCCTTCAAGATGGAGCTAATCCGGATTCAGATTCGTCCCCAAGGCGTCAAATGCTCACATCATGCGCTCTGTCCGATTCCGGCAAAGGTTCCTTCGTCAGGACGAGGGCAACTTCGCACTCCAAATGAGAAGTCGATGCCGGATCAGTCTCGACAAGAACAATATAAAATACCTCTGTTCGCCCCGGTGGCTGATTATTCTCGATCATCATTCTTCTTCGCATACTTTCTCAAAAGCCACCGTCGTCTATCCCTCGCCACGCTACGCACCAGCCGTCGAAGAACATCTTCAACATCAGACTTCGTTTCTTCACAATGCACTTCTCTACTCACGTTGTGACCGCCTTGGCCATCGCGGCTGGCACTGCTAGCGCCACTGATCTTCAGCGGAGGGGAGACTCTATCACGACGACCATCTGTCAAACCGTAATTGCTCCCCTTCTACCCTTATCAATTTGATCTAACTTTGCTCAGAGTGTGATCCCCATCCCTCATGCTACCTCCCCTAGTGGTGGTCACCCCGAGGCCCCTGTTGTTCAGCCTGCCCCGACTGGCCACCCTGAGGCGCCTGCCGGCAAGCCGGAAACTCCTCACCAAGGCAAGCCAGAGGCTCCTGTCGGTCAACCTGAGGCTCCCGCTGGACACCCCAGTGCACCTGCTGGACAGCCCGAGACCCCTGCTGGTCAACCTGAGGCACCTGCTGGACAGCCCGAAGCCCCCGCTGGACATCCTAGTGCACCTGCTGGACAGCCCGAAACTCCTTCCGGTCAACCCGAGGCTCCTGCCGGACAGCCTGAGGCCCCCGCTGGACAACCTGAATCCCCTGCCGGTCACCCTGAGGCCCCCGCTGGAAAGCCCGAGGCCCCTGCGGGCCAGCCTTCGATCCACCCTATTGCACCCGTGAACCCGCCCAGCAGCAAGCCCGAGGGAAACCCCGGCTCCCCGGCCAACTCGAGCGCCCCTGGCTCCAAGCCCAGCGCCCCCCTCATCCACCCCAGCCCTCAGCCCAGCCCCGCTATCTCTCAGGCGCCGCATGCCACTCCCAGCATCTCCGTGCCGAAGTACCACAACTCCACCACCCCCAAGCACCACAACTCGACGACTCCCAAGTCCACCTCGACCGGCGGCCATGGCGGCAACGGCGGTAGCAACGGCGGTAACGAAGGCGAGGTGCCCAAGCCCACCTCGACCGGCTTCACTCCTGCCAACCCCGGCTCTAAGATCATCGTTCCCGGCCTTGCGGTTGCGGGCTGCGTCGCTCTGGGTCTGCTTCTCGTGGCTTAAGCTGGAGATGACATAACATGGTAACTAACTCACTTTGATTCTTTCTTTTGACCAATCCTTTCTTTCTTTCTTTCTTTCTTATGGTGGTCCTCCATCCACCGAAGTAAGCAGTCTGCCTTGACTTCTGCCTTGACCACCAGGTCTCGGGGGTGCGTCCTTTTATGATCATGTTTTCTTATATATGTCTTTCCTTTATATCATGGGTACTGATTTCTTAGAATATGTATTGAAAATCTGCTGTCGAACAGAACAAGAAGGCGTCTTTGGTGTGATAACATATGATGTTTTTGATTTATGCTTTTGTTTCAGTTTCTAGCACTTAATAAATTTAATGGGATTTGAATAATCATAAATACTTTGATTACATTATTGCAATTCCTATAAGCCCTCTGCATCTCAGCGCCTTTCTCATTATCTTTATATTCACTCACCCAGGATTCTCGCGCTCTTCGCATTACTGTATAACCGATTCATAAATGTATTTAAGATTGTTGTATTATGTGCTCTAATCCAAGATAAGAGGATTGATCATCTTCAAGAGTATTTTTCCTTTTGAATACCGGATTAATAAAAACTGAACATAGAATCAATCCCAACAAATGCAACCATTTTTTCTTGCACAAAAAATACCATCCTTCAAATTGCATCACTTCCTTACAACAACTCCAGAAATTAGCTCCAGCAATCCGAAGAACTCCTCATCCATCTCCAATAAAATACTTGCAACCACACCCTATACCCCATTGATCTAGCTTTTCGAAACCCAATTCGCCCACTGACAAGAACACCCTCCCGTCCCGCCATCATACCCCCCAAGATCCTGATCACTGTCACTCGCCGAACGGCTCGTGTTGAAGATGCCCGGCGCCGGATTGACAAGCAGACCGCCGAAGTGGCGATCCTCGAGTTGTAGCTTCTTCTCCGTCCCGTTGATATGCAGGTCTGTTTCCATGCCGTAGCAGTAGAGCATCTTCTTCTTGACTTCGCCGCCGTGTCGGTCGAGCGTGATAGTGACGGGGTACGGGAAGGAGCCGGGACGGGTGAAGTCGCTTGCGGATGAGTTGGTGGTGCTGGAGGGGGATCCGGCGGTAGCTGTCGGCGTGGCGGATGCAGATGCGGAGGCGGAGGTAGAACTATTATTGCTGCTCAGGAGAGTCTTGCCGGATCGTCCTGGTTGGGTCCAAATTTGAACGAGGAACCGCGTCTGTGCCCAGGTGCATCGGACGTGAGCCTTTGTTTTGCTGGAGCCGCCGTGGTCGTCGCCTTTGGGATTTGACTTGCTGCCGTCTAGGGGGCTGGATGAGGAAAGGAAGATTGAACGATCGAAGTATGTGTAGAAGCCGTAGTGCTCGCTATCTTGCCCTCGATTGTAGAGCCGCACGGGCTGTGATTCAGGGAGAGGATACAGATTCGCCGCGGCGGCGGTCCCGTCAGAGTCCACGTCCGGGGACGGGATTAGCGATTCCAGATCTGGGAACGAGTCGTCGGATCGGCGCACACGTCGGATTGTTGAGAGAGGCACGGGAGATAGAATGGTCATGTAGAAGGGAGTTTCCTCGCCGGCGTAAGGGGTAGTGTTGTTATCCGTGGTGTTTCCGAGGAAAGTCTGTTCCTTCATGTCTGGCGGAGACGGAGAAGAGTCGAATGATCTAGGAATCCTTGGGGCGAGCCTTTTGGTATGGTTTGACGCTACAGTGGTACTGTTCGGATAGGTGCCATTGCGAAATCGAATTTCCACTCGAAAATTAGGCTGGTTGGCAGGATAGGGCTTATTGGCATCTTGCTGCTCTTTCGGCAAGGCACAGCTCCAAAGAGAAGCAGGTGTAATGCATCCCGAATTCTGCACTCTGGGCTCGGGGGCGGCAACCGTTGCAATGCCCGTGGGCATCGGTGGATACCCGGTCAGATTCAGCCACTGCGATTGAACCGGCGTTGCATCACCCTTTCTGGTGAGTACAGTGGCAAGGACGATGGCGACTATGACAATGGCGAGGAAGAAGGCAGCAATTGCCAGGTACCATCGTCGCTTTAGCCGACCTTCGCGTCCGGATCTTCCAAAGCAACCTTTGTTGGTAATACATCCCCTCCCACGCCACAATCCGCCAGCCTTCTTACCGAGTGCTTCTTCCTTTTCATGCCTTCTTCGCCGGGATTCAATCCTTTCCCTCTCTGCAAAGGGATTTGTCGTTGCCTCTCGTGTTATGGGCGCGGGTTCGATGCGCGGCGGAAGGGTAGCGGGATCGTTGCGAGAGGCTGTGTACGCAGGTGCTGGACTGTTATCCATATCACCTAATGGAATGGAACCTGACCCCTCCGTTGCTTGTTGAAACCCTGGTGAGATGGGATCAGGACGTTGTGGCTGCGGCGGCTGCGCTTCATGATGAGGGGGAAGTATCATTAGGTATTGGGGAATAGTTCTCTCGGCAGTGACGACGGGAGCTGGTGCCGGAATTGGGGCTGGAGCTTGCTGGATATAGACATGTGTGACTGGCGGCGGTTGCGATACAGCAGCTGGTTGCTGTTGGACGAAAGGATTAAACGACTGATGCTTCTCGTTCTCGTAGTCTACTGGCGGTGCTTTTTCCATGCCTCCCCTGGCCTGTGGCTCGGGGGCCGGAGTACCATGCCTGGATGGTTCTGGTGAGCTTTCAATGGGAGTGGTGTCATCATCTGCCGTGTCTGGTATAACTCCTCTAGCCTGCGGCTCTGGGGAATCGATCTTTGGGGTTTCTGATATACTCTCCTTAGGAGGGTCATTTTGTCTTGGGCTGCGACTCGGGGCAGCTGATCCATCAGTTGCGACTGATGCACCACAGGAGCAGGTCTTGGAAACCGATGTGGGCGCCAAAGAGCTTCTTCTATCTTCTTGCCGTTCGGACCGGGGCATATCGTCGACGTCTATTAGAAGACCCTTTTCATTCACCGTGCCATCCGCAGCTGCGACTGGTTCTGAGACCGGTATCATATCCTTAGGCGTAATGGAACAGACATGGCTAACGCATTCAAAGTAAGATCGGCCGCTGAACAGTTCGTGGGCACACGCTTGATAATACTCGGCCGCTGAGCCTTGGATCGCGCGTCCGGGAAAGATGAACGATGTAGCATTACTGTCCCCCAATGGTTCAGCTTGAGGGTCCGTTATCGAGTTGAAATCCGCAAATGGATTGGTGTCGCAGTTTTGCCAGCTAGCTACCTCCCCTCGGGTGACCCCGGCGGTCTCCGGGGTTTCTGGTGAGAAGCATGAGACCTCCTTTTCCCACCATTCGTCACTCGACTCTGATAGATTGGTTTTGAGGGCTGGAACCGGAGGCCGATCCGCTTCGGTAGGGGCTCTCCTGCTAGAGATTGTGCTGGATCGACCTAGTAACGGCGAAAGAAGGTATGTCCACCACCCTTGCGACTGGTGCCGATCGTATTCAGTATTGACGCTCAGACGACTGACTCCATCGATGCCACTCAATCGATCGAAAGCCAGTTTGACGCTGCTACTTGAGTATGACCGAGAACGAGCACCAGGTCGTGATATCTCATCTTCTTCGAATACTGTGCCTGCAGAGAACGACCGGTGCTTTCTAGTTGATGCCAGAGACTGTCTGCGGGGAGATTTGGGGCTGATGATTTCGTTCTTGGCCGCTGCGTGCTGGGCGGGAATGGCTGGAACAGGTGGTACCGGGGTTTCGCTATCCTCCAAACAGGGAGTTGGTTGAGAGTATATGCTCGAAGTCGCTCTCGGACGGTGGTGGTCGGGAGTCAGTCCAGTCCAGAAGCCATCTTCCTTTGCTGGCGTGACCACGATCGAAGGCGTGAGAGGCGTCCGCTGACATTCCCCGATGTCGAGCTCCCGCGGTTTCCCATTCTGCGAGTCCGGGGATCCGTCAAAGGGCATGCTGAATCCAATCATTATGGGTCGATCGGACGGCGATAGCTCGTCCTTGTATTTCTTTTTCGACGATATTCTAGGCGTCATATCGACCCAAGTAGACCGCCTCTTTGTTGTGTTGGAGGTGTCTTCCTGAAGGTGCTGAAGATCCTGATTGTTTCTTTTCTTCAAGATCCCCTTAATCTTCTGTGTGGTTCTCTCCTTCTCTCGCTCCTCCGAAAGTATCTTCAGATCGTTCAAATCCATCAACGGCGGTTCTGTCGTCTTTGCTTGAGCGCTGGGGTGTGCCGAGAAATCAGTCACCAGGTTCAACCCCACTGGCTTTTCACTTTTGTTCTTCGCTGCAAGCGACCTGAGACCGGACTCGCTGCTTTGGTGCCCATTTTGGAGATCGTATGCACCGGTCTGCAGCTGATTGCTTCGTTCATACTCGGCTTTCCGAACGAAAGGGTTTCGACTGTTAACTTTCGACAGATATTCGAATGGGCGAGTCCTTTCCAAGTCCCGCTCATCGGATGATGACGAAGTTGGGCTGGCAACCTCTTCGGTGATGGGTGATGATAAAGGGAAGTTTGGGACGGTGGGGATCCGCAGCTCGGCCTGGGGATCATGTCGTCTGAACGCCATTTTCTCTACCACTGCAGACACCATTTTCTGAAAGACAGAATTCTTGTTAGCACACAATGATAGACTTCAAATCACAAGCTAGGTGTCTTACTGTAAGATGTCAAGTTCCTCAAGGAGTGGAGATCACCTCCCAGCCGGTGGGCAGTGAGCGAGTATATGTGAGAAACTAGCAACAATTGACAATGAAATGCAAACACAGTAGGAATCTAAAAAGCGAAAAACATGAATCGGATTCTATAAATGCAAACAATGGCTGACAATGAGAAACGCCGGTGAATGATAGAAACAAAGACAAAGACCGCTGAAAGAAAACAAGGCAACAGCACCTGCTATTGTCCTTCACTCGTTATGCAATGAGATTGAATAGAGTCACGAAAGGAGGAGGGGGGGAGGGCCGGGGACAGAGGCGAGGAAAAACAGAGAAAACAGTCAGCTTTTCATCTTAGCGAGCAATATCCAGGCCAGAACAAGGCAAGTAAACAAATGAACAAGCGCAAGCTAGAGGGACGTGCCAGTAACGCCAGGATGCGACGAGAGTCTCAGTTCATAAGGAAAACACGCCGGGTGAGACATGAAGAATCCAATCTGCAAGACAAAGCTACGCTCGCACGCCTGATATAATTAGCCCAGGAGATCATGCATCAGGATCACCCTCTCAAGGCAATTAATTGGGCATTACCATCGATTCTCCCGTGCTGCAGAATGCTAAATGTCCGGCTGCCATGACTCCGGCGGAATCTTGCCATTATCCTCACGGGCACCATTGGACGGTGTCGTGTGATCGGCTCTGCAGAACACAATCTGAGACGCAGGTCCCAGGCCAGGCATTGGCTGGACCAAGAAGCACTGGCATATGCGTAGCCGCTGCTCTGGATCCGGCGCGTAGAGAAACGGCTTGACGTGAAGGATGAGCTTGCGAGACCCAATCAGCGACGCAATTGTTCCCCGTGACAAAAATAGTTGTCTCTTTCTACGGGGAAAAGATGCAAGCAACGCATGTCGGCGGCCGTAATCGAGTGAGCTGGATGGCCCTGGTACTCGCTACTTCGAGGTCCAAGAGTGCCGCTAACATCCAATTTCGGTGTCGAGCCCGGTCGAAAACTAAATCCACAATGCGACTCTCCGATCTTTTTCGAAGCAAAAGAACAAAGTTCACGGCACTTCTAGCAATATGAAGAAACGTCCAATGTTTTGGTATTCAAGGTGGCCGCTCCCACCAAAAAAACAAAAAGCAAAACTCATCCCAAGCGCCACCAGCATGATAAACAGATGGGGATATAAAATTGCACACCGTACATAAGTGCTTCGGCTAGATTTTTTTGGTACAAAAAAAAAGGCACTGTCAAGTTCCCAAAGGATCCAGTTGCAGTGGTAAGAATAAAAGCAAGGTAATAATAATGCACACTTCCCATAACCGATCCCAACCCAAGATGTCCCATTTCCAATGCAAAAAATAAAAAGAAAAAGCGCATCTGAATGCAGCGCAGCCAAAGCAAGAAAGAATCGAAAAAGAAATGCCTCCAGTCATAGGTCGGACGTCACATCACGTAGCACAAAATCCAAAGCCTCCCAACCTTTTTTGTTTTTCCAGGTTGAGGAAGATGGTGAAAGCAAAAGTGAGAAACAAGTCTCGCTCCAAAAAAAATAAAAATAAAAAAAATAAAAAAAATAAAAAAAAGACTCAGCCACCCAAATCATGTCTACAAGCAAGTCAAAGAAAAACCAGTTCCGCGTCTAGGGAGCAAAGGACACAGGGGTGTTGAAACACGACAAAATAAGGATATCGGGAAAGAGAGCGAGCGCAGATTTTGAATGGGGGTATAAATGGGCCCGAAACAGGCGAATTGAATCAGAATTTCTGACCGACGTGATCTGCCAGATTACCGTCGTTCATCTGTATATTGTACGCCCTGCATTGGGGCCACAGATCCGTTCATGAGAGGCGGCAACGTTCGCGGTTGTTCCTGAACCATCCCAGGTCCCGGGGCGTAGTTGGCGTATATGGGGCCATGTGTTTGACCATTTGGCTGTGGGGCCATTGGGTGGTGTTCGAATATGGACGGTGGTCGAGATTGTGCGTTGGGTTGCTGCTGGTTGAGCTGGCTGCGCATCTCTTCAATTTCGGATCGTAGCACATCGTTATCGCGACGGGCACTGGTGAGCATCTTTTCCAGTTGGGAGATATATTCGATCGCTGCCAAGATGTTAGTGGTTTCATGATAAAACATACCAGCCGGGGGGGGGGGGGGGGGGGGGTTGTTTTACCCGGGGACCCCTGACCCCATTGTGTTGATTTTTTATTTGTGGGCTGGGGGTGAGCCCCCGCTAAAGCCAAAAAACAAAAAGTAATTTCAATGCGGCG